TTGTATCATATCTCATCAACATCCAAGTTAGTTATATACCATTATAATACGCAATATTGCCCAATATATATTATATATATATGTATATATATATATAATATTTTTGAGTATATATATATAGATAATACAAAACTATGGGTATCATATCTATTTAAAAAATATATTTAGATAACACAATATATATATATAATATATATATATAATATATATATAATATATATATAATAAATATATATATAGTTTAATTTATGGGCAATGTTCTTTTTATATATGTTCTATGTTAAGCTTCTTCGCTGTTCAACTCAGGATCAGACCTCGTGTTCCAGCTACACAGAGCAGGAGTGCACCTCAGGCGGGGAAATCCCGTATAGAAGTGTGTTTAGAGCTGGGAAGATCATCTATAAATCAATGGCCATTTCAGGAACCTAAATCTATGATGACAATGGTTAATAATGGTGAATAGTGGGTGAATGTTGGATATGTAATATATCTGGGTGAATTATAACGACTTCACTACGACCTCACTGGAAATCATGGTTAGGATTCGGGAAATTATCCCCAAATGGCCGCAAGATTCAGGTGAGTGAAATACTATAATTTACCCAGATCTATAAAGAGGTGACTTTCCATTGCCATGTGTACCAGATGGTAACTGGCAAACTTTTGGGCTGTTCACTAGTAGAAAGTTGGATTTAACTGGTAAGAATTGTGATTTAAGTGGCATAACATTAGATTTGACCAATGGGATGCTTGGTTGATGGTTGGTTTCTTGGGAGGTTTTAATTTGACTCTGCTCGGGACGCTTCGAGGCAGTGGGGTCCAGAAATGCTTCGTCATTTCAGTATCGCCCCTGGGTGTTTCGGGAAGGGGTACCTAAAAATTTCCTGGGTTCTCTTATTTTAAGATCCCCGATTGTTTGGGTGGTAGGTGAGGCCGGGCACCAAATAGGACCGCCATTCTCCTGATTCTCTATCAGCCCTTGTTACTGGTTGATTAAGAGTGGATTTCTCTGCTCATGGGTTGTGACAATCCCCAATGTCAAAATAAAACCCCATATAATCAACGATCAACAGGGTTGAACACAGTCGCTGCTCATTTGTGATCCTTCCGCAGGTTGTGGTGAGGGCAAGGTCTGCCTGAAGCTCTTCATGGGTTTCTTGGCCGCGGCTAGGAACCATCTCAGTCATGGTTTGGGCTGAAAGTGGTGCACTGCAAACCAAAGATGTTCACAAACCAATGGAATGCAATTCCATGAAGGGGAAATGTTATTTGGACCTTTTGAGACCCACTGGAATTTAGACCTGGTTACCTCGAATATGACATCATCCCCTATTGTTGTTGGCAATTCCTCGCAAGAAACTGAGTTCCTTTGAGCTACTCGTGCTGTGACTCGGCAAAAGGATTGGGGGTTGGTCATCCCTAAATGGCTGAACTGGTCAGGTTGGTGAATTATATGTAACTTTATCCAGACATAATATGTATATATTTACATATTTATTTACAGGTTTGATATATATTTATATATAGATTTATAGTTATATATATATATTATATCATGTACATTTAAATACATATAATATATAATTATATATATGCCTCTATCTAATGTATCCATGCATGTGTTTCTGTAGTGTAGACACATATATATATATATATATATATATATGCACACTTACGGTATTGAAGTTAACCGTTACTGGTTGATGATTCCACCCAACCTATCTCCCTTGACACATAACTTTGACTTGTTGGAGGCCCAAGGCTGATTTTCCCGTGGGCAAATCCTTCAATTGGGGAATCTAGAGAGAATATGTTTTCCTTTTTTCTGGCCATTTTTAGCAAATCCAAGAGAATAACTATTCTATGTTGCCCAGTATTATCAACACTGGAACGAACCTACAAAACCAGGAAAAGAAATGTGACTATCCATTATCAGATCAGATTAACAGAGAACAACCAACGTCCTGAAGTGATGCTCCTCAATCTGAAATTTCTCCTCACATAACCAACCCATCACTTTACATGCCAGCACCTTCAACAGTTCTCAGATTCTCCCTGTCCTCGTTCAAAGCTCGAATTTCTCCCCATTTTCCCCACCTTTTTTTGCCCCCAAAAAATATCCTCAAGCTCCGCCAACAACCACAATCCATTTCTGACTCGGGATCATCTGCATTCAAGTCCTCATTATTATCCCATTATCATATCATCATTTTCCCAGTATTCCATTCAAATCCCATCATTCTCCCACTCTTCTCCCACTCCTACCATACTTCCCTCAAAGGTTAGTCTTTCACCCCCCAAACCAAGGTGAAGACCTGGAAACCCACGAGATCTTCGACCGCAACGCCAAGAACGCCGTCAGCGCCGCCGACAAACTCGGCGCCGGCAACCCGCCGCCAGCGCCGGCGCCAGCGCCGGCGAAGGGCTTCGGCAGCGAGACGTCGGCATCGGCGCTGAAGGCCGCGGAGGAGGCGTCCGCAGGGACCAGTGAGGCGACGCCGGAGCCTTGGGTTTTTGATGGGAAATTGGTGGATTTCATGGTGATTTAAAGAAATATATATATATATATATTTATATAGTTGTGATTTATGGTGATTTTTTTTGGATCAAACTTCTGGTGGTTTCTAAGTATATATTAATTTTAACGGGAAAATGGTAGTTTTTTTGTGATTTGATGGGATTTACTATTGGTTATTAGCCTTTATTGGGGGTATCTTGGGAGATATGGAATGGGAAAATATATCTCCCTAGAACCATGGAAAACAAATGGGTATTTGACTGGCAAAACGAGGAACTTCAACCTGATTCAACCTATTATCACCTGGGGGGTGATTTTTGTACGGAAAAGTTTGGCAGCAAAACCAGCCCCCTTTCTCACCATCCCCTGGAAAAGGTTGGTCACCAGGGTGACACTGATCAGGGCCATTCAGCGCTTTAGTAATTTGACATAGTTTTAAGGAAAATTGCCCATTTCTAGATGATGTACCTGCAAAAAAGGATTATTTTCCATAGCTAGATGAGATTACCAGAGGGTATTGAAATTTGATTTGCCCACTTGTGGCAGACAATATTGCACCTTCAACCATTTACCGGGAACGGTCTGCCATGATGAGACTGCAGGTTCTCACACGTTTGGGACAACTATGCCAGGAATCGTACTGTAGTTGTTTACAAACATCCCATACCCAAATCAACGGCTTGAGTTGATTACTTTCATGCATTGTTTCGTTCATGTTTGGATTCCTTTGTAGATGGGTGGTTTCGAATATGTCCTTATTATGTCAATGTTCCATCCTTGAAATGTGATGATGCTTTTCACATTCTGTGGATGGAAAATAAAAAGCAAACCAAGACTTGTTAGGAAAATTTGGAGGACCTGTGTTTTGACGCTAAATCATGGATCATTCCCTCCCGATTTTGTTTCGTATCAATCCACCGGACAACCAGCACCATTCTTGGGATGTTCACCACGGACATTGACCCACAGCCGTCTCAATACCCCTCCAGTTCAGACCCAAGGAATGCTATCGCTCGAACGACTGGACGAAAATTGCATGCCCAAAATATGCACCTTGTCGCTGGGGACGGAATATATGACATTAGATGGGACCCTCCATTTGCCCATGGAGAAGGCTTTCATTGTTGCTGGTTGGTAGTTTGATGAATTGAATTTCCAACCTTGAGATGAGTATCCTCAAGTGGCTGAAACTACGAAGCACGGTAGACATGTTTGGCCATGTGATTCTCATATCGGGCAGATCAAAAAAGGGTTGATGGTCATGAAACTAGAAGTAGATCCTAGCCTGGCAATGTTCACAAACATGCTGGATTTTTGGACAAACTCATGTGGCTGAAAGCATGGAATCGCTGATTTCAGGTTGGAGTATATCCCACTATACCCCTATTATGATCTATTATGTACATGTGGAGTTTCCCTGACATGTGGGTACCCCCAAATCACCCAGTATAGATGGGATTTTCCATTATAAAGCATCCAGCTACTGGGGTATCCATTGATGGAAACCCCCATTTGCAAATACATATATATATATATATATATTAAGATATAGAAAGATAATACATAGATAATGCCCCTGTTATGAGTGGTTGGTGGTTTCAAACATGTTCTATTTTCCATAATATACCAATGGGAATTCCAGGATCCTAAATTGGAGGTACCTACCATATATAAGGCCTATGTAAGGCCTATGTAAGGGAATATCCCCACAAAATATGGCCTTATATGGTACAGTACCTCCAATTTAGGATCTTGGAGATCTCCCATTGAATATATGGGACAATCCTTCCCATCTGACTTTCATATTTCTCAAGATGGTTCAAACCACCAACCAGGTGCCATGAAAATTCCCATTAGATCCTATTAGACCACCGTTAAATGCCATTAAACCACCATTAAACCACCATTAAACCACCATTAAACCACCATTTCCTGGTTTTTGGTTATAAGTTGGTTAACAAAAGCCCCAGTAACTATAGTTATAAATGCCATAAACCATAGTTATTGGAGTTATGTTCACCATTTGCACCATTTCCTTGCGAAAGTTTTTCAAGATCTAAAAACGCCACCGAGATCCACCGAGGATCAGACGAAATGCTCGAGCTACAGTGAGACGCTGGAGCTGAAGCGTCATGTTGGTTACCCTCTGGTAATTTAACATAACTATGGAAGGATCCACCATTTTTCATTGGAAAATTCACTAAAAATGGTGATTTTCCATAGTTATGTTAAATTACCAGAGGGTAATGTTTTCCCATCATTTCATGGTAAGTTTGACCATCAGACTATGGGGATATAAGTCGATAATAGTGGATAACTGATATATGATGGTTGGTGATCAAAACAGTTATCCCTGGTTTTAAGGGGAAAATCATGATGAACTGGGTCTTCACGCGTCGTTTCTGGGATTTAAACCTCAAGAGTCGATACATGAGGGGTGATTCAAGGGTCATACTACCCTACAATGGAAGGACAGGTTTTAAACACTGCTCATGTGGGCTTAAGCAAACTTGTGGCGGTGCATCCCACTTACAGTACTTCGTTTTACTACCCATGTAACCCCTATAATATCGAGATATTCCACATACAGCCGGGTTGTAAGATGGTCTTTACCCAGAAAAAGGATGCCTGGATTGCACATCCAAGTATATGAGCCCCCAAAGCCCCAAAGAGATAGAACAGTTGTTCCAGTATGTAATTGAAGTTACAAGGTGGCCCCCCCCAGTTACAAGTTAGTTCATAGTTTATAACCCCCAACAACTGTAGATATATCTCCTATAAACCCTAGTTGTTGGACTTCTGAAGCAACTTGACATATCGTGTTTTCCTTTCCCTTTCAGACACTTTTTTAGAATCCCAACTCTCCAGGAGGTTCCACGGAAAACTCTGTGGCGATGGATCTGGATTTTGACATAACTCCTATGGGCTGCTACTTGAATTGGCCAACATATTTAGTTTGCAGTGTTTCTTCACCATCAAGCAGCTTGCCCCAGCGGGTGTTTGGGCGATCAGATTTGGATTTTGTTGGGTTCCTTGAATTCTATGTTTTGACCCAGTTGTGTTGCTTCGACTCAGTGCTTGGGTTGCCCGCTTTGAGTAGCTATATATTGCCGTATTCAATAGAATCGCAGATGGACTGGTCATGGGACCTAACATCACCTGTTGGGGGAAGCACTTTGGGAGCAGCATCACTAAGCCACACTGTACACATTTACATTCCGCAAGGCACAACCCAGAACAAAGAAAAAGATTATATTGGGTGTTTTGAACCACTTAGTTTGTCACATGCTACTGGTCAAACTGTATCAGGTTTTTCTGTTGAGGTCCCTAATGATATGGTTATGTGTGTATTAGTATGTATATGTGCAATGGCCTGTTTTTTGCATACTATAAATTTCTATATGTTTCAAGTGGTTATTAATTTTTGATGGACAAATATATAGTAATATACTACCGCGTTCCATCCACAAAATACGACTTGCACCTTTCAGTCATCAGGAATGACTGCAGTTCGGGATGTGGCAGCAACAAAGTCTGCGTGAAGTTGTACATGAGTTCCTTGGGCCCGGATGGTGTGCCCTGGGGGCGAACATTGGAGGATTAAACCGGGCAGTTGTCTACGCTCTGGTAATTTAACATAGCTATTGAAGATTGCACATTTATAGTTGATTTACCTATTCAAGACTGTGATTTTCTATAGCTATGTAAGTTTACCGGAGGGTAACCAACAACGCATGGCTTGTGCTACTTGTGGCTTTTCTTGGTAGTGGAACAAACCTATAAAGTCGTTGGACAATGGAACCAGTAGCAATTGCTGGGAGAAATGGCTCCGAAGTCTCCAATCTTTTGAGACCTCCCATTTTACAGCTGGGGATACTATACTTAGCTGCAAACATGAAAGTGGGGATGGCACAGCGGAAAGTCGCGACCCTGAACCTAAGCACAATACGTGAAATCATTGGATGATTATGACCACTGCCAGAGGACACAACCTTAGCATTGCAGGGCTTCACTGCCTCACAAGAGGCAACTTAAGGTGGTGTGACGTGATCAAAAATTCATGCAATGACATGTATTAGCACGTGTAATGCAATGTGGTGTAATTTCATGTACAAAAACTGTACAAATACAAGTCCATACATACATTTGTGGAATATGTACAGATGAATGTCGATGTTTCATCACGAACATTATGTTGCTAAGTAATACGTGTATACATATATATATATATATTATTTATATACACATGTATATACATATGTTCCATCACAAATTTTGATAAATAGCATGTTGTACACATGTATAGCAAGTACCCGTTTGTGGGTAATATTATAGAACAACAATAAATATATAATAATGTATGCAGATGTTTCGTATTCCAGCTTTTTATCATCATTTCATAGTTCTTTATAATGTTTCGTAATGCATGTATTCCATAATTATCATGGATGGATGGATGGTGTTTAACATTATTGTTTAATATCCATAATTATGACAATGATCATTATCACTATACTTACTATTATGTACATACTTGCGATTGTTCGTATTGTGGTTTCATCGTCACACTACTAATACTGATAATCTAATTATTGTGTCATGATTACTTCATTGTCATGCAATATGTATTTTTAACGTTCCAAAGCTCGGTGGATGTGGGAAGCGCAGAAAAGGAGAGCGAGCAACTGGCGATTGCTTCGTTGACATTGCTCTTTGATGGAAAGGCAGACTCAATCCTTCTCAAGCAACTGTCCTTGGACCCCAACGCCTCTGCTGAGAGCATTGTCCAGATACCAGATCTTTCCCATCAGGACATCCTGAACTTTGAGAATATCATGTCAGCTTGGCACTCTGAAAATCCGGTTGTGGCTGCTGAGAAGGAGCTTGAGCTTCGTAATTCGTGTGTCATATTCCATTAATTCCATTAATATCAAACTATCCCCTCATAATTCGATGGAACATGAAGTTTCATAATTCCATACTACTCAAAGGTTAGTGATCATTTCATTATCATATATTGACTACTATAGATTAATTATTAAAGTATAATGGGATTGTTTGTCCTATAACCATCATATACACTTATCATTAATTGAGTATCATAGATTAATTATCCATCATATATTAACAAGAATAAATAACCCATAAATCTGTACTAATCATAAGAATCATTAGTAATCATAGATTAATAGTCGTACATGAATGACAATACCACACATTAGTCAATGTTTATCATGTCAATTGGGGATTTAAATAACAGACAGTAGCATTAATATAATAATATATTAAGATTGTAACAATGATTATTTTGTACCATTGATCTATGCAATTATCATTTATCATTTCAAACATGTAATGACAATACAATGATCATTTTTTAGTTATCATATTATGATAATGAAATCATCTTTAATCATGATACATTAATAGGTGAGTAAAATAATGATCAATAAATTATCGAAGGAAGTTTAGAAGTCAAACTTCCGATAATATGGACAGCTAATTACACTACAACTACTACAACAGCCACTACTGCTACTACTACTACTACGACGACGACCACCACCACCACCACGACTACTACTATACTACGACGACGACGACCACCACCACCACCACCACCACGACAGCTACACTGCATTGCATAGCAATACACGAATTCAATTGCAGTACATTACAGCTACAAACACAAATACAACTAGAACTACACGACATTACACAACACTACACTAAACTAATTTCATTACATTACGCTGCAACTGCAACTACCACTACATTGCACTACATGGCACTACACTACAACTACAACTTCACTAGTTCACACTACAATACACTAGACCAGACTACACTATACCACGCTACAGCTACAGTACACAACACTACAGGACACTACAATACACTACACTAATTACACCACACCACAACTACAACTGCAACTGCAACTACACTACACTACTTACACTACATTACAACTACAACTTACAGCTACAACTCCACTACAATTACAACTACAAGTGCAACTACAACTACACCTGCAACTACAACTACAACTACTGCGCGACACCATTACTACAGTTACTACAATTAAGACAATTACAACTTCAACTACACTACAACTACGATTACAACTACAACTACAACTATTGCGCTACGCCACACTACATCCAGGAGTTGTGAGTGAGGTGACCGCTGCAACCACTGCAACCACTCCAAAAAGCACAACTCCAACCACCTTTCGGTTCATCAGTGGATTCGCTCTGCCATCCGTGAGTCACAACAACCAACCCTTCCTAGAGGTTTTCTATTTTTGAAACTTCCGTCACCGCCTTATGCGGTACTACTGGTAGATTGATCATTAATAATCATAGATGAGTTGTTCCCTCAGAAATCCATGGAATATGAAGTTCCATAATTTCGGAATAAGTAATGATCATTTATTATCATAGGTGAATTATATATCGTATTGCCATTCCATTGTGCACAATGCTGCTGGTGTGCCAGAAAGGGATGTTCAAGGGCTCCTTTGTGCACGTGAACCACGGCGTCTGCAAAGCTGTCAGATACAACCTGGAACGGACTACCCCCTACATTGCGTCGAATGTGGTGCATTGATGCCACTAGCAGCCACGTCAGCAGCTCCAGAATCGCATGTCACCAGCTCAGATGTGCGAGCATGACATTTTCATATATATATATATGTTACACACATATATATATATATATATACATATCAAGGTTTTTTATTTTGTCAAACATGTTTTGCATGTATATAAGTATCTATATATCTATATATATATATATACAGGTCGGTCATCAGTGTCAACATTTAAGGAAGCACCAGCATCAACAACATCACCTGTTTGGACTCGTAGATGACTCAAGCCACCTCCACGCACGCGCCGCGCCAGGTCCCATGAGCTATAGCTGCTGTCGCTCGGAAAACTTGAGCGATGTACGTGGCAGCGCAGTTCACGTTAAGGGAAAATCATTATGAACATGTGGGAAAATGATGAGAAAATATGAAAAAACAGTTATAAAATCTATAATTTGATGTGTTAAGTGTTCATGATTTTAATGGGCGAATCATAAGAACATGTTGGAAAATGATGGGGAAATCAGCTGTAGATGAAGCTTTCTAGCTGGGAAAATCATCGATTCAACCAACTTCCAACAGGCTATCCTCAAGAATGTTTGAGTTTATCAAGGCCCCAACCAGCACAATTAAGGGGGTTACCCTCTGGTGAACTAACATAGCAATGGAAAATCACCATTTTTCATGGGAAAATCCACTATAAATGGCCATTTTCCATTGCTATGTTAGTTCACCAGAGGGTACTAAGTTTAGTAGCCATCTATAGTTGGGTGACATGTAGGGTTGCTTGAATCCCTTTGATAAGTCTATATAAGACTGATGACTGGTTCCGAGACCATTTTTGGCAAGGTATGGGAAGCATATGGAATATCCCGTTTTTTGTTTCAGATAATGCACATTGGATGTGGAAATATGGGGCCAATGTTTGAGCGCAATGTTGGGTGGTTCACCTATTCGTGTTTCTTGCAGTACATTTTAAACAAAGCAACAGTACATTGGTCTCAGGTGGTTCCACATTGCAACGTCTGCATTGATATCTTGTAACCTTTGCCCTTTCTTGAAATTTCGGCCATCCCATATTTGTATATATGTACAACGTTAAAGTATAGTTTTTAGCATGATTACCTTAAATTATAGGTAATCATGTGAAAAATATGATTTTGATAAATGTTGTTTTTCCCATGATTCATTACCTATAATTAAAAAAACAACTATAATCATATATATATATATAAACATTATATAGATATATACATATTTTTTCACAAAGTCCGGGTCCGCTGCCAGGAGGTGAACATTCCCCCAATCAATCTCAATGGGGTCCAAGGCTTTAGTTGTATCATGGTTACACATGAGCATGTTCCCGACAGGTGCAACTGCTGACTGATCAGTACTTCGACCAGGTGCTTTGCTTTGATGACGAGGCTGCCTTCAAACAGTCATTGAAGGAACGAATCTTCCAGACATGGAGAGCCGCGTACACCACTGTAATCCAGCCTGGAGTTGGGAAGAGCAGCCAGCTCTGTGGATCCCGCACGAGTGTTGCAACTCTGCCATGAATGCCCCGCATGGGGCCGTTTTGTGCCTACCATTGCTTCCAACCGTGCTTGCCCATGTTTATGAGTCAAACCGGAGTTTAAAAAAGGTGCCCATCTACACAACTTTGGGATTCCAAATGATTGGTTGCTGCAGCCTATCTTCACACTTTTGAATTTATGAGCCAAGTATCCCCATCCATAAGTTTCAATTCTCATTTTTCCCCATTGTGGATTTAACCAAACAGGAAAATCGAAGGCTTTCGGCCAGTTTTGTTAGTTCAAATTCCTGTTCTGAATGGCCCGCTCGCGGGATGGTTGATATTCAGGGTCTATGTGAGTTGCGAAGATGGTAATTGCCTGATGTTGGAGATGGAACCTATCGAAAATTCCATATACTCCCAGTCATCTCAAAATTCAGTTTAGCTTTATACACCCAGATGGTGGTTATACATCACATTAGATGTTCCTATTATTTCCCCGGTGCCATTGACGAAATCCCTCATTTTCTGCATAAACCATGTCGAAAATTCTGAGGTGAAGATGACATGCAGCAGATCTTCCAACGCGATGAATCTGCATCAGTTCCCGCGGCCCCCAAAGCAGCAGCTCGGAGTGAGGCGACTGCCAACATGTGGGACTCCCACTATTTGTGAATCATTTTCCTGGGAAAATCATGTTTTTCATGTTTTTCCATATTACCCTCTGGTTATGACTAACATAGCTATTGAAATGGCCATTTATAGTGGATTTACCCATTAAAAATGGTGATTTTCCATAGTTATGTTAGTTTACCAGAGGGTATGTTATTTATGTTACTTTACCCCAGGATAATCATACAATCGTCCTTCTTCCATTTTTGGCCATACTTGTGTCAGTTCTCATCAAAATGTTTGAATTTCTCGTTTTCAGGACAAACATATATAATATGTACATACATACTGTACTTTTCTTCAGTTAATATTCCCAGTTCTGCTGACCAACGTCCCCACCTTGAACAGTGAAATCCCCACTCTGATAGGTCAACATTGGTTGCTGGTTTATACCGAGGAGTGAACGATTTGATGTCATCATTTCTGTTGGTTAAACAGTAGCTATTAGTTTGATCCTCTCGTGTTTGAATTGACAATATTTTGTTTTAACTGTTGATATACCATGTTTGTTGTTTCAAGGACCGGTGTTTGCTACTGAATCTGCCGTATTGGAGTTTGATTATCCTTTTTTGTTGGTTGGCTTTTCTTCTCGTAACGTAATATGCTGTTTTGGAAAAGCACCACATTTAAAAGGAAAAGCCCCACGTTTAATAGGTAAATCATCGAACTAAATGGGCCATGGTTTCCATAGCGAAGTCAGCACATTTTCAAGGGTATCCAGATATTCCATGTTATCCCATTACAACCCCATCATATCCCAACGATATCCCAATTTGATCCCTCTAAAGCCCTAGTAGTTCTAGGTGTTGGTGAAAAACCCTCTATAAATCCCTAGTTTTAGTTGGTTAAACCATGATAAAAACCTTATAGATTCTAGGTTTTTGGTTGCTTCAACCCACCATCCCTCGTTGATCGCCAAGGTGAGCCCAAAGGAAGAGATCGCCGAAACAGCGGTCGCCGAAACGCAGCCTGGATCGATGGCGACGTGGGGTTTTGGGCTTGTTGGAGAAGCCCATCCGAAGATTTATAACACAATTATAGGTCAAGTGATAATAGCTGGAGAACAATGATAGGATAACAATTCTGAGTTCTATGATTGTGAATAGTGTATAGAATTATAACTATTCAATAAATATTGACTATTTTTCACAATTATTGGCTAATAATAGTTGGATATTCGAAGGAAGTTTAGAAGTCAAACTTCCGACAATATGGACAGATGAAAAGCAGAGCAGGGCAGAGGCAGAGAGAAGAGAAAGATTAGAAGAAAGAAGAGTAGAAGAGAAAGAGTAAGAAGAAAGAAGATGCAGATGCGCGAAAAGGTAGGAAAGTCGCGAAACACTGTGTTTTTCCAATGATTTGAGGCTCCGGGGGGTCGAAAAGTAAGCTAGCTAAAGCGGCGGGTGCGGAGCCAGCTGGCCAGATGAGAGATGAAAAAGTGCACGCCGTTGTGGCGCGAAGCACATTTCCAAGTCAAAATGTGCAAAGCACACCACCGTCGGACCACTTTTGGAAGTTGAGATGTCGAAAAAGTGCACGCCGTTGTGGCGCGAAGCACGTTTCGAAGTCAAAATGTACAAAACACACCATGGTCGGACCACTTTTGGAAGTTGAGAGATGAAAAAGTGCACGCCGTTGTGGCACGAAGCACATTTCGAAGTCAAAATGTACAAAACACCTCAGCTTCGGACCACTTTTGGAAGTTGAGATGTCGAAAAAGTGCACGCCGTTGTGGCGCGAAGCACATTTCCAAGTCAAAATGTTAAAAACACCAGGGGTCCGGACCACTTTTGGACGTTGAGATGTCGTTCCGCGTGGCAGGTGCAAGGGATTGTCGGTCTTGTCGAAAGTGAGCAAAACGTGAGGGTTTTGTAGCAATTCCAAAATCGATGGCAGGCATGGGGCTTTTGAAGAGGATCTGCAAAGATGCATTTTCCGTGGCAGGCGCAGTACAAAAGACATGTTCATGAGAGATGTTAGGAGGTCAGGGCGCTCATTTCCTGAGAGGGGGTGCATTTTGGAGCATCAGATCTGTAGGTTTGCTAAGATGATTTTGCGTGACAGGTGCAGCACTTCGTATGACCTGGCATCAATTTTTCGTGGCAGGCGCAGTACGTTAGAGAGGTGGAGTAGAAACATCGCAAAACGCATTGGCACGAGGCTGTCAGCGCTGCACTCAACTTTCCATGTTTGAAGGCAGTCTCGCAAAATTGTTTTGTTTTTGATGTTGTCAAGTTCAAAAATTGAAGAATTCTCGCAGAATTGCTTTGTTTTGGATGTTGCCAAGTGCAAAAAAATGAGAAGTCTCGCAGAATTGTTTCGTTTTGGATGTTGTTACGTTCAAAAATTATGGAAGTCTCGCAGAATTGCTTAGTTTTCAAACTTGCAGATAGATAGACAGACAGACAGACAGAGAGAGAAAGAGAGAGAGAGAGAGAGAAAGATAGATGGATAGATAGATAGAAAGATAGATAGATAGAAAGATGGATAGATAGAAAGATTGGTTGATTGATTGATAGATCAGCTAGATAGGTAGATAGATAGATACATAGTTAGATAGGCAAATTAGATAGATTAGATTAGATTAGGTTAGATTAGATTAAATTAGATACGATACATAGACAGACAGAAAGATAGGTAGGTAGATAGGTAGATAGATAGATAGATAGATTGGTTGATTGATTGGTAGATCAGGTAGATAGGTAGATAGATAGATAAATAGGTAGGTAGATAGATAGATAGATTAGATAGATTAGCTAGATTGGATAGATTAGCTAGATTAGATAGATTAGATAGATAGATAGATAGATAGATTAGATAGATAGATAGATAGATTAGATAGATAGACAGATAGATAGATAGATAGATTAGGTAGATTAGATTAGATTAGATTAAATTAGATTGGATTAGATAAATTAGATAGATTAGATTGATTAGATTAGATTAGATTAGAATAGATAGATTAGATTAAATTAGATAGATTAGATAGATTAGATAGATTAGATAGATTAGATAGATAGATAGATAGGTAGATAGACAGATAGATAGATAGCTGGATAGATAGGTAGATAGATCAGAGTAGATTAGATTAGATGAGATTAGATTTGATTAGATTAAATAGATACATAGATAGATTAGATTAGATTAGTTTAGATTAGATAGATAGATAGGCAGATAGATAGATAGATAGATAGATAGATGAAAAGATAGATAGACAGTTAGACAGGTGGATAGATAGATAGATAGATAGATAGATAGATAGATAGATAGATAGATAGATAGGATTAGATAGGATTAGATAGGATTAGATAGGAATAGATAGGATTAGATAGATAGATCGATAGATAGGATTAGATAGGATTAGGTAGGGTTAGATAGGATTAGATAGATAGATAGGTTTAGATAGATAGATAGATAGATAGGTAGATAGGTAGATAGATAGATGGATAGATATTTAAAAAGATAGATAGACAGATAGGCAGATAGACAGATGGATAGATAGATAGATAGATAGGATTGGATAGGATTAGATAGGGTTCGGTGAAATAGATAGATAGATAGGATTAGACAGATAGATAGGATTAGATAGATAAATAGATAGATAGATAGGTAGATAGATAGATAGACAGATAGATAGATTAGATAGATAGATAGATAGGTAGATAGATAGATAGATAGATTAGATTGATTAGATTAGATTAGATTAGAGTAGATAGATTAGATAGATTAGATAGATTAGATAGATAGATAAATAGGTAGGTAGATAGATAGATAGATTAGATAGATTAGGTAGATTAGATTAGATTAAATTAGATTAGATTAGATAGATTAGATTGATTAGATTGATTAGATTAGGTTAGATTAGATTAGATTAGAATAGATAGATTAGATAGATTAGATAGATAGATAGATAGATTAGCTAGATTAGATAGATTAGATAGATAGATAGATTAGATAGATAGATAGATAGATCGATAGATAGATAGATAGATTAGATAGATAGACAGATAGATAGATAGATTAGGTAGATTAGATTAGATTAGATTAAATTAGATTAGATTAGATAGATTAGATTGATTAGATTAGATTAGATTAGATTAGAATAGATAGATTAGATAGATTAGATAGATTAGATAGATAGATAGATAGATAGACAGATAGATAGATTGATAGATAGGTAGATAGATAGATAGATAGAAGGAGAGATAGATTAGATAGATAGATTAGATTAGTTTAGATTAGATAGATAGATAGATAGGATAGATAGATAGGTAGATAGATAGATAGATAGAAGGAGAGATAGATTAGATAGGATAGATAGGAAAGATAGGATTAGGTAGATAGATAGGATTAGATAGGTAGATAGATAGATAGATAGGATTAGATAGATAGATAGATAGATAGATAGGATTAGATAGATTAGATAGATAGATAGATTGGATAGATTAGATAGATTAGATAGATTAGATAGATTAGCTAGATTGGATTGATTAGCTAGATTAGATAGATTAGATAGATAGATAGATAGATAGATAGATAGACAGATAGATAGATAGATAGATAGGTAGATAGATAGATAGATAGATTAGATAGATTAGATAGATTAGATAGATTAGATGGGTTACATAGATTAGATAGATTAGATAGATTAGATAGATTAGATACATTTCATAGATTAGATAGATTAGATAGATTAGATAGATAGATAGATTGGATAGATTAGATAGATTAGATAGATTAGATAGGTTAGCTAGATTGCATAGATTAGCTAGATTAGATAGATTAGATAGATAGATAGATAGGTAGATAGATAGATAGACAGATTAGATAGATTAGATAGATTAGATGGGTTACATAGATTAGATAGATTAGATAGATTAGATAGATTACATAGATTAGATAGATTAGATAGATTAGATAGATTAGATAGATTAGATAGACTAGATAGATTAGATAGATAGATAGATTAGATAGATTAGATAGATTAGATAGATTAGATAGATAGATAGATTGGATAGATTCGATAGATTAGATAGATTAGATAGATTAGATAGATTGGATTGATTAGCTGGATTAGATAGATTAGATAGATAGATAGATAGATAGGTAGATAGATAGATAGGTAGGTAGATAGATAGATAGATAGATAGATTAGATAGATTAGCTAGATTGGATAGATTAGCTAGATTAGATAGATTAGATAGATAGATAAGATAGATAGATAGATAGATAGATAGATAGATAGATAGATCGGTAGGTAGGTAGGTAGCTAGGTAGGTAGGTAGGTAGGTAGGTTGATAGTCAGAGAAAGAGAGCAAAAGAGAGAGAGAGAGAGAGAAAGAATGAGAGAGATCAAGCACCTTTCGGTCCACCAGTGGCTTCGCTCTGCCATCCCTGATTCACAACAACCAACCTCTCCTATAGGTTTCCTATTTTTGAAACTTCCGCCACCGCCTTGTGCGGTACTACTGGTAAATGTTATTAAATCATGATTGTCAATAATATTTGGATAAACATGTTAGGTTTTGATTATACTGAGACTACATGAGATAAATTCTACAGTTGTTGTTTTTGGTGGCTATAGCTGGATATTGATTGACCCACGATAGTTGGATAGTCCCATACGTGCGTATCTAAGGATGATTGGGATGGAATTATGCAACTACAATGGGTCAATGGATGGAATTATCAAAATACCAGATTTACCCTCTGGTAAACTAACATAGCTATGGAAAATCACATTTTTTAATGGGAAAACTCACTATAAATGACCATTTTCAATAGCTATGTTAGTTTACCAAAGGGTATTCATGAAAAAAAAATCGGGATCTTTTGGGTTCCCATGTTCCTTGGTAGTTAATTTCAAGCGATGGGAATAGTAGTTTCCATATAATTTCGTCCGATAGTGAATGGGAAAGTATTTCAACTATTGCGCAAGCATGACCCCGAAGCTGCCACTTCCCCAGCAGCGACTTGTGGACAGGGCGCCACTGATACAAACCCAATCGCGAGTGCAGGGGCCCATGTGTGTTGAATTGGTTGTCAAACGAGCCCGGTGGACGTCGAGATCCCTTTCGACTCCATTGCGCAAGCTGCACTCGTGCCATTGTCATTGCACCCCTGCACCTTCCAGTTCTGCCACGAGCATCAAGGCATTGGCACATGCCATCGTCCAGGCACTGCCTCAGTAGATTGGAACACACGGCAGGCAGAAAACAGACGCCTCGTGCATGAGGCGGTGCTGCGGGGAAGACTCCAGGTGTTTTTCTGTGAGCAGCTGATGACGTCATGAATTTCGGCTCATGTACCCGCGCAGTTACATATGATATATGTACGTATATACATAAACTTAAAAAGATAGAAATGCATGTCCATGTTTCAAATGAGAATATGTTTATTTATGTACAATATATATTTATCTATCTATTTATCTATCTATCTATCTATCTGTCTATCTACCTACCGATCTATCTATCTATCTGTCTGTCTATCTGTCTGTCTATCTGTCTATCTGTCTATCTGTCTATCTATCTATCTATCTATCTATCTGTCTTTCTGTCTATGTACCGATCTATCTATCTATCTATCTATCTATCTATCTATCTATCTATCTATCTATCTATCTATCTATCTATCTATCTATCTATCTATCTATCTAACCTACGGCAGCAGTTCTATTGCGCAGCACAGGTCCAAATGGAATGACCGGAAGAGTCACAGATTCCAGCAGTGGTCCGGACTTAGTCATCCCATATTTTCTGGTTTATCCAACTTACTAAGTGGGTCATAGTTATTAGTTTTAAGTTATAAGTTAAAACCTTAGTCGTAACTGGACAGCCTACTGGCCCTACTTGTAAATGAAGTCATGACCTATTTACCAACTGGGGTGAACCACCAAGTATTTGTGGGTACCAAATTTAGACCCTTGCATTCATCCAACATAGAACAACTCGTCAAATCTCTAGCTATCATCCATGGAGTAGTATAGATTCTACAATAATACTTAAGTAGATTCTAGCCATCCTACAATCTACAACAATCCATTTATACAATCCATTGGAGTAGTATAGATTCTACAATAAATGATGCAAGTGAAGGATTTCTCCTTTGGAATAATCTAATCTCAATGGATTCCAATACTTAAAGGACCAGATACCAACAGTTTGGATCACTGACTGATGAAGTCCCGGGGAAGTTGGCGGATGTGTAAAAAGAACATGGGTGGAAGACCCTTCAAAAAATGACCGTATTGATAGGAAGAATGATGAAAACCCATCCAGCCTGACCAGGGTTTGAGTTGCTGGAAAGTACCCCATTCATATTTATTGAATAAAGCATGGTGAACGTCCACATGGAGGATGTGGTATACCCCAACATCTACGTGACGTGGCATCCCCCCATTTCCAGGGATTAATGCACCCCTTAGACAGACTCCCAGCTTCATGGTGGCATGACCATAACGCACATAATTTCATTGGGTCAACCTTGGTTAGATACTCCAGTACTTCATTCAATCTTTTGCTATCAATGGTAGTGCACTCGCCAGCTAAAAACGAGATTTTTTGACAGGTATCTAAGATTCGCCTAAATCAACGGGAATTCCAGGATCCTAAAATGGAGGTACTGTATCATATAAGGCCTTATTTTGTATGCATATTCCCTGAAATTTAAGCCTTATATAGGCCTTATATACGGTAGGTACCTCCATTTTAGGATCCTGAAATGGCCCTTGACTAAACGAGCCTTGTGTTTGGCATTGCATGCACCTTGGTCCAAAGGGAAGTCTCGTGATGATCCCCATGGGTATGGGTCAAAACCAGCCCTTCTGTTCACACCGAAATAGCCTGGGATTGACGGATGGTTCAAGCACCATAAGTGGTTGGTGGTTTCAAACATGAATTTTATTTTCCATTTCATACATGGGATAATCCCAACCCCATTGACGAACTCATATTGTTCAAGATGGGTTTTATACCACCAACCAGATAAAGATGGAACAAGCAGCAACCAGTTTTGCAAACCATTCCGGTCCATTCCCTCACTATCACCTGGTAAGGCCAAGTGTGGAGCTCCCCTTCACAGGCGGAGAGTCAGTCCGTTGTTCACATCGTTTTTTTTTGTTCTGTTGATGATCCATGGCTTATGGATGTTTATGGCAGGTATATCTAATGGGCTGTTTATCAACCAACTCACATAACTGACCTGCCCACCTTGTAGGCCTCACATGGGTCTGTCTGAAAATCGAGTACCCCAAAATCCAATGGTTTAGAATTTTTGTTTCCCTATCATTTGATTAACATGATTAAAATGGGGTATCCCCCATGTTTGGACAAACCCATTTGGTTCTTGTTGAACCAGGATGACCAGGTCAAACTTGGATGGCTAGTTTAGTACAACTTCTTCTTTTGCCATAGATGGATGCAAATGGGCATAGAAAAGTAATGCATATATATATATACATACGAACCAGTGTTTCAATCAATGAAAAGTAGCCAAGGCAAATTATATATGACAAGATGACGATAAGTAGGGGAAACCACCTCCAAGTTTCTCCATAGCGCAGTGCTAGTTGGGGGTGCTACAGATGCTTTCATCCTGGATAATGATCCACGGTTGTATCGTGGATTCTCTTGGAAACGGATGTGAATGGTTTCCACAGGAATTACGACGCATGGTCACTTGCAACTAGTCACTAACTAGTCTATACCGCTTCAAGATTCCAAGAGACAGTGCTATTGCAGAGCCGAAATATTAGCATCCATATCTGTATTTCCATCAGTTTCCCATACTGTTGGGGGTTCTTATGGGAGGCTTGTGGGAGGGTACCATCATTATGGGTCAACAGGGGGGGCTGAACCAGTTGCCACAGACCACCAGTTGCCATCCTTCCCAGGATCATCTCAGTCTACTGGGACTACCCGACTCGACTTTGGACATTTACTGGTTTTCTATGACCCATCCACTGGTTCATCATGATCTCCCCATATCTTCCCCACTAGAACATAAGTAAAATGACCATATTCAGGTGCCATATTAATCTGCTGAAAAAGCGTTTGGATCCAAGCGCCTCCTGTTTTCAGTAGGACTTGGGAAGGAGTTCGAAGGTTGCACAATGTTACCTTCTTAGAAAGGATCTGAATCTGTGTTTGGTTCATCCTACTTAGGTGAGGAAGTTCGCCCCATTTAGCATGATTTAGGAGGGTTTCTGTTCACTCCCAGGCCTTTTTCCCTGGGGTTTATAACCATGGTTGTACTGTTGAAAACTGCACTCGCAACAAACATCTATGTTCAAGCCGATGGATGATATCTCCATGTTTGCTCAGCAGTTACATCACCAGGTCAATGGGAATAAAAAAGGCCATATGAATTGTGGGGATATTCCCTGAAATTTACGGAAAAATAGGCCTTTTATTGTAGGTACCTCCAATGGTCAATAAGGGGTATTTACTGGGATTAATGATTAATAATGGGTATAATAGGCCTTATATATTGTAGGTACCTCCAATTTAGGGACATCAAAGAGTCGCCAAAGAGTCGCTGGTTCCATCCCCAACCTTTTTTCCACGTGAAATCGCGAGGTACGGCCGGCTCGTCGGGACCCAAGTTGTGTCCATTTCGATATTTCGGGAGGTGATGATAGTGGGTTAATAGTGGCTTAATAGTGGTTAATAATGGTTAATGATGGTTAATAGTGTTATATGGCTGGTTAATAGTGCTTAATAATGGGATGATAATCTGGGGACGCTGGTTTCAAACATGGCTGTTATGTATGGTGTAATGATGCTTAATGATGGTTAATAATGGCTAATAATCACTGGTTGGTGGTTTAAAACATGAATTTTATGACTTTCCACAATATATGGGATAATCCCAACCCCATTGACTTTCATATTTTTCAAGATGATTAAAACCACCAACCAGGTAATAATATTTAATGATGTTATATAGTATCATATGGTGATGTAGTGTAATGGCGATATATAGATTTATACTATACATATATACTATAGTGGTTTTTAACCCGTATATAACCCATCGTAAAATTCGTCTCACTGGGATAGTTCACTACTTGTTCCCGCCTGCGATTCCTAGGATGCACTCTCAAGTAGTTTCGCTAGTTGGTTTATCTTGACCCATCTCACCATGGTTATTTCATTACCAGTGAATACACAACTAGCATAACTACTTGAAATAACTAGCTTATGGTTAAGCTACAGTAGTTGAAATGGGGCTTTAACCAAGAGCATGGAACTGGCATTGAAATTATGGACAGCCAGACTGGAAAATTCAGCTACAAGCGCCAGATGTCAAAGCCACAAAGCAGGAGATTGAACAAGAGCACTAGATATCAACGATGTTGGTGATGAAGCTGGTGCTGGTAGCATTGATCTTCAGGTGCCTCCTGATCAATCTGACGTTTTCTTCACAGTTTCTGCCGAATTCTTCACAGTTCCAGTCTGAGCCTGGCGGATAAGGAGAGAATTTCCATGGCACTTTCCATGCTTTTTTGCATCGCTTGGACGTGGTTCCACCTTTTTTTGGGCGCCTTCGCTTGGACTTCTTTCAACCTCACGGCGCCAAGAGATGGTGATTTTGTTTCATCCCCGGCCGAACTCTTCAGGTGGGTGTCATATTGTAATTTACCCGGCCTGGTAAACATACAAAAAGCTATGGAAAGATCCACCATGTTTAATGGGAAAATCCACTATTTCTATGGCCATTTTCAATAGCTATATTAAATTACCAGAGGGTATGATGCTCCTATTTGGGTTTAGTATACGTAATAATGATGATTAACATAATCCCATTGGGATATTTTCTACACTGGTTGGTGGTTTGGAACATTTGGATTTTTTTTCCCATCATATTGGGAATGTCATCATCCCAACTGACTTTCACTCCATCATTTTTCAGAGGGATTAGCAGCAACCACCAACCAGCATTGATGTCAGACTTAGGCAACATTGAGAGACACTTGGTATGTTGTCAACCCGAACATCAACCCAGTGACCAACCGTAGCCAACCATTTGGGGTCGTTGAAACCATCCAAAATAGCCGGGAGACCCTCCGGAACCCTCATGGTGGATGGTCGATTATTCCGTTTACCCTCCGGCAAACGTCAAAATCTACCATTTATGATTTTCCCAGCTATAAACCTCCACTTTTTTGAAAAAAAACAGGGAAGATTCTCACACTAAAAAATGACCACAAAATTCATGATGCTAACAGTTTAGGATGGTATCAATAGCATAAACATTATACAGTATAATACAGGAATATGATGCTAAAAGTATCACAAGTCTGATTTACCCCCCGATAGGAAGACCATTTAGGCGCTTGAAAATTCCCACTGATTTCGGGTTTCGTTCGCATCGCGGACGCCAAGGCAAGGGAGCCAACTACAGAAGGCATGTGGGAGCAGCAGGTGTCGATCTTGGTGCCATAGGTGGTTGGGTTGAACCCCGCCCAAAAAAAAAATGTAACTGACATAATGACAATATTGGTTATGAGTATGGTTTATTGTTGGGTTTATATTATATCGCATGATATTGTATTATATTATACTGGTTGGTGGTTTGGAACATGTTTTATTGTTCCATATATTGGGAATAATCATCCCAACTGACGAATTCATATTTTTCAGAGGGGTTGAAACCACCAACCAGCTAGATGGATCGCTAGATGCATAGATGGAAAGACAATACACATCGTCACATTTCCACTTATCATCATATAACATCACATAATTATATATATATATATATGTAAATGCAACAAAATTTTATATATGGAGGTTTCCTAGAACGGGTTACCCCCCAATCATACATTTTCATAGGATTTTCCATTATAAACCATCCATTTTGTGGATCCCCCCTTCATGCAAATCCCCATATATATATATATATATGCATATATGCATATATAGTTATATATATATATATATGCTGCACATATATACAATGTATATATATATATATATGGTCACAGATACACGGGCAGATAGGAGCCCAGGATGAACCGCTGATGACAGCAGGAAGCTGCAGAACTGGCGCAGCTCGCAGGATGACCGGCTGCGGCAAAAGAAGAAATTCCGCGGCGGCCAACGTGTTGTTCAACGGCTATTTTGTTGGGACAAGCCTGAGATAATATGAGCAGTGTTCAAAACCCCTGTTGGTTGATTAAACCATCATGAAAATAGGGGTTTTAGCTGTTTTAACCATCAGAATATGGAGATATACTTGGCATATAGTTGATGAATGATGGTTGGTTGATGATTAGTTGAGGGATTATACTACCCAATACATTGGGGATTACAATAATCCAATAGAGGAATCCTGTTCTTAACCAACCAGTATTTCATGGAATGATAGAGGGATTTGTTTCACACTGCTCATATGGGATGATATAGGATAATAGGGTGAAATAGTCTAGGATAACATCGGAAAATGTGGGAGAATCAAATGACATGTCCATTTAAAAAACCTTTAAAGCATCTCCAGGAGCGATTTAGAGCTATCCATATCCCCTGTTTGATATGGAGCCAAGGAGATACTGACAGTTTACCAACATAATGATAGAAAACAGATGGCCAAATTTAAACCAATTGATTTTTGATTCCAAAATGATGGGAATTCAACATTATATGCATATACGCGTATTAGATATATACATATATATATATATGTATGTATACATACATATATATATACATATATATATATATTATACATGTTTGTGAGAGTGATTGAAGCTGTAAAAGCTCATAAACCAGCCTCAAAAAATTCGCTGTTGACCTGCAAAGATCTGTTATTCTGTGGCACCTCCAGCCACAGGCAGTTGGAAAACCATGCCATTTTTCCATATATGGCAGTGTGTCAAAACCTTGTACCACTGGTGAACATCAAAATAGCTGGTAAATGGATGTTCATCCCACTAAAAATGGTATTAATAGGTTTTGATCCATAGCCATATTGGGAATGTCATCATCCCAACTGACGAACTCCATCATTTTTCAGAGGGCTAGGTCAACCACCAACCAGATATATGTGGAGGATCAAAGGATGAACCTCCATTTGCCAGCTATAGCAGGGGCTTCAGCAGGGGTACCATGCGCATGAGCTTTTTTAAAAACACCGCTAGGGTGGTTTTTTCCCTTGTGCCCTGGGGAGAGGTTGCAGTCAGGATTGCATCTGGCACAGGGGTACCAAAGTGTTGACCCATACAGTACCCACGAAGAGCGAGAAGTCTAGGAGGCACTGCGAGGCTTTGATGTTGCAGTCCGCATTGATGTGCTCAGTTTCCATCCTGTCCCAGGGATTCCTGTTGAGTTTGTGCTTTTCCACCCTGGTGGCAAGAAATCATCCCAGGGGATCCAAGAAGGTGCCCCTGTTTACGAGTTGGCGTTCTAAGTTGGCGCATTGCAAACTCCAATTTCACGATGGTTTTTGTTGGTGATGTAAAAAAAGTTTTCATGGGATATATCGGATAAACAATGTTAATCATTTCTTGGTGATATATCTATAGTTTCTATATGTTTCTACAGTTTTCATATGGGATAACTCCAATTTATCATTGGGTCACCACCTTGTTATAACTATGGGAACATTTCCCAGGACCGCCAGGACCGGGGATGCAGTGGGACGTGGCCATCCAAACAGGGTGCTTTCCGAATGGCAGGGTTTCCTAATGGCTGGGGGATTATCCAGAAAATACCCCAGGTGTTTATTTCATGATGTTTTTGTTGTGGTGTAGAATGATATAGAAGATATAAAATGGGGAAACCATTTCAAAATGATGGTGGATTTTTCCAGATGTTCCTAAAATGGTGCTTTCCATAGATGGTGCTACCCCCGGTTCTCCACTTTAGATTGGGATTTTCCACTACAAACCATCCAGCTATTGGGGTACCAGCCATGAGGAAACCCCCACATGAGGGTTTAACTTGGTCAACGAAACTGGGCATGTCTATGAACTACAAAAATGAGGGAAAAGCTTGCAATGAACCGCTTCTCTGAGTGAGACCACCAAGATGTGCGGTTTTTTATGCCCTGGCCAAGTGCAGAAAACAGTGTGTCCCTAGGATTCAAGTAGGACGATCCTTCAATGTTTGGGGCTCAGCATACACCCTACAGAAGGAAACCCAAGATGACAGGAACCACAGGGGCAACAGGGTAACTCCCAGAAAACCTCTGTACTCAACGGCACCACATATTTCTGCTCGCCACATCCGCGACATGTCATGGAGTCAGTGTCTGCACCTGTGGTACCTCAGTTGCAGGTGGAAAATGCGGGGAGTCTCCAAAAGTGTTCGCCATCAATTTGAGATTACCTGAGGGGTAAACTAACATAGATGTGGAAAATTGCCCATTTATGGATGAATCACCTATGAAAACATATCTAAAATGGTGATTTTCTACATCTATGTTCGTTTGACACATGGTACTTTCAAAACCATTGGTGATTGATAAAGAAAAACTATGTAATTGTAATAATTGAATATCATTTCATATCATTCCAGTGAAACTAGACTAATAAAGATTAATCCCAGTAAACATTATTGATTATAAACTGTCTCCATTTGAGGTTAAATCTTCTATTGGTGATTGATGAAGAAAACATGTGGGATTATAAGCTGTCTCCATTTGAGGTTTATTTGATGAATTATCCATGGCTATAATCCCACCACAAGTTATAACCAATATTTTTCAAACTGTTCTACAGCCTAACTTGAAAACGTGAGATTACCAGATATAACCAATTCTTGCCAATTATGATTATTGCCACTATTTCTACATTATGACCTATTATTCGTGATTCGGTGATTTAATATTTTTACTGGAATGATCCTGCTCAAAGACGTGGAAAAGGCGACTTAAGTGATGGACCACGTCATGGAAGATCCAAATGGAGGTTTCTGTCACTGGGGATACCCCAAAATGGATGGTTTATGATGGAAAATCCTATGTCAATGGATGATTTGGATTGATTTGGGGGTACCCCAATTTTATGAAACCTCCAAATTAATTACAGCGAAGTATACATGCCTACCAAATTTGGTCAATCCTTTGGTTGCTCGTTTCGTCGATGTTGCCAGGGACTATAAAGCCACAATCCAACTGGTCCTTGTGGACAGATTGGATTCGCTTGTCCATGCGTTTCACATTTACCTAAATGTGGGCCACTGGTGGGGTCAATGATGACGAATATTCCATACACTGAGCATCTGAGATATACAAGTTCTGTAGAATATGTTCAGCTTGAACCCTGGTCATGTTTGGAGGTTCTCAGCCGGCTGAGCAATTCAAAAAGATATATGACATGAACCATCCTAAAACATCCCATTCTGTTGCAAAAAAAATTGGGGCACACTGGCCTCAATTTCACCAGCGCCACCTCCCTGTTTGGCGGTCTGACTGCTGTCTTCCAAGGATGTAGCTGACGATTCTCCCAAGGATGCTGCCGAGCCTGCGAATGCAGCTGGCAGCAATTCCGGATTCTCGAGGTTAACGCATGCGGCGGAGTTCTATGCTTCCCAAGCCGCCACACAAGCCGCGGGGCTGTTTAGCTACAAGACTGGAGATGAGAAGAGTCAGGAGCGAAACATCCCCCAGAAACACGTTTTTTGGGGGGGGATGAAACCAATCATATATTCAACGGCACCAAAAAAAGGTGTTTTCAAGACTAATGGCTATGCAATTCATAGTTATTAAATTATTCGTTGCTATATTATATAGATACACCATTATACAAATATGCAAATTTAGTTCATAGTTCTATATCCCGTGTATATATATATATACCATGATGTCAATATGCCATGTTAGTTGACAATAAAAAATGTCCCCATGAATAGCAGAAACCTCCCCTGATTTTTTCCCACGACGTTGGGATCCATTTTTTCCCATTCGATTGGTTTTCACGGGCAAATCGACGCCGGAAAGCATCGATTTTACCATGAAAAATGCTGCTTAAACCATCTGTAAAATTAAGCCTTAAACCAATCCATTGGATCTATAGATCTGGGTAGATTACAACTCCATAGTTAGCCAAGTTAAGGCCTTTAGGATTTAGGGGATAGTTATCCTTGCTAACTATCATTCCAGTGAGGTCGCTATAATTTATTAAGTTATAAGTTGGTTTATAAACCATTTGGTGCAAAACCACTCCAACAACTGTTGGGTGGTAATGTAGAATATATCGAAGTGGTTCCTGTGGTTTAGAAACCAACTTATAACTGGGTAAATTATAGCGACCTTATAGCGACCTCACTGGAACGATAGTTAGTAAGGATAACTATCCCCTAAATCCTAAAGGCCTTATTTAAGATTAGTGAAATACTATAATTTCCCCACTTATAGATAGTTGATGAAGATTGTCCAATATGTTGTGTTTCCCACTAACAGATATTAGATTACCAGAGGGCATCTCCACAGTCATTGTCTAATCAAATTCTGAAATGGCATGGATTCCCAAGAAATTCGATCATTTGATCACCCATTTCATCTGATCACCAGCCCCTAGTCATCATCCCCTTGTAATCGGATTTTATAAACCATCCAGCTCTTGGGGTATCCCCATGACTATGGAAACCTATCAACCATGATTTATCACTTGTTTCCCCATATGTTTATAGTTAAACTACCATAAAACCACCAAAAACATTGGAAAAACCCATATAAAATGGACATTTGCCTATGCAAAGGATCTTGGAATTCATGATGCTCCCGGGTAACCTAAGGGCCGGAACGTCATTTGATACGACCCTATGTTTTCCCAAATGGTTGGCTTCCCATTTATGGTCGCATCAGGAGTCCCCCACTGACGTCACTGGCGCAGCTGGCGATGTCACACGGCATGTTTTTAGTCGGGTGCAGTTGGCCTCGGGGCCTGGTCCAATGTCCATCCAACTGTGTACTGCTTGGTGGTTTGGAACATGAATTTTTATGACTTTCCATATATTGGGATTTATTGGTTATGTTACCTTTACCAGCAACCTATAATTTTCCAACAGCATATATATATATATATATCTGGTTGGTGGTTTGGAACATTTTATGATTTTCCAGATATTGGGAATGTCATCATCCCAAGTGACGAACTCCATCATTTTTCAGAGGGGTAGGTCAACCAGCAGATCTTTTTTTTTTTCCGGATATGTCTGGTTCCACCTTGGCTCGGGCTGTCCCTAATTTGTGTGGTTGACTAACCATAATAAGGGTGACCGGGATGCAATGGAATATAGTGATATAGAATGGAAAATATAGCCACGAATGTGATATGGATATACCTGGCAATTCCAATAACAAGCGGGTATCTGACCATAGTTATCAAAGGGGGGCCCCATATCTGCTCAACTTATGGAGGTTGTCACCATAGTTATACCATGTTATACCCATGTATAGCCGTAGGGGAACCCCAGTTGTGTTTGATTTCGTGATGTTTTTTATCAGGGGATTATCCAACTCAAGATGCCACTGGTACTTGGTGGTTTGGGTCTTGCATCTTGCATAGATATGTTTAAACGCTTAAATTTATGTGTTCGAGTTACCCTCTGGTTATTTAACATAGCCATGGTATAGATGGCCCATTTACAGATGGTTTACCTATTAAACATGGCTATGTTAAACAACCAGATGGTACCCCCTGGTAAATTAACTTGTTGACCCTGAAAATGACCAATTTATAGTGGAAACTAGTCTTCCAACCCCTATCTGGCAGGGTCTATGTTAATTTACTGGATGGTATATGATGGTAATATTTAATGGATTTACTCACCAGCCAAGAGTCTATTCGTTCCCGCAGCGTGACTAAGATTGGCCATGACATCTGTAGTTCAATGGGAATAAACCAAGTTATGACTCCATTCCATCATTCCATTTCTTGGCTTCACCTTAAAGTGTGTCGCTGATGTTTATTGCCATGCTCATGAAAAAAGAACACCAACCAGCCTAAAAGTTATACATGTTTTTCCGAAGGGTGTCAACAATGAGCAAGAACTTTTCATGGGGAATATGATAATTAACAGCCAATGTCCCCTGAATAGATTGTGGTTGGTTTATACGTGGGGGCAGTCCCAATTGATCCCATCCGGCGATCCTTATTTCGCCAGTTTTTCGGCATCGTTTTTGGTGTGATATGGTGTGATGATATTTTGTGTGGCATTTGCGGTGATAGAATGCACATCTGAGACTGGTTGGTGCTTTGGAACCATGGAATTTTATGACTTTCCATCATATTGGGAATGTCATCATCCCAACTGACGAACTCATATTTTTCAGAGGGGTTGAAACCACCAACCAGGAGAGTTCTTTTTGGAATTCAAGTTTCTGCGATCTGTGGAAGGCTCAAAGGTTTCCCTCTCGGGACTGCGGCCTATGTCATCAAGCTCACAGGGAGCACGTATCCCCTGCGTCGGAAGAGCTCGAAGTGGCCGGAACACCACCGAAGGCTACGGCTACGATTCGACCAGGGCCAGGGGAGCTTCGCCGAGCTCAGATGGGGATGATTCGATGCAACCAGTACCTGGGATGGTCCTACATCAGTTCCCAAACTGCTTGCGATTTCAAGCTAAAAATTACCAGTGACACCATTTGAAATGTTCAGACATTTCAGCCTGGGAAACTTGTACTATTTATATAAGTTGGTTTTCCACTGATGGGAGCTCCGTTAATTCTGGCGTGTATATTTGGCTCAGGACAGTGAGGCGCGTCGGAAGTTGCTGAGGACAAGTGGCCCTATCTTCACGAAAGCTGTGAAAACACGTGGCATGTCACAAGTTGCGCACGATGATTACTTTCCTACCATTGACATCCCGGACAAGAAGCCACACTGCTGTGGTTTACACGGATGGCCTGGAGGAATTGAAGTGCCTGCTGAGAGTGTCACGCCTGTCTTCCTCTTCATGTACTTTTTGCGTTGGGTTCCAAGCCTGATTACGCACTTTGTAGAGGATAAACGATTTGAGAAACTATCTCGAGCAGTTTTGGCTATTTCAGAAATGTACTATTTAAGTTGGTTAAGAACCCATCGAACTGTTTGGTTACGATCACCATCAACACGTGGCCTAGTTATGTTACCAACTTTGCTAACGAGCTGGAACACCACCTTATAGGTTGTTACATTGAATTGAATGTCAAATATGTGGTCTTTTGAAATACCATAAAGTACTATACAATAACTGAAACCCTTGGCAGGTTTACTCGATCGAGTTCCAATGGCATTGTCATCCCCACTAAAGGCCTGGCTGCTTCTAAGGATGCTGCTGCCGAGCCTGCGAATGCAGCTGGCAGCGAAGGCTCCTTCTCGAGGTTAACGCATGCGGCGGAGTTCTATGCTTCCCAAGCCGCCACACAAGCCGCGGGGCTGTTTAGCTACAAGAAAACTGGAGATGAGAAGAGTCAGGAGCGAAAACCTGGAGGAACAATCCTCCCAGAATTTTGCCACCTTATCGAAAAGGTGGTTTTGAACATGCTTAAATTCCATTCCTTTTCCCATCACAGGTGAACACTTTTGCCAAACACTTGGAGACTTCCCATCTGAACTGAACGCCAAGCATAACCCATGACGGATCCGGCTGGTGCTGGTATATTGATGCTAACATGACTGGGGGTATATTGATGGGATCCATGGAGCACCATATATAGCAGCACCATGGATCCGTCATGGGTTTCATGAATTCCTCTTCACAATGACAGAAGTTGTCATATCCTGACACGATGAACTACCCTACACCTAGCTGGTGCCTTCTAGTGACCAAGTCCCGCCCACATAGCTTAAGGCATCATCTTTGAAGAATGTCAACGTCTGGGGACGGTGGTTTCAAACATGGCTGTTATGTATGGTGTAATGATGGTTAATGATGCTTAATATGGGATGTCATCCTTACCATTGACTAATATGTTTCAAGATGGTTAGAACCACCAACCAGATGTGTTTCTCTTGTGACATGTGTCTCTATCCCCGGATTTTTCAATAGCCGTTGTCTCAAAATAGGATAGCCCAAGATCCCTTGGTTTATCAATGAGAATGGTGATGAATTGGGCATCTACGTGACGTGCATCCCCCTTTCCATAAGTCGTTCATAACTCACAAATGATATGCAATATTCCATAAATAGCTGGGTTATCAGATGGTTATGTTCCAGTTGACTCCGATGCACATGACAGCAACCTTCAGGAGGTCCTTGCTGATGGCGCAGGACTGCCTGTGAATGCAACTCGACAGAGATCACTGGTGGGATGTAGCAGTGAAAATGGCTGTGTCTGAACATGGTGTGTACCCCCAAGTTATGGCACGCGGCAATGGAAAATCCCTGCGCCAAATGAAGGTTGTAATGGACAATATTGGACAATTCATCGATAAATTGTAAAATCCATGAACATCCCTTGCAAATGAATGAAGGTTTTAATGGACAATCACAAATGAGGAGTTGTCCATTGCCATGTTTGATTACCAGCGGGTACCTCCAAGTTATTGTGGCCACTTTAGCAAGAAAGATGGTGATTGACCCTCAAATGTCGGGGTACCTGCATGGTGATTTTGCTCTTGCAATCAAACAAGTCAAGAGGACATCCAGGAAAACCATGTATAACTGTATGTACTTGGTGGTTCATCCCACTTAGTAAGTGGGTTATAACCCCAGTATACCCCAGTTATAAGTGGATTAACCCTACAAAAATCCCATTTATAAGTGGGGTTATAACTCACTTACGATTCGTGGGTAGTTCACCACCAAGTAGAATTCTAAATGTCTTCGGATTGGGGAAAGAACCAGGTCAAGAAAACGAAGGAAAACTGAAAAATTTTCACAGCCTTGAAGCAATCAATTCTGGTGGCTTAAGGGATTTCACTATCACGCCGGGGTATTCAATGAGAAAGAATGTTGGAAGACGCTCTTGTATAATATAACTTACGTGGGATTGCTAATGGCCAGGTAAAAGATTGCTGGAAAGTAAGCGAAAAAACATTAAAAAACCATGAATTTGCTGAGGTTATATTACTCTGGTTGGTGGTTTGGAAATTTTGTTATTTTTCCATATATTGGGAATGTCATCATCCCACCTGACGACCTCCATCATTTTTCAGAGGGGTTAGCAGCAACCACCAACCAGCTTGTCATATAGCTGAACCCACCAGAAATGCTGAATCCACTGAGCAAATCCAACAAATTGGAGACTGATTCACATGACGAAACCCTTCCCAGGGCAAGTTCCAGGATTAAAATTCAGATTGGCTTGATGGATTTAAGAGAAAATCTACAGGAAAATATGGATTTTCAGGTTTTCACCCCAAAAACATGGTTTTTCCGTAGATTTTGCCTTAGACCACTTCTGGGAGGGGCATGCATCCTTCTAAGGATGTCGCCGCTACCGAGCCTGCGAATGCAGCTGGCAGCGAAGGATCCTTCTCAAGGTTAACGCATGCGGCAGAGTTCTATGCTTCCCAAGCCGCCACACAAGCCGCGGGGCTGTTTAGCTACAAGAAAACTGGAGATGAGAAGAGTCAGGAGCGAAAACCTGGAACGGACAGGTGGGCTTGCCTTAAACCAGACAGGTTATCTAAGTTGGTTAAAATGCGTTGAAACGACTAGGATAACTATGGTTTACGGTAGATACATCTATAGTTAATGGGGCTTACAGACCAACTAATATATCTGCGGGGGCACCTCGTACCAAGTTTTACTTAAACCATTGATATCTATTGGGAGGGTAGCCACGCGGGAAATCTCAAAGCTAGCTGCAAGTCACCCATTTTAGGACCATTCCAAGGACAAAATAATGATAAAACGTCTAGAAGATCCAATATTTTGGGGTGATCAAATATGATCATTATATATTTCACCCGACGAAATATCAATCAATGGCCATTTCAGGAACCTAAATTGGAGTTACCTACCATATATAAGGCCTATATAAGGCCTATGTGAGGGAATATCCACACAAAATATGGCCTGAAAAATGGCACTAACGTACCTCCATTTTAGGATCCTGGAGATCTCCCATTGAATCAATGACATATCATTTTCCAAGGATTCTATAGGATTCCATATTGTTTAATCAAATCATATTTTTTTGATATTTCAATCATATTTTTATCTGATTTATAATTTTTCATTCTGGCCAGCTATGGCTGATGAGATACCCTTTGATGGGGTACCCAAGCCTGACAATTGAAAATATGATAATGATATATTTCACCCGACGAAATATCAATGACATATCATGTTCCAAGGATTCCATAGGATTCCATTTTTTATCAAATATTGGGACCAGTCACACTTGAGTCACACTTGAGTCTTGAGGGTTTTCTATGTTTTCAAGCAAGTAGAACCACGTTTTGAGATTTCATTAAAGTTGCATGATGCAGCATGTATTTCTTCAATACAAAAAATGTTGACACATTCCACCATCGGAAGCCAAGCTGTTGATTTCCAGCCAGCTGTGGCCATCTATTTGGAGGTTCGGAGACGCAGCTTGGGGGGAAGAAATATGCTGCGGGGACTGAGACCAGTTGTTGAGTTGTTGATGGGGTATAAAGATAGTTGTAAATACTTGTACAATGGTATACAGGGTATATTGCAATACCCAATTTCTGGTCAAACCTATATAGTTATATAGCATCATATTGTTGATTATGATTATGTGTCCAATTGTATCCCATTCTATCCCTATTGTATCCCCATCATATCCCAGTACGTCAATGTGTTTATTTGACAACCTGCGAAAACCTGACAGGTTTTCACTACTGAAGGGTGCATTCACTACTGATTGTTGCTTAAAAGCCTACCATTCCGATTAAACACGTTCAAGTATCTCCACTTATGGATTATTCCTACTATATATATATATATATGACTATCATATACTGTACTACTATCACCTGTTCTTGGCTATGTCCATGGTGATTGCTGCAGCCCTATGTCTATTCCATTTAGGAGCCGAATGAGCCGGACTCCCCTAAAGCTTCGGTTGCTGGGCGAAGTTTTCTGGGTTCAGTGTGGCTTGGGACATGTTGTCCTCTGGTTGCTGGTTTGGAACATGGCTTTTATTTTTCCATATATTGGGAATTTCATCATCCCAACTCACTAATATTTTTCAGAGGGGTAGGTCAACCACCAACCAGTGTCCCTTTTGGGGATTTGAAACATCACCAACATATCTGTTGGAGATGATATCCCCAATTGTTCTTGAAAAATTAGTACATTCACCGACCCCTGCTGTTGGAATATGAGGTCATTAATTGGGGGTGCAGTTTTTCCGATTGAAATTCACCAACTTGCGGGATTTTTTTTCTGAGATATGCATCGTTTTTTTAGCCCAACAATATCAACATGGGGATATAGACAATTAAAATACGGTATACTTTTGTGGGTGTATACGGGGATTTTTTTCAGAACAAAAACCGGAAGATTTCTGGAGATTTACCCAACAATTTGTGAATATTGGGTGTGAAAACGGAGTGGGCACCCCATGGCCATTGTTGTAGCATCTCCAACCCAAATGCTTCATGGTGCTGGTATATGCACACCAACATTTGCCCTAAAAATCACCCAAATGTAGGTAAATATACCATAAATGGATGATATGGGCAATGATCCAGCGTTCAATTTTCCTTTCTGGCGCTTCTTCTCAGGATGCTGCCGAAGCTGCGAATGCAGCTGCCAGTGAAGGCTCCTTCTCGAGGCTAACGCATGCGGCGGAGTTCTATGCTTCCCAAGCCGCCACACAAGCCGCAGGGCTGTTTAGCTACAAGAAAACAGATGAGGGCCAGGAGAGACGAATGCAGGTTGATCAATGGCAACTTTGGGACCAAAAAGGATGATGTGTAGTGCCATGATTGGACCCTGTACCAGTCAGGTTTCTATTATAATTTGATAACCCCCTCTCACTGGCGTTTGACTCAGTTTATATCAGGGAAAGGCCCCTTGTTCAGTAGAGCAAGGGCTAGTTTAGCTGAAGTGAAGGTCCCATGACAAAAAGCTATGGGGATCATATCAAAACTGCTTGGTGCTGCGAAATGATGATGATTCGCGCTCTCTAGGGACTGGCCTCACACATTGGACACCCTTTAAGGCATATTTTGGCATACTCAACGCAGTTTTGTCATGCACTGGTATACACACATGTGACATGCATGTATCATGTATAATTGTAGTACATAAATTATATATGCATATGCAATAGGTATTTATATATAGTAACTTAGTAAACCCCAAAACGGTAGATAAGTCCACCCCAAACCACGGCGGAAAAAATGTGTTGTTATTTTGCAACTTCTCTGAAGCATGTTGACCGGGCTCACATTGGAAACATCCGTCAACATCCCTCATACAAAAGGTCCAAAAATGTGACCCCAAAATGGCAAGTCTTCTTTAAGATGAAATTGATGACGAGTTCACCATGACAAACCAATGGATTTCAAAAATCATTTTATGATATACCCTAGTTTTGTGAAGAGATCCCATCGAAATCTCCTCCGCTGCACAGGAGGCTGCCGAAATCCTTGGGTCGGATGGATCCTTCGCACGGCTGACGCACGCGGCCGTGGGCCCGTTGTGGCCGACGGATCTCGCGGCCGCTGCGGGGCTGTTTGCTTCCACTGCTTCCGCTGAGCGCCAGGAGAGTGGGATGGTAATGATTGGTATCATTAGATCGGAATATAATAGGTATACCATTTGGTTAACTAACATAGCCATGGAAAATCCCTTATAAATGGAGGTTTTAGTGGGAAAATCATCAATTTCTATGGGCCATGGCTTCCATGGCTATGTTAGTCATAACCAGAGGGTAATAGGTATATAATGGCTGGTTGGTGGTTTGTAACATTTTTTCCCATATACTGGGAATAGTAACCCCAACTGACTTTCATATTTTTCAAAAAGGTTGTAACCACCAACCAGATGGGATATAATGGGTGTATAATGGAAGAATATCATGTAGTCATGGTAGATAATACTATTGGGAGTATTCTGCTATTAACAGAGTCGTGTTTCTGGGGGTGATCAATGCAGATGCATATCGGGGGAAGCAGAACACAAATCCATGACTGGTTGGTGGTCTGGAACATTTTTTATGTGTCCATATGTTGAATTGTAATCCCAACCCAACTGACTAATATTTTTCAGAGGGGTTGAAACCACCAACCAGATGATTTCTGTGGTTTTCTTTGGGGCCACGTCTTGCCAACAGCGTATTGGAACTGAGATGGCTGTCAACGATGCCACGATATGCCAACGAGTCCCCCAACGAGTTGCCCCAATGGTTTACCAAGGATATGTTTTCTGAGATTGATACCAAGGATCCTCAATGCATGATTATAGATGATGCTTAAATATCTGCTACAGTAAGATTTTTTTAATTTTCTTTTGCATGCAGTATCCCTATTGTTTGTCCTTAAGTTTGCTGGGAAAAGCTTTTGTTTCTGTGAAATCATCCATTTGCTGGCCAAATATTACATATCTGATGGGTGGTTTGGAACATGAATTTTATTCCCCACCTGCCAGGTGAGGGTTGTTAGATTTTATGTCAGTTGCCTGCTCCTCCTCTCCTCCTCTCCTCCTCATCTCCTCCTCCTCTCCTCCTCCTCCTCGTCGTCCTCCTCCTCGTCGTCCTCCTCCTGCTCAACCGCGACCCTCGACGCACAGTGGTCTCTGTCGGACCTCAACCACGACCATCCACGCCCAGTGTTCCCTGCCGGACCTCAACCACGACCATCACCGCCAGTGTTCCCTGCCGGACCTCAACCGCAGGTATCCCCGCCCAGTGTTCCCTGCCGGACGTCAACCACGACCATCCCCGCCCAGTGTTCCCTGCCGGACCTCAACCACGACCATCCACGCCCAGTGTTCCCTGCCGGACCTCAACCGCGAGTATCCACGCCAAGTGTTCCCTGCCGGACCTCATGTAGGAAGATATGGGACAAAGAATGTGCAGAAGAAAGTTAGAAGATAGAATGCCAGAAGATTTGCCAGATAATATGCTAGAAGATATGCCAGATAGAATGCCAGAAGATATACCAGATAGAATGCCAGAAGATATGCCAGAACATATGCCGGAAGATATGCTAGATAGAATGCCAGATAGAATGCCAGAAGATATGTCATAATATATGCCAGAAGATATGCCAGATGGAATGCCAGAAAATATGCCAGATGCAATGTCAGATAGAATGCCAGAAGATTTGCCAGATAGAATGCCAGAAGATATGCCAGAACATATGCCAGAAGATATGCCAGATAGAATGCCAAAAGTTATGTCAGATAGAATGCCAGAAGATTTGCCAGTAAGAAAATGTATAAATGTCATGGTGGGGATCACACGAAGTAATGTAATTTTTCCATATAGTGGGAATTTCTTCGTCCCAACTGACCAAATCATCTTTTTCAGAGGGGTAGGTCATCCACCAACCAGAAATATATTGTATACGTCTACATCAACAATCACATGGCTAGTTTTAACACCCCATCTTTGACGGTTGCATATCCGTTTTGTTGATAGTCCAAGGTGTATCGCTGCCATTCTAATTCCCATGTTGCTTGAAACCAATTTTTCATCCCATTTGTTGGTCAAATCCCAGTAAATCCGATGGTTTGTGGGTCAAATCCCAATAAACCCCCATTATACCATAGTGTTTTCATCTGGCTCTTCTTCTGTAGAGAATATTGAGTAATCTAGTTTCAGACAACATGGTAGTGTTAGGTGTGACTTGTTACTTTCCAGACCTTTTCACCTTTTTTTCACCCAGCGTTTCCGAAATGGCGCAGGAGGCGCCTGAGAACAGCCACCCGGGCCATGAATCGCCCCTGGCGCATGCAGCGGAAGTCCTATTGGCTCCAGACCAGGAGCCTGGAGCGCTTGGAGGTGAAGGTTTACATTGGTCATTAAATGTCCCCATTGAACATCACCCAACCATGAATGGTATATGGTCTATAATGGCTACTTTTTCAGGTGATGTCCAATATTCCCAAAATGGGACAGTTACCAACCCCTGGTTCTTTTTACAGTCGCCTTAACCAATGGGGGGCCCCAGAGGTTTTCATGGGATTTGTGGAATTTTTAGGGGATGTCATGGGATTTGTTTAAGGGATGTTAGATGGATTTCATGGGATTTGTTTTGTAAGGGATTTTAGATGGAATTCAGAGAGGATTATAGAGGGATTTGGATTTTATAGGGATTCAATGGGATTTCAATGGGATAGAAATTCTAATAGTAGAAAGTAGGATGGATTTTTGTTTGAAATAAGTAGGATGATGCTAGGGAGTTTTACCTTGGCAAATTTAAGGATGATATTGAGTACCCGTTGCCAACCTTTAGATTTAGGTCCATTTCCAGGATCAGCGACATATTGGTTTGGTCACTGTTGATTGGGATGTGATCAAAAAAAACACTGAGCGCCGAGCGGGGGTTCTGCAGCACAACGCCTTTTTCTAAAGGATCCCTCCAGCAGTTTCCCACTTGCGTATTCCTATGTACTCCCTTTCCCCTAATATTAAACACTCCCTTAGAAACCCTGGTTTATTAGGGAATTTCCACATACATGGGACCATTGATGGGGTGTTTAATATTAGGGTGATGGGATCATATGATACATGAATATACATGATATATCCCAATTTTATCTTATATCCTAAATATCTCCCATTATACCCTCTGGTTATCTAACATAGCTATGGAAAACGTCCCAGTTATAGATGATTTATGAGAATTTACCGTTTTTGATAATGGTGATTTTCCAGTTCACTACGTTAGATCACCAGAGGGTATCCTAAACTATCTCAAGTGTACTTTTATCCCAAATATCTCCCAAGAAAGGGTTTAATATCCCAGGTTTAGCCCACCTTTATATGATATATCCCACTTATATAATCCCCAGTTATATGGTACTCAAAAGCCTGGGACAAAGTCGCCACGGCACACGAAAATAGTCATAGCTGGTGCTGGATGGTGATTCCCTTCTGGTCATTTCTGGTCATTTCACGGGTTTTGATCCAGCCCCATATATTGCTACTTGGTGGGTTGGAACATGAATTTTATTGTTAACAATGGTGATATGGTGATTTAATGGTTAACAATGGTGAATTTCATGGGATGACAATGGGATTTACCCTCTGGTAAGCATACAAAAAGCTATTGAAAATCACTATTTTCATGGGTAAATCCACTATAAATGACATTTTCAATAGTTATGTTAGCTTACCAGAGGGTATTGGGAATTGCTTCATCCCAACTGACTAAATCATGTTTTTCAGAGGGGTTGATAGAAACCACCAACCAGATTGTTGAACACTCCTAAATTTTCCGAGGTCTATCCCTCTTTTATCTCATAGTGTCAAGTCTCTTCACCCATTGCCCCAGGAGCTGCACCATGAGGCTTTCGCTGCGGAAGCCGATGCGGTCCCGGTCCTAGAAGGATGGAATCGTGCGGTTGAACCAACAACTTTCGAGGGAATTATAGAGGGTTGAACCAACAGCTACAACTACTTTCTAGGGATTTACCAGTATATGGATCAAATTAATAATATCACTAATATATCACCAACAAACACTTGCCAAATGGACCAAATGGAGGTTTAACCAACAACAATAGAGATTTATAGGGATACAATTGGGATATAATGAGATATGATCTGGATAAATTATCTTACGACATCACGTCGCGAAGTCACTGGAATTTACAGGGACTTGCGACTTGCGGTAGCTATCCCCAAAAACTCCGAACTGTCCAAATGGTGAATGATCACAATTCAGCCAGATACCATAGTTGAAACCTGGCATTTTACCATCCAAAAATGACTGGGAAATTTTAGCCAAAAAGGGTTCAAAAGCATGGTAAACCAACTGGCAAATGACTGGAAAAAATGGAGCTTTGACCAACCAGTTATGGATCGAAACATGTCAAACTCCGACTGGATGGGTAGTTGGCCCACCGCCGGGAACAGCCGGTGGGTTTTACTGCGGTTGTTCATGTCTTTTTTTCTTGATATGCAAAAAGCTCACGTGCAATTTCCAAGAAAAGTGTTGTTTTTCGTGCAAGAACTGTTGTTTGTGCCCATGCTAGTTTTCTGGTAGCTTTCTATTTTTCTTGCAACTGCAGATGGACTAGATATGATTTGCAAAACAGTCCCATATTTGGGCCTAAAAAAATCTTGTCAAAACATTCAATCCGTGGCTTACACCCTCATTTACAACCACATTGAAAAAATCACAGACTCCTCATTAATGATTTATATCCCCTTGCGTAGATGGGCCGACTTAGTGACAGTATCGACAGTATCTGATTCGTGAAGTTGGATACAACCAAAGTTTGTCCAACTATGACATGTGACGTGTAAATATTTCACATATATTCATGATTATTCATGTATCCAGAGACCACCTATGATATTTTGGGCATTACCTGTTTGGTGGTTTCAAATTCTGTGGGTTTTCAGGGGGCTGAACCACCAAGGACACCCATGCGCCGGATGTCGTTGCCAAGATTGAGGAGCTGTCGGTGCAGAGCTGTCGGTGCAGGGCTGGAGTCATCCATGGATATCTTGGATGAATCGTGGGACTTAGAGTTGGTCGATGAATCGTGGAAATAGCTTGAGGCATCTTGAGGCCAGGGTCCCTCAAATTCGTGCATTTTTTAATGCAGGCAGCCATTTGTGCATTCTTATACAAAACTCAAGCTGTATATGGACTATTTGGGGATTATTGGGAGATCTGGAGAGATTCTGGTGATTTTCGGTCCCTCAAGCACAACTGAACTGTCATGGCCATGGTAATATTTATGATGAATCATTTTGGTGAATGATGACATGACACTTATGAAATATCATTTGCCATAATGAAATATCAACTCACTAGTCATCAAGAATGATGAAATGAGACTTATGAATGATGACTAGTTGACAAATCATGATGAACTTCTGCCAACGAGGAGCCATCCCTTGAAGCAGCTGAGACTTCTGAGACCTATGAGAAGCCTGCAGCCAAAGACACTCGCTTGAAAGGCAGTTGAAAACGTTGTTTACCCCATATTTCTATGGCCATGTCCGGGTATATACCATGTATATACCTCATTCTCCCACAACGCCATTTTTTAACCAAAGTAGATAGAATTCCGTTCATGCCTTCTTTGGCGCCATGTTCTGGCAGGCCAACCAAAACTGTTTTTTTAATGTTGTGTATGAGAATCTTCCCGGAGGACAAGGCCACTGGGTCACCGACTGGGTCTGGCAGTGAGACCCTTCCATGATGCTAGGAGGATGAGAACGATGTCAGCCCCTCTCTTGAGTTTGACTTAATGTGGGTAAAACAATGCCATAAACCACCCATGACTGGGAATGGTAAACATACCACCTATAAACATGGTGATGACTGGGGGATGTGCAAATGGCATTGTTTTACCCACATTAAATTGTTCTTGTCCAAGTGAAAGGCTTCAAAAGTGAACTACATTCCTGGGACCTATCTGATAAGTGCAGTTGTGAAGTTGTGAAGAAAGCAAAAGATGTCCGAAGGAAACAACAGCACGAGATCAAATATCGACGCAGGATGGTCCTGGTTCGATCAAGTTATCGCGGATTCCCAGATGGAATGTTTCGTAGTAGGAATTAGCCTTTGGTAAACTAACATAGCCATGGAAAATCATATTTTTAAAGGGTAAATCAACTATTTATATGGCCATGTTCCATAGCGAACTGTAACAAATTACCAGAGGTTACTTGAATATCTGTCAGGGGAAAATTGCACCCATCCCATGCAAAACCATGACATCGCTCAGTGATTCTTTAACTGGCCATAGATCGGCGATGAATCATCCAATGTTCCAGAAAATTCCACTTCAGTTTTTGACATCCAAATTTAAGTTTATGATTTACGAATATCGCCTCTTTAGTTTTGTTACTATGCCCTTTCACCTACCACTCATCACTGAAGCATTCCCTCTGCTTGCACAACCGCATATCGGCATAGTGGTGAACATTGTATATCTCACTATAGAACTTAGTTTCAACCCCCATCGTGGTTCCCCATTGTATCCATACAGATGTTATCTCCATTACCCATGGCACCCATTAGGTATCTCCATTCTATCCCATGCCTGCGGGGTTGCCCCAAGTCATCATAGGTAAATGATAGCCACCAGAGGGGTACATGGATCATGCATGATCATGTCAACTGCGGATTTTGCTAAACCATGGTTTATGAAAATTAGGGGGTCACTCCTCCAATAGTCATTTCATCTGATATAATCTGATACTTTTTTATGGTACCCTCCCAATGAAACAGCCTACTGTAGGGGTTTATTAATCCAGGGGTGACATTACCGATGTACCCAATATACCACCCTTGTAACTGGGCTGTTTGGGTCACAATCCTGAAAGGTGGTGACCCCCCCAGTTTTTTGAATGGCTTGCAATCCCATGAAAATTATATTGTATAAATGGGATTATAAGCCAATAAATTGGTTATGATAGATATATCACCAGCAAAAACCATCGTGAAATTGGACTTAGCCAAGCACCAACCTAGCTCACGAACTGTAAACCATAGTGAAATTGGACTTTTTAAGGCACCAACTTAGCTAACTATGGGGCACCACCTTGTGATGGTTACCCTCTGGTAAACTAACATAACTATGGAAAATCACCATTTTTTATGGGAAAACTCACTATAAATGGTCATTTTCAATAGCTTTTTGTATGTTTACCAGAGGGTAAATCACCCTAAACCCTCTGATGATATGTGGCCCAGGACTCGGAGGAATCGGATGCGCCTGAGGACTGGGCAGCGGGATGGCAGACATTTCGAAAAAATGTGCCCTTGATAGATAGTGCTTGGTGGTTTGGAACCATGGAATTTTATGACTTTCCATATATAATATATAATATATAATATATATAATATATAATATATATATATATGTGTATATATGTGTATATATGTGTATATATATATGTATATATATATTGGGAATTTCATCATCCCAACTGACTTTCACTCCATCATTTTTCAGAGGGGTAGGTCAACCACCAACCAGTTCAATTAGTCAAAGTTGTGATACTAACGATGGCGCTTACTAAAGCTCAGTTGATGAGCATATACTAAGTTTACCATGCTTCACATTCGACATATCTACATGGCTTGATTTAGCCATGACCGTCCCATTACGGCACCAATTTCCAGCGGTCCCGAGGCCCGAAGATCGCATATCTCATACTATTAGCCGCCCCATGTAGACATTTCATCTCCAAATATCAGCATTTTATACCTTTTCCGATATTGTCATGATCCCATACTTGTCACATGGCATTGGCCCTTGCCGGCACTTTACCAGAGCTAAGTTAAAGCGATCTTCGAAGGAAAGAGAGATCCTCCAGTCGCCAGTGCTGCAGGCGCAATGGCTGTACCTGAAAAACGGGCCCCCTATCACCAATTTATTGTCAGCTAATGGTGATATAATCTTCAAGCATATAAACATAGTGGCATCATTGGGAGAGAATTTAAGCATAATTGTGAATTATACTGTCAACAGCCATTTCAGGAACCTAAATTGGAGCTACCTACCATATATCAGGCCAATATTTAGGACTATGGAAGGGTATATACCCCCAAAATATAACTTTATATAGCACAGTACCTCCATTTTAGGAAACTGGAATTATCATTGAATTTATGGCTAAATGGTGTTTTGAAATTGACACATAGAACCAGAAGAGCAATGGTGGCGCGGCTATCCTGAGAAAGACAGAGAAGTAGCTCATCATTTTGTTACGATTTCACTTTCAAATGCAACATGTCACCTGCTTGTGTAGTATTGCTGTGGTGGGTAAACAGCCATTTGTGACCCCCTCAACTCATTCCGTATTGGTGGCTCAATCTTTCCATTCGAGGCTGGGTTGGTATGCCAATAGTACGAATCCCCGGATCCCAGGAAAAAGTTGAGATAGTCACCCAGTTCTGCTCATGGTTTGGATTTGGTTGACAGTGGGTACCCCAAAAGTTTGATTCTTATGTCATATTCCCTACCTATATCACATATCACATCAATATATATATATATATACAGTATATATATATATATAGCCCCTGTGAAACTTGGGTCACAAACACGTGAAACTTGACCACCAATGCCACGGACGGTGGATCAGTGGAACCGAAAATCGAGAACCGCGCAACGACAACGTTGCCATGCTCCAACCAAGACGAATACAGGAGGATACAACGCCGGGCGCAGATGCACGGGCAGTTGTACCCGTTGCCTTTGTTCCGGTCGAGTCGCGGGCTCGCGCACGGCATCTTTGACAGCTGCGCCCCAATTTCTGACTATCGAGCCGAGGACACTGCCAGTGCCATCAAGGCACATTTCCGCGCTCTTACACATCCTACACACTGTTTTCGCTGTGACCGCTCTGCTGCTTCGGCGATCGACACAAAGGCCTTCACGGTGTTGCACACACCTCATAGCGCTTGGCCTCAGCGAGGAATGCTCTCATGATATCATGACTCTCTTGCAATATATATATATATATATGTATATAATATATATATATATATAATGTCATAGAATACGACTGACATCATCCCTTCCCCCAAAAAAAAGATCCCCCACTCGAATTCCCCGTCGGATGACAGGAGCCACATGAGCCCCTTCCTGGTGAGGTGATGGAGGTGGCGATCCACCCCTGTCGGTTGATGATGAGTTGGGGGATTATACCACCCTTCATATATTGGGGATTATAGTAGTCCAAGAACGGGGAATCCCGTTCTTAACCAGCCAGTTTATATAATGGAATGATAGAGGGATCAAAAGAACACTGCTCAAGTGATTTTCTTGAGGATTACTGGTTTCTAACGCCATGTTGAATATTGAGGATACCAGGTGAAGTGTTTATGTGTTTATGATCTAAATCCTGGTGACCTTCCTATCCCATATAGGTATCTATATCTAATACATATGTTTTTGGGATATTATTTCAAGGATTATAAACATATACAATACATATACCATATACTTACCCTTGCAAAATGGGATGATAGTGTTTCATAGTGATTACACCTTATTTTTGTTGCATAAGTATATATACAAGTGGGATAATGCTGGTAAAACAGTGCCATAAACCACCCATGACTGGGATTGGTAAACATACCACCTATGAAAATCGTGAAATTGGGGATTGTTTATTATTGTTTTACCAACATTATAAACACATCTAACATCATCTAACCAGATAATCATACCATAAACCCTGGTAAACCAACAGTGATTTCAATCAACTTACCTATCTTGGGGGCCTTACATTACAGAAATTGACTGAGTACTTGGAAGGGCAGTTCCAATTATTTTTGTGGATACTGGTCAGCGTTTTGTTATAGGGGCCCCATATCCCAACTTTTTGGGTTTTTTTTTAATCATGTTCTTCCCCATTTGTACATCCCAAGTATGGATTCATTGGCGACAAAAAATGTGGAGTCGATGATTTCCGAGAATGATTTATTGGCACAATCTATGGCTTTATTGGCAAAAGAAGTTGATTTATTGGCTAAAGAATTGATTGATATATTAGCAATAGAAATGGATTTATTCGGAAAAAAAACTTCTTGATTGGGAAAACATTGGATATTATGTCTTGGCAAAAAACAATGATCTACTGCCAAAAACCGCAAGCGCATTGGTAAAATGGCAGCACGAATGATTATCTGGGAGAACCAAGCACAGGCAAACACGGCAAGATTCGCAGAGATTCTCCTCGAGGTCGGTCTGGAATTTCCCCTGTGGGATCTGTGCTCAATGAACCACTTTTACCATCTGCAATCGCCCGGACGACAAAAAGGCCCGCTCTCCATTTGAAGCATGTCTTGTTTCGGCGCATTCGTCCCGCGGGAGGAGCCACGCGTGATTCACTAGAAGATGGTGGCAGTCTGTGGCGTTCAGCCATTGGTTGTCTGGAAATTTGTATCCCATGAACCTTGGAGCAGTTGGAGTTTGAAGTATCACCCTGGCCATGGCACCGGGCCGCACCGCGTGCACCGCGTGCACCGATGTTATGTCAAGGTCAAGGGTTCATGTACCCTTCCATTGATGCAAGGTGGTGCCCAGATAGTTGGTGCAAATAACTCCAATAACTAAGGTTTATAGCTGATATATCTATAGTTTAATGGGATTATAATCCATTTATGGCATTATTATAGTGATTATAACCCATCTATAACCCATTTATAACCCATTAATGGTGATATATCTATAGTTGTCATGGTTTTTTATAACCTATTTATACCTGGGGGCGGCACCACCTTGTTGTGGCACTTGCTTTCCATCAGTCTGTCGCCCGCTTTCCATCGCCCCCCTTTAAAACAGCCGGGGCTGCAGCTCCAGCGCCACATGCCCCAGATCGCAACAAGCCTGCGGCTAGCGGGTAAGTTCCATGGTGAAATATGGTGGATCAATACCTGATACCCTCTGGTAAATTAACAGTTGGACCCTGAAAATCGCCAATTTTTAATGGAAACTAGTCTGAACCAACCCCGATGACTGCCAGGGTCGAACTGTTAATTTACCAGAGGGTATCATTTGTTAGGGGGATGAACATCCATAAATCCCAGCTGTTTTGATGTAAACAGAACTTCGACGCAGAGTTAGTGGGTTTTGACCTATCCCCATCTGAAAATCTGTTTGGGAGGCACTCCCTCTTGGGTGATCCGCCCAAGATGCATTTGGGGTTGATTAACCACCAACAATCAATGGGAGATCTCCAGGATCCTAAATTGGAGGTACTGTACCATATAAGGCCATATTTTGCGGGGATATTCCCTTACATAGGCCTTATATAGGTCTTATATATGGTAGGTACTTCCAATTTAGGATCCTGGAATGGCCATTGAAACCACATTTTATAGGCTTTTTATATGGTTTAGTTAACCATGTGTCGTGGCGGTTTTTTTATTGGAGGGTTGACTGAATACCCATGGTCCATTCATGAGAAGCCATCATTGTGGAAATCCACCATACTCGATAGCCTCTGGTAATTTAACATCACTATGGAGAATCACCATTTATATTGAATTTTCCCATTAAAAATTGCGGATCCTTCCATAGTTATGGGACAGTTTACCAGAGGGTAGCATACTTGATTCCTCCTATGTGGCTCCTACTTCTGGTGCTGTTTAGCTCGCCATCTAAATACCCACACGTCACCTCAGTAAAACAGTCCGCTGGGCCGATGGGTTTGTCTGAAAATGGACTACCCCAAAATCCAGTGATTAATCATTTTATATATAGTCATTAAATATATATATATATGTATACATATATATATATATGATTATATAATATAATTATATATAATTATATATTAATTATATATATATATACATATATATAATCATTACATAAATGTATATATAATTTATAATATATATGATAAAAGTAAAGGACCGGATAACCCCACATGTTACCAACTTCTTTAGACTTAGACTGAGCATAGAAAAGCAAGAAGGGAAGAGGAAGTATAAGAGTGAATGTTCATGTACAGTGAGTGAGTGAGTGAGTGAGTGAGTGAGTGAGTGAGTGAGTGAGTGAGTGAGTGAGTGAGTGAGTGAGTGAGTGAGTGAGTGAGTGAGTGAGTGAGTGAGTGAGTGAGTGAGTGAGTGAGTGAGTGGAGTGAGTGAGTGGAGTGAGTGAGTGGAGTGAGTGAGTGGAGTGAGTGAGTGGAGTGAGTGAGTGGAGTGAGTGAGTGGAGTGAGTGAGTGGAGTGAGTGAGTGGAGTGAGTGGAGTGAGTGAGTGGAGTGAGTGAGTGAGTGAGTGAGTGAGTGAGTGAGTGAGTGAGTGAGTGAGTGAGTGAGTGAGTGAGTGAGTGAGTGAGTGAGTGAGTGAGTGAGTGAGGAAGACGGGCGAGGAGGAGGACGGAGGAGGAGGAGGCGGATACAGAACTAAAAACAAAAACCCCTCTATCTATCGATCGATCTCTCTTTCTATCTATCCATCTATCTATCGATCTAGCTAGCAATCTATCTACCTATCCATCCATCCATCAATCCATCTATCTATTTCTCTCTCTCTCTCTCTCTATCTCTCTATCTATCTATCAGACCTGTCTATCTATCTATCTGTCTATCTGTCCATACATCAGAATATCTATCTATCTACCAATCAATCAATCTATCTATCCATCGATCGATCTCTCTGGCTACGCAAAAGAGGCGGAGCCCGAGGGACGCCAGGGCGTACATCCGACCCCTTGGCAGTGCACATTGTCCCACGCCTGCCACGCAAAAGAGGCGGAGACCAAGGGACGCCAGGGCGTACATCCGACCCCTTGGCAGTGCACATTGTCCCACGCCTGCCACGCAAAAGCGGCGGAGACCCAGGGACGCCAGGGAACCCCGGGGCATACATCCGACCCCTTGGCAGTGCACATTGTCCCGCGCCTGCCACGCAAAAAAAAAGCGGCGGAGACCCAGGGACGCCAGCGGAACCCCGGGGCGTACATCCGACCCCTTGGCAGTGCACATTGTCCCACGCCTGCCACGCAAAAGAGGCGGAGCCCGAGGGACGCCAGGGCGTACATCCGACCCCTTGGCCGTGCACATTGTCCCACGCCTGCCACGCAAAAGAGGCGGAGCCCGAGGGACGCCAGGGCGTACATCCGACCCCTTGGCAGTGCACATTGCCCCACGCCTGCCACGCAAAAGACGCGGAGCCCGAGGGACGCCAGGGCGTACATCCGACCCCTTGGCAGTGCACATTGTCCCACGCCTGCCAAGCAAAAGACGCGGAGCCCGAGGGACGCCAGTGCGTACATCCGACCCCTTGGCAGAGCACAGCGTCCCACGCCTGCCACGCAAAAGACGCGGAGCCCGAGGGACGCCAGGGCGTACATCCGACCCCTTGGCTGCTCACATTGTCCCACGCCGGCCACGCAAAAGCGGCGGAGCCCGAGGGACGCCAGGGCTTACATCCGACCCCTTGGCTGCTCACATTGTCCCACGCCTGCCACGCAAAAGACGCGGAGCCCGAGGGACGCCAGGGCGTACATCCGACCCCTTGGCTGTGCACATTGTCCCACGCCTGCCACGCAAAAGACGCGGAGCCCGAGGGACGCCAGGGCGTACATCCGACCCCTTGGCTGCTCACATTGTCCCACGCCTGCCACGCAAAAGACGCGGAGCCCGAGGGACGCCAGGGCGTACATCCGACCCCTTGGCTGTGCACATTGTCCCACGCCTGCCACGCAAAAGACGCGGAGCCCGAGGGACGCCAGGGCGTACATCCGACCCCTTGGCTGCTCACATTGTCCCACGCCTGCCACGCAAAAGACGCGGAGCCCGAGGGACGCCAGGGCGTACATCCGACCCCTTGGCAGTGCACATTGTCCCACGCCTGCCACGCAAAAGAGGCGGAGCCCGAGGGACGCCAGGGCGTACATCCGACCCCTTGGCTGCTCACATTGTCCCACGCCTGCCACGCAAAAGACGCGGAGCCCGAGGGACGCCAGGGCGTACATCCGACCCCTTGGCTGCTCACATTGTCCCACGCCTGCCACGCAAAAGACGCGGAGCCCGAGGGACGCCAGGGCGTACATCCGACCCCTTGGCTGCTCACATTGTCCGTGTGAGTGAGTGAGTGAGTGAGTGAGTGAGTGAGTGAGTGAGTGAGTGAGTGAGCGAGTGAGTGAGTGAGTGAGTGAGTGAGTGAGTGAGTGTGAGTGAGTGAGTGTGAGTGAGTGAGTGAGTGAGTGTGAGTGAGTGAGGGAGGGAGGGAGGAGGGAGGGAGGACGGGAAGGAAGGAGGACGAGGAGGAGCGGATACAGAACTAAAAACAAAAACCCCACACGTCAATGTGGGGAAAAAATATCATTCTTATCCTGATTGAAATGGCCATTTGAAATGCTATGCCATAAAACCTCCCACCAGAGATTTGGACCAGCATAGAAATTTTCCACGAAAATGTGTCCCTAAATTGTTAATCGCCTACTAGGGAATTACATATTAAAAACCTATCGCAAAAATCATATATACTGTTGATATATGTGATATATAGGGATTAATATATATATATATGTAATATGTAATATTAATTGACCATTTGCCAAAAATAGTTGACAAAAGTTTTGTACTAGTTGCTGATAATTAGTGTGAATCTAGTGGTTTTTCCTCTTCGTTATGAATTCACCAATTCTGCAAGGCACATGTTAACATTACATATTAATTCACATGTTAATCCCTATATATCATTACACACTAGCTCCTGGTCCTTATCCCTCTCCAACCTACCAGATAAGACCCAGCCGGCGCTAGGACGTCACTCCAGCGCAGACGACGATTCTTTCAACCTCCAGCGTTCAGAAAGCACCTGGGTGGGGCAAAGCCTGACTGACTGGGTGGGGCAAAACCATATATAGGGAAACCATAGGAAAATGGTGATTTAACCACTATAAATGGTGATTCAATGGCCTAATGGATATATGATGTTTGTGATACCCTCTGGTAAACATACAAAAAGCTATAGAAAATGGCCATAGAAAGTTCGTTGATTTACCCATAAAAAGTGGCGGCCAGAGGGCAGTTGTGAAAAAAACCTGCAGGAAGTTAGGCTTGAAAAAAAAAATGGTTTCAACCCTTGGTCCCAGAAATATGGTGAAAATTCTATGGGGAAGTTCATCAACCGGTGGGGATAGAGTCAAAGCCCATTCCTTGATTGGAGTCTTTTTCTTTGGAGATTCTGAAGAACCCATAACCCTGGGAATCCAATGAGGAGCCCTCCAGTTATATTTTGGTTTACTGTATAACTTACTGATGCTAAACGCAGGGAATTTTCGGGAATGATCCATTTCATCACTAGTAATCATCCCAGCAACCCCCAGCAACCCATCCATTCCCTACGTTTAGCACCAGTAAGATAAACCAAACCCAACAATTACCCTCTGGTTATTTAACATAGCCATGGTATAGATGGCCCATAGAAATAGATGATTTTCCCAGCTAGAAACCTCCATTTAGAAGGGATTTTCCATGGCGAACTGTTAAATAACCATATGGTACTGTATAAACCAAACCCAACAACTAATCCAGTTTTAAGCCAACCTTGAATGAAGAAACCCTTATTGTGGTGATTTTCCAAACCCCCGGGCCCCGGGATTTCTGAAACAACGGGGGACACCAAAAACCCACGGTGTTTTCCAATTGAACGATGATTCAACCAGTGGAAAATTCTGGCGCTTTAACTTACTGGCGCTTAGAGAATGGAGGAATAGGATGACTATGAAAATAGTTAGCTAATGGATCATGCCCTACGTTTAGCACCAGTAAGTCAACTACTGGTTTTCCCATCAAAAATACGGGTTTTTCCAGGTTGGCTGGAAAACGGAATGGTCTGAAAATAGTTTAGAAGTCTCTCCGTGAGAACTGACCAGAAGCTGGGCGATGAGTAGGAAGTTATACCATCATGGAGGGTTGTTATGGCCGCATCCAAATTGAGAAGATCTGAAGTTGTGGCACGATGTGGCCAACACCCGGCCGGGTTGCTGGTGAAGCCTGTCGGCTGGTGACCACTGATCCAAAAGGTGGGGAACATTGTGGCTATGAAGAAATGAGTTCCAATGTGGGATGATGTTCCTAGAAGAGAGGCTCCAGTGTTTCAAATTTTGCATGCATTTTTCAATGCAATTTGTGTCTCATGTTAGATGATGGCCACAGTTCCTTCGGGGGATCCAAATTTCAGACCTGGGGGATCACGACTGGCAGGATGAGCGATCCGAAAAAGCCAAAGTCGAAGCCGAGAAAATTCCCAAGGAGCTGGAAGTGTCATGCGAAGCAACTGGGCAAGACGTTGTTTTTTGGTAGTTGGGGTAATAACCTAGGAATATATTCTAGCGAATTGTAGTATCTGGTGGTTTTTAACCCAAGAAAAGGTTGGTTATTAGGTTTACCCAGAGAGCTGTCACTGCGGATTGGGTGGAACTTAACTTGATGATAGCGATGTTGGTCGGGAGCTGGTCACTACCAGATACAGCGGTTCTGCTGAGAAATTGTTGGGGTCTTGATCAGGACCCTTTGGTAGTCCAATGTGATGTGCCCATAAAACAATGGTAGTTGAATCTAACTGGTATGTAATGGTGTCAGATTTTTAGATCTGTTTCCTGTCAAGACAGGTCGCTGCTTTCCCACTGGGTTATCCCAGGCCTGTTTTGGCGACGCATCACATCGGCGGGTCATTTTGACCTTTTGACTTTGGCAAGGAATACCCTCTGGTAAACATACAAAAAGCTATTGAAAATGACCATTTATAGTGAGTTTTCCCATTAAAAATTGTTATTTTCCATAGTTTTTTGTATGTTTACCAGAGGGTAACACGATGACAAGGCTGAGCAATCTTGGGGCATGAACTGTGTTCCCCGTAGGCAAGACTTGACACCTTGCTCCTTGCCAATGTCCATGGCAACAATTCGCGGAAGATGACCAGTAATGTGACCTTCGAAGCCGGGCTCAACTCAGCGTGCGACGGAGTTGGTAACCCATGACGGATCCGGCTGGTGCTGGATACTCCATTACCCATATGCTCCATGTACTCAACCCATATGCTCCCTAACCCATAGGATCCATGTATGGTATATATATATACTAACTAACATTTGGGGTATATTGATGGGATCCATGGAGCACCATATATAGCAGCACCATGGATGCGTCATGAGTTAATGATCCAAGGTTCCCTTGATTCAGCTTTAAAGGCGGACAGGGACCGACCAGTTCATCCAAGTTGCATTGGTCATATAGCAATCAATCTGGGTAAAACAATGTCATTTGCACCATCCCCCAGTCAGCATTTTTATAGGTGGTTACCATGGGAGGTCATGCGTGGCTTATTATTGTACCCACATTACATAACTTATCCTCACAAGAATTGCTGGTGACATACCCATTTCATCCCATTTCTATTGGTCACGCACCTTCTGTTTGTCCTTGCTTGCCCCGCCATCTGCCAAGGCACCTACAGCTGCTCCCGCGTCCCCGTCCGCTGACGCGACGACGTCCTTCACGCGCTTGACGCACGCGGCGGAGTTTTATGCGGCGCAAGCGGCGACACATGCCGCGGAGTTTTTTTTATACAAGATCCTGGGCTGAAACAGGGCCTGCTATTTTGTATGTTTTGGAGAAATATCAAAGTCAGTGTTTTGTGTCTGTGTTTGCAACAAATTAGTAAAACAATGTAAAACACATATTCTTTACAGATGCTTTACCCAGATTCAATTGTTGAATTCAGTGATACAAAGAGTTGATTGTAAAGAAAATACTCACATGAAATCATCTGTGATGCCCCAACAGGATAGTTCGATTCTTCAAAAAAATGGTAAACAAGGATGGGATGTTACTGCAATTGCCACCAACAATATGATATCGGGTTTGCCAGAAAATGTGGTACCCCTAAAATCGGTTCATCAGTTTCGATGGGTAAATAGATTAAATGGCCACAAATTGGGGTGTACACCATTTTTAGAGATGAGAGTTTGGATCTTTTTTTCACAGCTACTGAAGGCTGGGGCTTGGGTCAAAATTCGCCATTGCTACCCCATTTGAAAACGTTGCCATACCAATAAGGTGGCGCTCCCAAAGGGTAAGTTGGTGAATAAACTCATCCAAGTATAGTTATCGCCAGGTAAAAGCCTTGTTAAGCCTGCTATAAACCAACTAAGCTGGGTAACTATGGGGCATCTGTGATCAAGACCCATTGTAGGCTGACAGTGTGGGTTTGGCAAAAGACTTCATGATCCAACTTAAAATTGCTTGCTTTCAAATAATCTTGCAACTGAATTTTCTGAGTCACAATCATGCGGCCAGAATTTCAACATACAGTGGATGGAAGAAATCCTGCACCACCTTGAATGGTTGAAACCCTATAAATAATGGGATCAACAGCCTATCAACTGGTGCAGGATTTCGCAACCATCCACAGTATTTCAACATGTTTCAACACCAATCATACCGTTGGATCAATTGGGATCGATGCTCCACAGCTGATCCCAGGAAAGATGAGAAGAGCGGTCCGGGCAGCCCGGACCGCTCGCCGGGCTCAAGGGGGATGCTGGTCATGTTTGAGGGGAAGTATCCTCTGGTAAACTGACACTTTGCTATTGAAAATGATGAAAAAAATAGTGGATTTACCCATTAAACATGGTGGATCTTTCCATAGCTATGTTGGTTTACCAGAGGGTATCAGATATGTATACTTTGTACATTGTTTATACATCTATTTGTTGATTGGGTAAATGAATATTGAGTTCTTAAAACGCACAAGATATCAAAAGGTAATGTGGTAAAGCCAATAAGAATCAACCCCGTTTTTCGCAGTTCTGCGAGGCTGTACAAATCAATGAATCTCTCCGTGGATTGACCAGCGAAACCCCTTACCATCCCAGAAACCTTGATTTAGTCTTGGCTCCTTTCATTTTCAATTCCTATTCTTATCATGAGTTCTATCCCATGAAAATATGTGGAAATACATTATATATACATATGGAACTGTGGATATAACCTCCCAATTATTGATACGCCAAAGAATAAACTCACATAGCTCTGAAAAATTGTCCATTTATCTCGATGATTTACTGCAGTCAAATATGATGATTCATAGAAAGCTATTAAATTAACAGAGGCTAGACCACATAATGGGTTACAAGCAAAATATGGAAATATATATATATATATGGAAACGGAAAATATATGAAAACATATGAAAAAATATAGCCCCCAATCATGCTATATCCCCTGTTCAGTTGTCATTTTGTTCTGGGTGAAACAGGACTCCGGCGCTCTGTCGGAGGAGATTTCGGGCATTGGAAAAATACCCGATATGGCCATTGGAATTGGTGGCTCATCCCACTTAGTAAGTAGGGTTAATCCACTTATAACTGGGGTGAACTAACCCACTTACGATTCGTGGGATGAACCACCAAGTGGAACTGGGAAAATGTGCACCATGAAATTTGGTCGCCGGGTTTTTTTTAAAGACAAATCCGTCAATCCATTCAGAGGGATTTAGATACCTAGTAATTATAGGGAATCCCATTCAAGACGGTTGGATGACCAAACCCCAGATCAATGGGAATTTCCGGATCCTAAAATGGAGGTACCTAGCATTTATAAGGCCTATTTTTGAGGCCTATGTAAGTGAATATCACCACAAAATATGGCCTGAAAAATGGTACCGTACCTCCATTTTAGGATCCTGAAATTCCCATTGAAATTAGGTTTTGGCAGGATGTTGGGACACAAGGTTGAAGCGTGTGTTTGAAAATCACCTGGACCACCCAAAGGGCACGATGGTCCTGCGTCCACTCCATGACCCACATGATTGCAGACTGGACCCAGATTGGCGTGACCATCGACTGCAAAACGTTCATCACGAACTTCGCGGCTGACTGGGTGCAGGAGGAGGTGCCGCCGCATGTGTGAGTTCTTCCATGTTGAGTGCCTGCTGATGAAGCCATATTCGATGCGGCGTGGTGGCGCCACCTATCTGCTACAGGCAGGTGTCCCAGTTGAAACCATCCTAGTTTCTGGGCCGGTGGCGCAGTATCGCGGTAGCTCGGCTTTTCTTGGAAGACGGGCTTGCCCAATTGCCCTCGCTTCGCTTAGAAGCTGGTGCTCTTCAGTTAGCTCACAGTGAAAGTCAAGTAGAGGCAGGTCAGGGAAACAAGAAGCAGAACAAAGTATGTGAGGCTTCGTCCTGTCAAGCTCGCTTTGAGTGGCGCTGACGTGACGGGCAATCACCCGCGATAGGGCTGCAACCGATCTTGTCCAGTCAATTCTCTTACCCTGGGCCGCCCGTCGGCCTCCAACAGATTCAACAAAAATTTTGTGAGGATGGTCCGGATCCAGGGACTCAAGATCAGGGCTGTCAGCAGCCCGCCACAACAGCAACCAATCAGCACCCCCTACAGCTTTCCAGCCGTAAATTGGGGGCCGTGGAAGGACCTGATGGTTTTTGAAGAAAACTCCAGTGAATCCATTCCATTTGGAACTCTTGGAGCGGTCTCCTGTTGACTCGCGCATCCGGCACAGGGGTACTTGGCGAAGACCCACCGCGGGACGTTGTAGAAAATGAGGAGATCCCAAAATGGTGATTTTGATGGGGAAAACCCTATCTGGGCTGGTCAAACTGTAAAACTCCTTGTTAAACAAACCATATATATAATCGTAGCCAATTAGATGAGATATCAGAGTGTGAGAGTTTACTGTATAAGCATAAAACACGACCATATACCAGTAGAATATAAAGATCGCCAAGTACAAGATGATCTGAATTGCAAAGAAGTAGGGATTTGCCTAGCAAAAGTGCCGACGCAACAAGGTGCAAATACGCTTTGTGTATCCAAGAAACATGTTGATGTAACCAGCTACCCTCCCTCTATTACCACATTGGTTATATACATTTTATAAACCAACTTAGCCAACTATGGGCAGCAGTTTCCGGGTGCGGGCGATGCCGACTTGCAAGGAGACGCCTGCAGCACCAGCACAAGCCGCTGAAACAAGTGCAGAAGCAGCTGAGCTAAGCTGGATGATGGCTGAAACAATTGAGCAGTGACCAAAAGCTTGGGAGTTTACTATCCCAAATATATTGGAGGTTCTCACTGGGATATAGTAGGTGAATACAGTAATGGGGGGGTAATACTGTAGCGCAATGTATCACCAACTTGATATCATAGCTGGGCGTGTCTGATAATTTGTTGGATACCCTCTGGTAAACGTTTACATAACTATGGAAAATCACCATGCTATTAATGGGTAAATCCACTATTTCGACTGGGCCATTTTCAATAGCTATTTTGACATAACCAGAGGGTACCCCCAATGAAAATGGCATTTTTGAAGACAGAAAATGATGACAAACCAATGGATTTAGGTCCAGAAAAACAGACAAACCCAACAAACCCAACCAATTGAGCAATGAAAAGCAATCGATTCGTTGATGATCACAGGGGTGTCTTCATAAGCCCAACGAATTTATTGGGAATCTTTCGGACTAAATGCTATGACCTCAGGGGTGATTCAGTCTGGAGCTGCCATGAAGGACTTGTGCCGTGGTCAAATTAGATGGATTGAATACAATGATAAGATAGGGATCTACAAAAAGGGGGAATGTAATGGATATATATATATATATATATTATGTATGTATGTAATGTAATGTAATGTAATGTAATGTAATGTATGGTATGGTATGTAATGTAATGTAATGTATGGTATGGTATGTAATGTAATGTAATGTAATGTATGGTATGGTATGGTATGTAATGTAATGTAATGTAATGTAATATAATGTAATGTAATGTAATGTAATGTATGTATGTATGTATATATATATATATGTATATATGTATGATATATATATATGTGTATATATATATATGTATGTATGTATGTATGGATGGATGGATGGATGGATGGATGTAATGTAATGTAATGTAATGTAATGCAATGTAATGTAATGTAATGCAATGTAATGTAATGTAATGTATGTATGTATGTATGTATGTATGTATATATATATGTATGTATATAGATATGTATATGTATATACATATATATGTATGATATATATATATATCTATGTATATGTATATATATGTAATTACATATGCATATGTATATTCATAACCAACTTAATCTGATATACGTATGTAAAGGGTCTATGGTCATCCATCCAGTAATGGCAATCGCTCATGGATTTGCCAAAACCAGCTGCTTGGTGGGGTCGTATTTTGGGAAATAGCTTCATTTGCTACCAGAATGGTACCGCCCAATTGCAATGATTAAACAGCTGTAGGCGCTAGGGGGGTGATCGATTAGGGATTGACATTTTCCCCCACCTTCAACGAGTAACTAGTAATACATGGAATGGAATATGCAATGCTATGGATTGATTGATAAGCCAGTTGGTTATATAATCAATGGATTGGTTTAAGGGAAAATTGGAACCGGAAACCATAGATGTTCCCATGAAGATCATGGGGTTTTCCGGTTCCAATGTTCCCTTACTCCAATCCATTGATATAATCATTTCCAACCCCAGGTTCTTGGTGGCTGCGATCCACCCCTGTTGGTTGATGAGTTGGGGGATGAAAAACTAGCCTTCATATATTGGGGATTATAGTAATCCAAGAACGGGGAATCCCGTTCTTAACCAACCAGGATTACCCTCTGGTAAACTGACACAACTATGGAAAATCAGCATCTTTAATGGGTAAATCAACTGTGAATGGCAATTTTCAATAACTATGTTAGTTTACCAAAGGGTAAATGGAGTGATAGAGGGATTTTGAACACTGTTCAACTGGATTGTAAGATGGTTATGACCCACCAACACCGCTGAGATGCACTTTTTTTGCGCCTATTTTGTGGTATGCTTTTCTCGGATAGAAATAGCCCACTGAGTAAAAATTGCAAGGTGGTCCCACCTAGTGAGCTAAGTTGGTTTATTACTAGGTTAACTGTTGGGTATATGGTGATCAAAACAACTATTGTGAGATGGGGCTATAAAATCACAAGACGAACTTGGGAGCACCGCCTTTTAACAACAGGATTCTACCATTGTATCCCATCCCAAGTTGGTTAACGTTGGCATTGTCCCATCCATTTTGTTGGATAAATTGCATCATGTCCATTATATTCCAAGTTGGTTGGACTTTTCTGGCTCCCAAGGATGTCACGGAGGGCTCCTTCTCGCGCATGACCAATGCGGCGGGGGCGCTGGCGTCGCAAGCGGCCACACAAGCGGCGGAGTTCTTTGGAAAATCCGAGGACAGCTGAAACCAAAGTCCCAACTGGGCTGGTCAGTGGGGTGGTTTGTAGCTCAAAAAACTGGAACAAGTACAATGTGGGGCCCCCCAGTTGTAAGTTTTATAAACCCCATTAATTAACTATAGTTATAAGTACGATAAACCATAGTTATTGGAGTTATAAACCAACTTAGCTATCTAGGGGGCCCCACATTGTAGTAGGCTAGGTCAATCTTAGATGGGTAGAAACTAATACTTTAGCCTTTTGGTATCGATGGGATTATCTACTAAGGATGACTGGCTGTACCCTCTGGTAAACTAACATAGCTATGGAAAATCACCATCTTTAATAGGTAAATCAGTTATAAATGGGCCATGTTCAATAGCTATGTTGAATGTTGAATTGCCAGAGGGTAGTAGGAAGGAACAAATATCCAGGCAGATCCAATATATATTTGCGGATATGGCTGGCTGGTGGCTTGAAATTGTGAAAATAGTTGGTGTCCCATCCCCACAGCAGATGAAATTGCTATTTTAAGAAATCGCATGACAGGCTTTGGTCATGGTCATGAAACACTGGGTCCATTGGCTCTGCATCGGCACCCCTTGTTAGGTTGCCGAACAGGGCAAAGTTTGCTGATTGTGGATTCACCCAGCTGGGCATCCGATCAATCCAGGAATAGTTGTGGGGACAAAAAAGTTTGGATACGAAAATAGGGTAGCCTCGGTTATCCATTCGGTGGTCATCATGTTCCCCTCTTATTGCCGCAACTTGGAAGACACTCATACCCTCTGGTAAATTTTAACATAACTATGGAAAGATCCACCATTTTCAATGGGTAAATCCACTATAAATCACCATGTTCAATAGCTATTTTGACATCACCAGAGGGTAATATCCCCTATCATCCCAATTTCAATTCACCATTGTTAACCATAGAAAATCACCATTTTCCGAGTGGTTAAATCACCATTTTCCTATGGTTTTCCTATAGTTTACCAGCATTTTCCTATGGAAATCCACCATTTTTCACCATTTTCCTATGGCTTTCCTATAGTTTACCAGCATTTTCCTATGGAAATCCACCATTTTTCACCATTTTCCTATGGTTTTCCTATAGTTTACCAGCATTTTCCTATGGAAATCCACCATTTTTCACCATTTTTCCTATGGTTTTCCTATAGTTTTGTGACCCAAAAAACGTTTCCACGCCCCGCGTTAGGACGCTCAAGGCGGGCGAAAGCGCGCAGGGTGCGCAGGGTTGGATGCACAGGGATGATCCACTGCCAGTGGATTTTAGCCATGAATCACCTGGTTTATAGGTCAATAACTATGGTTTTAATAGGTGATATATCTATAGTTAATGGATGTTAATGGGTTTATAACCAATCTATCTGGGTAAATTTAATCACGACCTCACTACGACCGAGCCCTGGAATCATGGTTAGTATTGGAAATCAATGGAAATCATCCCCTTTTATGGCCCAACAATTCAGGTTAGTGAAATATTATTTCATTTACCCAGATTTACTGATGTTTGATGGTTTATTTATATGGGTTTCTCATGGTTTGTCTGAAAATGGTGTCTAGGAATTTAAATGGTACTTTTTATGGGGAAAAATGAGGATTCACCTTAAAATGGATGACACATACTGGATATTGATGATATTGTCATTGATTCTAGCCATATTATACCTTTCCAGAAAAATGTGAATCCCACCATGGCTAGTAACATTATTAACACCCCCCGGAAACCAGTGTTTTGTAGGTAATGAAACCGCATTTTTGGGACCATAGAATGGGGATGTTGAAGATTTGGGGATTGGTATGACCAACAATTTACTCCGGGATTACTCATGCGATTCTTGGTCTATCACCACGGCGGTTCGTTGTCATATGCTGCATATATAATATTATATATATACACATTATATAATATATATATATATGTATGACATATGCATTTATCCTAGTTGATTGACTGTTGTTTGCTTTGTTGACGGCAGTTGACGGGTTCAATCAACTAAGAGTGGATCCCTGTATGAGAGGTTTTCAGGTTCTCAACTGGAAACTACCGTGTTCCCAAATGATCTGTTGAAAACAGGAGACCAATCAATGCAGATGTGGCAGATGTGGCAGATGCATTCGAAATGCATGTGATGCACTGTGAAGCACAGTTCTGGGTACAAATGTGTACTGTACTGTCCTTTTAGTACCTTGAGTCGCGAAGCTTTTGCCCAGCCAAGGGACAACGATCTGTCTCGACTTTTGGGACCAAAGTCACAGATCTTGAAGCACCTTTCCCAGCAGCTCTCCCAAAAATGTGGTGCAGTGCAGGCACTGCAAGTGAAATGTTGGTTGCCAAGAAGGATCTGCAGCACTGCTGCATACATTTTCATTGGGAATGGCAGGAAACCCAATTTGTTGTGTCCGTTTCTTCAGATATTTCAGATATTTCAGCATCTGATTTGGCTCATACCTCCCACTGTTTTCTCGAAGCCGAATGGCCAAACTAAGAATTCCCAAGAATGGTCAGATGACAATCTTCCATTGTTTGAGCATTACTTAGATAACTCAAACCCGTCAACAGATAGCTCTCGCGCCATGGCAGGCAGAGGCGGCAACTTTTCGGATCGGGCTTGGAATCTCTTCACATCTCCGAAGGACTGCGCGTCCGGCAGGGTTGCTCCAATGAAAATGAATGGTGAAAAATGGGGATTGGACCATCATTGATGGGTTTCTAATATCATGTTAGCGGCCAAAATGGCTTCGGCTATCATTTAGCGGTGTGTTTGTTAAGCATTCGGAAAAGACGATGTGTGATTGAAAGATGATGGTTGGTGGTTTGGAACATGTTTAATTTTTCCATTCAGTTGGGAACAATAATCCCAACTGACGAACTCCATCATTTTTCAGAGGGGTAGAAACCAACCACCAACCAGATTATAGAACCATTATTAATCACTATTCAGCCACTATTAACCACCATTAACCATATAACCATATATTAACTATTACCCATAATTAGTTCAGGGGTCCATCTTCCTACCCTTGATACCGTCGTAATGGTGCCCCCGTTTACGAGTTGGCGTTCTAAGTTGGTGCATTGCATTGATAACTCCAATTTCACGATGGTTTTTGTTGGTGATATGTATATATATATATATGATGTATCATTATATATCTATAGTTTTCATGGATTTATAAACCAAATTATAACTGGGGCACCACCTTGATAGGTGCTTATCCATCCCAATCACATCAATCACTGTATCATCCCGCTTAATCCTCAGGGCGGAGATGTTGATTTGATGGTGAAATCCCATGACGTTTCATCGAAAAATGGCGAAGTTCCATTTACCTATTAAACATGGTGATTTACCTATTAAACATGGCCTATTTAGAGGACATCCAATCCTCAAAAATCGAAAAATGGGAGAATTCTTCATGGGAAAAAAGGCACATTCATCATCCTTAGAAATCAAAGATAAGTAGAATATCCATCATCCAGAATATCCCTACCCTCTGGTAAACTAACATAACTATGGAAAATCACCATGTTGAATAGGTAAATCATTTATAAATAGCCATTTTCAATAGCTATGTAACAAATTACCAGGTGCTATTTTTTTTCATCACTGCCTTCCCAAGATCCTGGTGATCCCTAGAGACACCAGGAGTCGAGCGATGCAGGTTGGATCGCCGATCTGAAGCCTTGGAAGCCTTGGATAATCCTTGGAGAACTAGGATAAAGCCTGGGATAAATAAATATATATATATATATGGGTTTTACCAACCTGGTTGGTTAATAGTGATGGTTAATAGTGGTATTCATAGGCTATAAACCAACAAGAATGGGAATATGATGGTGATCTGGTTGGTGGTTTGGAACGCGAGAAGATCAGCATCATACGGATCAAGCAGAGGCTTCGACGAAGCCTGGGACAGGTCCAACAAGCAGAGGTTGGGCCGATGTGCTCATCAACCTGGTTTTTCGCTCGGGCGGGGTGCAAGGTTTCCCATGCGAGGTGCAGCTGCAATTGAGGTCTCTTCATGTGGCCCGCCATCAACTGGGTGCGCATAAGGTGTTCGCCAGATGCCGAACGTTGCTGGCCTTGGAAGAGATCAAGGGAAAGCTTAGGAGCAAAGTCAAAGAAGAGAGCTCGAGGAGATGACTAGTCCCAACTGACTAATATTTTTCAGAGGGGTTCAAACCTTCAAACAGATATATTTATATATGGGATATACTGGATATTAACACAACATTTAAGTATGTATTTGTTGTGTGTCATCTTGATAAAAATCTATCATCCCTGAGGTCAAATGACATTTTCTTACCGACACTTGTAGTGATCAACCACGGTGAACCCTTGGCTTATCGGGACGAGTTCGATTTCGGAGTTCAGCAGCAAAAGTTCATGGCAAAAAAAGACGTGGAATTACCCTCTGGTAATTTAACATAGCTATTGAAAATGACCCATTTATATATAGTTGATTTACCTATTAAAGATTGCGATTTTCCATAGCTATGTTAGTTTACCAGAGGGTATGCCATACGATGCTTCTAGAGCATGTTGTATAGTTGACATGGACAGAACCTATATGTATATAAGATTATATATATATAGGTGCTCTGGACAAGGCCACGATAAAGTTTCTACGTCTATATTACATTTGCCGAAACTATCAATTTACCACGAAAGAGAGGCGATGGTAGTACCAAAAAGGCCAATCAAACTGCCAATATGTGGAGGTAAATATGAAATTCTACATGGTGCTGCTGTTCTAAAGCTACATGGGTGAAAACAAATCACTTCATCCCCTTTAACCGTTGTGTCAAATAATATGGTCTTGTTTGGTAACTTTCTTGCCTAAATTTCCAACTTATCTCCTTGGTGAAAACTCGATTCATACGAGCAGTTTAAATAAAACCAATGAGCTGATGACTATACGCTGTTGCACGGCTCAAATCAGGTATTGTCATATTCCGTTATGGGAAATCTTTTTCACCAACCATTATTTTGGTGGTTTTCGACAGGTGTTTGACACTGCGCAAGACGGAAAAAAAACAGTTGATGGTATAAAATCACCTCCAGTTGATTTCACAAGTAAAACCTCCATTTCCCAAGAGGGAAAACCTCCAGTGTTTAAATCACCACTTCATGTTTGTGAAACACCACTTCATGGTATAGTATGATGTACCAATTCCACCCTTCCCATGTTTGTGACATCCTCTAGAAATCATGGTCCAGTCACCAAGTCACCAATGACCTACCACCACCTTTGATGTATTTTGCAATATGTTGTTGGCATGATTTTCCATTGCTCCATGAAATACCACCGTGATCTTTCCATGAAATATCCCCATGATATCCCGTCTTTTGATCAATTACATCTCCATATTTATGATACAAAATGGTTTCAAGCTGGAGACATGTTGCTTAAACCCTGCCAAATCTTAAAGATTTCAAATGAAAATGAAAAATCACACATCCATTTGGTTAAATTCACCAGGGTCAACCATTTCAATCAATCTTGCAATATGATTGTGAATCACATTTAAAGTAATTCACCAGGGGTAAGTCACCACTTGAGCTGATTTTTTTTTGCCAGGCGCTGCGGCCGCTAGGTGCCAAAGGGGGGGCCCGCAAACAAAAAGGGCTGGTTCTTTCGGCAACGTCCGTCTGGATGATGTCGATGTCTGCGGATTTATGGCAATTGATGGCAGATGTCACCATGAAAAAATGAATTTTTCACCACCAGAAATGGTGGCTGTTCATGGTGATACTGTGGATGGGGCTTTTTGAAACCCTGCACCAGTTGAAAACGGACGGTGGTAAACATCCCACTATTTTGTTTGGGTTTCAACCAACCTTTTTGTGGCGCAGGATTTCGCAACCATCCACAGTATCATGGGATAATCCAGATGAATTTGATGATCTCACTGTTTTCCGCTGGAATCATGGTTAGTAAGGAGAATTCTCCCCTAGGATATGAATTGCGCAAGGGCGCATGGCAAGAGGAATGATGATCTGAACTGGCCTTTTTTCATGGGGGTGTCTCAACCATCAATTCGTCATCATTGGTCAGTATTCCCTTTTTGCTTAGTTCATTCCCCATTGTAGCCTTATCACTAGGCAGGGTAGCGTCGTCCAAGTTTTGATATTTTGCAAAGTTCATGGAAATATATTTTGACTAACCAGCTAAACATGTCCAATAACTTGTTGCGCGGTAAGTATCTAAGGTTGATCATGAAATATGGTGTATACAGCAATGGCCAAGTCTCACAGGGAGAATGATGACTGTGGATTTGGGGTACCTCTATTTTTGGGACGAAGTTATTTGTGAATACCCTCTGGTAAACTAACAGTTTGCTATTGAAAATGGCGATTTATACTGAGTTTTCCGATTAAAAATGGTGATTTTCCATAGTTTTTTGTAAACGTTTACCAGAGGGTATCCCAAGCAAAATCAGATACGCTGCAAAACCAAAGAGCTTGTTGCTCTATGTGCCGTCGATTGGATTTCCCATGCAGGGCGATCGTCCCGCCGGGTCGGGGATTGTCATGAGCGATTGAGGTGAAACCCCAAATTCAGATCAACTAAGGGGTCAGGTTTTCCACCATCGACCCCCAAGTTGGGCAATTTATTTGTTGCCTCTATGATTTGAGGTGATCTGTCTTAGTACCCCTGAAAACTTCAGCAAACAAGAAAGTTGGGAAACAAATCTGAAAATTAATGGTTGTCCATCATGTTCCCCCTTGCGAAAATTGCCATGAATCTGAATGTGATACCTCCGTGACGTCGGATCCTTTACAAAGAGAATTATCCCGAAATGGGAAGTTTCAGTGTATGATTTATCCAGATGAAAATTCTCCCACAAATTCTATGGTATCCCATGGTGGCCAGGCCCCAAAGCCAGGCGCTTGGGAGGTGCTCCTCGGTTAACCTGGCTGACGGAAATCATTCCAAGAGAAAGCAAGAAAGATGAGAAATCACCATGAAATAGACCAATAGCGACTACCCTCTTGTTATGACTAACAGTTTGCCATGGTATAGATGGCCCATGGAAATAGATGGTTTACCGTTCTTTAAAATGGTTATTTTCCATGGCTATGTCAAATAACCAGATGGTAGTGTTTATAATGATTATAATCGATATTAATAGTGTGACAAATGACAGTGGTTAGTGGTGATTAACTATGGTGAAGTGCGATTCATGGTGCTTTATGATGAGTAATCGTGATTGATGCTTCAGAAAGCAACACAATGGGATGTATATAAGCTAACATAAGTAGACCATTTCTACATGATCTACCTACTTAAAAATGTGATGTTCCATAGCTATGCTACTGTGACCGAGGGCCATCATCAAAACTGGGCTTGACCACTAATGAAGAATGGAAATAACCCTGGATATACCAGTTTATGCGCATAATATACGTACAATGAATGGGGATAAAAAAGGATATTAATTATGATATAGTTTCAAAAACCTAGGTTATGGAATTAGTGGTGTAAGCATCATTTTTAGGATCAATAGCATCAAAATATGTGGGTATCACGGACAAAATTGATGATTAAACTGCAAGCACGTGGGTGTAACCCAAACGAGAACGTGGAGCATGCTTTTCAGGAATGAAATATGAGCATTAAACCTATTTGGTTGATGATGATTACAATTTATGCGGGTATAATGGAGATAAAATGGGATTTGATTTCAAAAATCCTGGCAGCAATCTAAAAAAGTGGTGACTTGACGGAGTTTGACCTGTTTTGGCTTTTATTGGGTTATCGTACTTTTTGTCAAGCCCCTATAGATCATAGCTTCTATAGCTACAACCTGCACATGTTTGGAAACTTAGCCAGCCGAAGTGGTCAAAGCATCGATCAAAGTTGGGTAGAGTGGTGAAGATGTGGACCATCCAGTGTCTCCGGTGTTGGGGAAATCTAGAGACCCTCACGACGGTCACCTGGTTGGGAAACACGAAGATTTTGGATCAACATGTTGATCCCACTAAATTCCATTGCATCAACCAGTTGAATCCCCCCAACAAAGCGTGTGTTTTTGTACCCTGGTGTGTGTGTGTGCGTGTGTGTCGGTGAAATCGCTTCTATCCCAATACGATTTTGTGCTGGTTCAATCCCAATGTTCGTGTATTGAAAGTTGCACGCGCGGGTATTTTTGTGGTGGTGACTGCAATACGTTTATTGTCGATCAAATGCTGCATTCAATGATGGCCATGTCGTCATGTATCCTTGGATAGATCCTTCTTCATGCCCTAATATCGCAGCTCCGGCCATTTTCATGGTTTCATCACCATTGTTGGGTTATGCCCATATTTTTCATGGTTTCATCACCGTTTCATTTATGTTTTTGTTGGGTTTATGCCCTAATATCATGCTGATTGGTGGTTTCAAACATCTTTTATCTTCATGTACGGGATGTCATCCCAACCCCATTGACTCATATGTTTCAAGGTGGTTAAAACCACCACCAACCAGATTATCATCCGATTATTAACCATTATTAAGCCACTATTAAGCCACTATTAACCATATAACCATATAATAACCATATATTAACTATTATTAACAGTATATTAACCATATAAGTATGTTAAAACCACCAACCAGCATGCCGAGCCGAGCAGTGCTTGCTTGCCTTTTTTCGGCCAGGTGTTGGCGCTGCGGTCAGGAGATCCTGGCCGAACTGGATGCCGTGGAAGCTCATGAGGAGCCCGGGGCGCCGGTGGAGTTCAAAAGGCAGCGATTTGTTGGGCAGGAAATGTGGAAATATCCATGGCAATAAGTGGGAGATAGATGGAGATAGATGGATAGTGGGAGATAGATGGTTAGTAAGGAGAATTCTCCTCTACAATGTGGGGCCCCCGTAAGATAGCGTTCAGTTGGTGCACATAACTCCAATTTCACTATGGTTTATGGTACGCAAATAACTATAGTATTCATGGGGTTTAAAAACCAACTTACAACTGGGGGGGCCCACATTGTGGCAGTAAGTGGGAGATAGATGGATTTCTACTTTGATAGTAGTTGTTATTATTCACATCATGAAAAAAAACACCATATGACTTGAACTTAGCATGTGGTGGACTGGTGTACCCTTCAGTGTCATCAAACATGGCTAGCTTGAAAATCTCCGAACCACATGGAGGTTTTGTTTCCAGTGCCATGTGTGATTTTCGGGTATGTTTATTGCTAAAGCCCCCCCTAGGGATATATCATGACATATCTACCATCCCTAGCTTTACTCAGAAGCGACTTGGTGAACTCATGACGTCAAGCTGCCGTACCAGTGAGCATCGAGATCAAAGGTGGTTCGCCGATCACGGCCATGGCCTGGAAAATGTGCAGTATGTCGGTTTGGCCATGAATCAACACCCCAAAAGAGTAATGAAAAATCATCCCGGAATGTGTTTTTTTCGGTGATTCTGCGATCTTCCTAATAGCTTGGAAATCCAGTTTGGTGCCTTTTGGAGATGTTCGGAGAAGGAGTCAAGATTGTGTGTATGACTCTGAAGTCAATTTACTGCGGGTGGATGAACCTGTATTAAGTATTGTGATAATATTCAATAGGGCACCAGCGTTTTGATTCACAGCCAGTGAATAGATTGCACAATCCTGGACTTGAATCCCAGAAGTGCCACATGCTTAAATGCTTTTCTTGAGCCATTTGCCATGTGTTAACCCTCACTTTTATTGATAAAGACATGTTTTCTCGTGGTTTTGACATGTTTAACCCCCAATATTTATTTTCGTAGAGTCCGCATTTTACTGGCGCTGAACCAGATGTTCAATCGATTTGATTGAGGAAAGATCTACAGGAAGACCTACATGAACCCCAGGCTTTGCAATGTGCTGGTCCCCAACAAAGCAAGGCTTCCGGCTTCCCCAGTTCTATCCCTATTCTACATATTGTTGGTTAATCCAGGTATTTGCAAGTCAATCCTTCATGAGTTTTCTGGTGAAAGCACCATTTCTCCAGGAGTTTTGCAGCCGACCCATGCAGCAGTTGCTGGAAGCAGCGGATCTGCTGGCAGGTGAAACGGCTTGGGAATGCTTGGGGCCTCCAAAAACTGGAAAAAAAATCACTGGTTGGTGGAGAATATCCTGGTTGGTGGTTGATGGTTAATAGTGGTTAATAGGCTATAAACCAACAACAATGGGAACATGATGGTGATCTGGTTGGTGGTTCGAACAATTTTTTTCCATTCAGTTGGGAATGTCATAATCCCAACTGACGAACTCCATCATTTTTCAGAGGGGTAGGTCAACCACCAACCAGAACATGTGATCCCCAGGCGAACCAGCAGCTCAACCTGCCTCTTGATGATCTCTGCCTCCTTTGGGAGCACATCTTTTGGAGCAAGTCTCGCGGAACGGCGTCCAAGCTTGGGCTCCCGTTGCCAAGACTTTCTGGAACTTTGGACCATTGGAAGCCGCCAAAATAATCATACCTAATTTCCCTAAGCTTCAAAAAATATTGGCCCTGCAAGGGGATATGTGCCATGCAGGAATGGATAATAAGATGATTCACCCCTGGATTTTGGATGATTTTGGTGTATCCATAATATCACAACTGGCTGGTGGTTCAAACATTTTTTATTTTTCCATATCAGTAGTAGCGCACAAGGGGGTGGCGGAAGTTTCAAAAATAGGAAACCGATAGGAGAGGTTGGTTGTTGTGAATCAGGGATGGCAGAGCGAAGCCACTGATGGACCGAAAGGTGCTTGAGGTCTCCTCTTTTTCTCTCTCTTTCTCTGACTATCTACCTACCTACCTATCTACCTATCTATCTATCTATCTATGTATCTATTTATCTATCGATCTAAATCTATCTATCTATCTATCTGTCTGTCTGTCTGTCTGTCTGTGTGTTTGTCTGTCTATCTGTCTATCTGTGGTGCAGTGTCATTCAGTGTAATGTAGTGTAGTGTAATGTAGTGTAGTGTATGGAGTGTAGTGGAATGTAATGTAGTGTAGTGTAGTGTAATTTAGTGTAGTGGAGTGTAGTGGAGTGTAGTTGTGTAGTTGTAATTGTAGTGTAGTGGAGTGTAGTGTAGTGTAATGTAGGAAATGTGCTTCGCACCACAACGGCGTGCACTTTTTCGACATCTCAACTTCCAAAACTGGTCCGACACTGGTGTGGTTTGTTATTTTGACTTCGAAATGTGCTTCGCGCCACAACGGCGTGCACTTTTTCGACATCGCAACTTCCAAAAGTGGTCCGGACCTTGTGTGTTTTGCGCATTTTGACTTCGAAATGTGCTTCGCGCATCTTCGCGCATCTTCGCGCCACAACGGCGTGCACTTTTTCATCTCTCATCTGGCCAGATGGCTCCGCACCCGCCGCTTTAGCGAGCCTACTTTTTAGACCCTCCGGAGCCACAAATCATTGGAAAAACATAGTGTTTCGCGACTTTCCTACCTTTTCGCGCACCTGGATCTTCTTTCTTCTGCTCTTCTCTCTTATACTCTTCTCTCTTCTACTCTTTCTCTTCTCTCTGACCCTTTCCATCTCTGCCTTTCATCTGTCCATATTGTCGGAAGTTTGACTTCTAAACTTCCTTCGAATATATATATATATACATGTGGGATAATCCTTCCCATTGACTAATATTTTTGAAGATGGTTAAGACCACCAACCAGATAATGTTTTGCAGCTTCCTGGCAAAAATCCAGCGAAGCATTTGGGGACCAAAGGGCTCCCCAGCAGTCATGGCTCACATGTTTCCTTGACCAAAACAATTGAATGATCTAGCTACTGAAGCATGTTAAAGCGACATAAAACAACAGCCATCGAAAAATAGGATGATTATCTCCAATGACAAGGATGAGCATATTTACGCGTCCCGGCCTTTCTGAATGCTTCAGAGTGATTGTATGCGCATACATGTGCCCCATTCTACTGTATCTCATTTCATCCCAAAGTTGTTTGTGGGATAATCCACTTCATCCTAATTGGGAAGTATGTACCACCATAACATCCCTATATTAAAGTTAAACCCCAAATTGTTCATGAACGAAATCCTTATTTTAATCGTGAAATCATCCGGTTGCACCCCCCTTTGCTCCCCAGCGGCGTCCAGGCGACGCCCCAGAGAGCCTTGATCCTCCAGGGAGCGAGGTGAAAGCAGAGGCTGCAGAGGCAGCAGGCGCGAGGTTTGGGTGCTGACTACCAGGGGGTAAATGCGGGGAAGTTCCTCCTGAATTTTTGTTGAGTTTACTGAGGAACCTGGATTGAAATATCAAAAAATTGCGATCTAACCCACCAAATATGAGGCGTGAGGAGGATTTACACTGAGTAGATTATAAGCATCATGCTGGTTGCCTTGCCATGACACAGGGAAAATCTACTGCACACCCGAAAAAGGGATCCGAAATTGAATACCCTCTGGTAATCAAACGTGGCAATAGAAAATCCCCTTGCTGAAGATGTTTTTTATTTTCCTGGTCATGTGTGCAGATGTGTGACATTTGCTGCCCTCGGCGCTTCACTGGTTCTGTAGATGCGCGGCAACACAATGAATGAGGAGATGGAAGTTGAAATGGAATATTATAGAATGTTTCAATGTTTCAGGCACAACATTACTAAGTTTAGCTTTCAGGCCTCACCTGGCTCCTTCTTTGAACGTATTGTTTTCCTTTTGTATGTTGTTTATTATATCCGGGGGGGGCCAGGGCGGACTTTTGAATGCCCGGCTGACAAGTTTGAGCCAGTGCGTTTAGGAAATCTGGCCACAGTCACTTTGCAGCATTTCCGACGGTTTCCTTCAGCCATGGATGTCTTGATCCAAAGGCTAGCTGTAGGGATCCTCAGCTATGCAAATCTCAGAGCTGGTGGAGGTAGAACATTTGAGTGAGGTTTCAGGTTGTGCTTGCCACCATGTTTGGTGATCTCATCACATATAAAAGGCCAGAGTTCCATTTCGATTGCGAAAACTGGAGAGGGGGGCTCCCATCCTCGGGAGAAAAGAGAACATGTCAACACGACATTCTGAGCTTTGTGATGTTTTTGATTTTCTGTTTTGATTTGCATGACTGAATGGCAGAGTCGAATCAAGCAGGCCAAATCCATGTGCTGTGGTGGCTCCAAGGGATTTTAGCAGTGAGGCCAGGGCAGACCTGTTGGGGGCTGGGCAGAAATTTGATGAGATCAATGTTCCGATCCACCAGAGCCTGACAACTCACTTGGACTATGCGAAAAAGATGGACATTCGGCAGGGTTCTCAGAAGCTTGGTGCAATGTGTGCGGATGCCCAATCCGAGCAGGTCATCACGATGCCCTTCTTGAAGGAAAAATTGAAGGACTTTGGCCCCGGAGAGTTTGAGGTCAGTGGCATTTGCAACCCATGGCATTTGTTCGATCCATCTCTTCTGGCAAGTCCAACCGTGACAATTCGACGGGAGGCCATCGAGGAGATCAAGACTACATTTCTTCAGAAGAAGCCCCATGGCATCCCCCAGGAGTTTCGGATTCTTTGCAGCTGGGATGGACGGCAGAAACTGACGGTGAGGCCGTCCATTGGGCCTGAAAACATGTATTTTGTGAATTTGTTTGAGATGATGTCTGGAATGTTTTTCGAAAGTGATTTTTTGTTTGTTTCGCATTTTGCTGGATTTATCTGGATTTCCTCGATGCTCCTTGACATGTGTGTTTTCGAATGGTTTCTGGAATCATAGTGGCCTCCTTACAGTAGGAGGATATTTGTGCAATCTTGCCATCGCGCTTCAGGGGGTCGCATGACGAGATGTGGGTAGCATTTAATTTGTTGAATGCGTCGGCTGCGCGTGCCGACAAGGTGAGGAAGATGAGTGGCTTCAGTGCGCCTTGTCAGTGCCGGTGAAAGTCTTGATCAACAAGGATCAGCAGGGCATCTTTCTTGCTTCTCCAGCTTGCTGAGCGGACCATCCAGGCCGGCATGCTTCAGCGGAAGACCCCGCTGGTGCGGATGTCTGAAATCTCACGGGTGAGCAAGCTATTGGAATCATCGCAGAAACCAGTGACGCTGAAGGCAATTTCAGAGTTTTTTGACCAGGCCGGGCACTTTGAAATGAATAAATTTGTTCCTTGGCAGGCGGCTCTTAAATCCCAAACGATTTGGAGGGTGTGAATCTGTTCTGGTTTTGGTTGGGAATCAACTTCAGCTGATAAAGGGGGGGTCAGGGAAGGAAAGGAATTCTGCAGATGACAGACATTCCAGTTTTTCAATGCGCTGTTGTCCAATTTACTCCCACCTTACAGCAACAAAACTTTGTATATCAATCGTCTTAGCTTCAAAAGATGGACAAATGATTTGGTGATTGTAATGGAGTTCATTGGCCGTTGACGGCTGCTGCGCATCATATTTACTTTCATATCCTGACACTTCGCCGGTCAGGTGGAGTTTGCTGACAAGAGCGAGGCCATCACCCTGTCGACGGTGCAGCAGTGCTGTCAGATCAACAGCGAGCTTTTGGTGGACCAAAGGATCTTGCCCATTCTTCAGCAGTGTGAGGCTTGGACAGTGAAGGGGGAAAGCACTCCCTTTGATGGGTTCTCTAAGATCCACACCATATGCAGCAAATGCATCTCGCTTTAAGAGCTTTAAACATTTTGTGATTTGTGGACGGTTTGATAATGGACAGGTTGCATTTGGATGTTATTGGCATTCAGAGGGCATTTAGTTTTCGGAGATTGTCAATGAAAGCCGAAAAAAATCCTTTTCGTCGTGGATTCGCTTTGGGCGCTGCAACGTGCCAATCTACTTCCTAGTGTTCCATCTAAAGAATTTCTCATGGGCAACAGCAAGTCCAAAAAACATCTTACATAGAGGTCCCGTTGGCAAGGTGGAGGATTGTGACCCATCTCCTGTCTCTTTCTGACGAGCAATTCGTGAAAGACCGCTTTTGCCTGGCATCTGCTTCGTTGCAATCGTCGTGGCCCATTGATGGCGTGGAATTCACAGCTCCTTCTTTGATTTTGGCCGAAATTGTCAAGGACTTTCATCAAGGGCAGTTTGACCCATGTTTGCGTACGTTCCTTGCTCAAATGCCCCGGAGGCAGGATACAGGAAACAAAGATGTGTGTCTTATTTCTCTGTTATGAAAAGGCTTTGTTTTCCGAGAAGGTACTGTGCCAAAGCAAACAGTTTGCCGAAGCAAGAGTTGAATCGGAAGAAACTGGAAACAACTCCGTCAAGAATGAAACCCTGCGTTTCCAATTCCCTTCTCTTGTTACCATCATTTCTGGTCAGGATCTGCGCAACAGATGTTGAACCTTGAGAAGATCCAAGTTAGAATGGATGACTTCAACAAGGCATCAGTGGCCCATGCCGCTCCGGTGACGTGTGCGGAACCGGCTGCAGTAGCTAGGCGCTGGCCGCGGTGACTTGTCTCGCGGCCCTGGCCGCCGTTACTTGACGCAATATCAACCTGTTTGAAGATCGGGTAAGAAGTTAACTTACGAATGCTCGGCTGGTCTTGGCTACATCCGCCGGTCTTGGCTGCATCCGACTTTTGAGGTGCTGTGGTGTTTGTGGCTCCACCTCGCGTTGCGGCTTGGTGGCAAGCAGTGTCCATTACCACTTGCAAGCACAAAATGCAAAGTTTGAGAGTTGAGACAAATGGTTTTGCGCCATCGAGTTCCTCGCTCCCTAAAGTTGTTTTTGGCCGCGGAGGCCTGTCGCATTTTTGTGGGGCTCGGGCAGATGACGGTGCACTACATGCACTTAAACTCATTCGCTACGCTGTGCTGGCAATTGCACCGCACATGCCAGCACCTGTTGGGCCGGAGGCCCCGCGACCTCCTCCTTTCACGCCGGGAGGAGATCGACCAGGAGGCCAGAGTAAGACAAGTTGCTTCAAGGATTTGTTGTGCTTGAGCAGCACTTGATGGCATGGAACAGTTTAAGCAAATCCAAGCATTGCCACGTTTGATTCCCAGAGGGTAGTTCCATTACAAAACCAACTGAGTCACCATTAAGTCAAAGAATATCCCAGAGATCACCGTTTATTACATGTTATGACAGTTAAAATATTCCACCAAAATCTTACCCATACTCCAAGGCTGGCCATACTCAAAACAAAAATGACTCAAGCACCCTGAAAGGCGGTATATTGTTAGAATTATATTCCCATTTCAATAACCATCTATATTGTAACATCCCCATGAATCAATGGTCCATTGCCCAAGGTGATGCTGATGCCCCTCCTTCATCGACTTCACCGTGGGGGAGCCTGGAAGATTTTTGGGCACTGACGCCAGGAAGTGGGGGGAACCTTGGTGATGGGTAGCTTAACTGGGCCCAACAGTGGGGGTTTACCAGCAAAATCTGGTGGTTTAACCATCAAAACTTGGGAAAACCCACTGGTGAAGAGTAGTTTCATCCTTTGTTGCCATTTAGATTATGATGTTTGCTGAAGAGCTAAAAACGACGTGTTTGTTTTTTTCTCTCCCAGGCATCGAAGATTGGCCATGGTAACTGACCAAAATTGTGGATACAACTGGGATGATCCAGCTAGGATGCTGAGTGGTCCCAAAGTGTCAGTAAATTACAATCTGATTTGGTGCTTTGGAACATGTTTTTTTTCCATATATTGGAAATAATCGTCCCAACTGACTGATATTTTTCAGCGGGATTGAAACCACCAACCAGTAATCCATTGATAATGAAGTGTGGCTGGAAAATCCCTTTGAAATGAAAATTGTTTATGGGAAAATCGTCTATAAATATCGTGCATTTCCATTGCCATGGTTACCAGAGGGGAATCCATTGACACCTGATGTTGTTTCCATCCCATGTCAGTTGATTGTCTACAAAAGATCCGTACTCTTGCCGGTGAGACAATCCCACGATGCAGCCATTACGTGTGTGTGTGTGTTTGGCTCAAATTAAGAACACAGGGATCCACGGATGTTGGTCATGTTTGGTTGAATAATTTTTATTGCAAGATATAACAAGTTTGATCCAAAATTGTTTCTCCACCAAGAAAATCTTGGTGTGGTAGAAAGTTGGCTTTGGACAAAGATTCACATGTTTTAGGCACTTATCTAAAAAAATGCCCCGCATTAGCACAATGACGATGTGCATAAAATCACATCGCAAAAAAAGAATGATCCTTGTGCATTCGTTTTGCTCCCACTTTGGGGTTTCTTACAGATTGGGGTACCAGTCACCACTGGTTTCCCAATCTTTCAAATGACCAAATTCGATTGGATGATGCCTTGGGGTCCCCATGGCCTTGAGACCCAGGTCCTCGTTATTGGCTTGGACGACTCCAGGACTGGAATGCCATGGAGGCGTCACATTTCTCAGGAGAAATTATACTGACCTCATTGTGACCTCACTGGAATCATGGTTAGTACCCTCTGATAAACATTTAGATAACTATGGAAAATCACCATTTTCAATGGGAAAACTCACTATAAATGGCCATTTTCAATAGCTATGTTAGTTTACCAGAGGGTAAGGGGAATCATCCCATTTCTTTGCCTTGGTTCAGCTTAGGGATGCCTGGAGTTCACTTAAATGGCCCCAGCTGTGACGGAAAGGAACACAAAAACCGAAAAAATGCGTTGTGAATCATGATGAACGAACCAGAAACAGCGTTTCAACTTACAATCCAAAGAAAGATCGAACAGGGAAATCCTATTGATACGATCATTTTGGTTTTTTTTCTGATTTTCTTTTTAACTACGGATTTACTATGGGTTTACCACGTGGGTCCCTTGATCCAGGAGTCAATGCCCTGGTGGGACTGAAAGAATCGGTCAAGGACGGCGTTTTTTTTCGAACGCCAGGGTGACCTCAACCAAGATGGGGTCTGTCTGAAAATGGTGAGTTATAAGAAATATAATGAAAATATAAGATGAAATTATTTATGATAGATTTTAATTATTCAGACACAAAATAAAATATAATGAAATTATATTATTATTAGATTATAAAGTAGATTCACTGAAAATGGTGAATTATAATAAATAATAAAAGACTATAATGATAGAGAATATAACAGTGAATAATGGGACATATATCATATATAGTGAATATATATGTATATATATATAATACTATTATTATCCCATTTCTTTCTATGGTTCAATATAATAAGTAGGTGAATCTTAGATGGGAAGAAACTAATCCTTTGGTCTTGCAATCAATCGGATTATCTACGTTCACCAGCTACGAATTTGTTTTTTGCATGGTATCTAAGGTATCTAAAATTGGCCATGAAATGGTGCATTTACCCCCTGGTAAATCAACAGTTCGACCCTGAAAATCACCAATTTATCGTGGTTTCACATTCATCTTCCAAGCCCGATGACTGCCAGGGTCGAACTGTTAATTTACTGGAGGGTAAGGTGAATTTTGATGGAACTCATGGGACAATGGGAACAGATCATAGAGATATGACGGGAATATTGGAGATGTAACCAACATTGAGGGAATAGAACTAACAATCCATGGATTGGTTTAAGATAAAATCTGCAGGAAACACCGATATTGATCATGTAAAATCCCTGGTTTCCTGTTTCGATTTTCTGTTGAACCCATCTATTGAAGCCAACAAAATTGCAATTTTAAGGATATACTTCAATATTTAACCATCACTATAATTCAGGTGAGTCGAAGAACATGGAGATTCAAGGTACACAAACCGAGGCAGTATGAAGATGTACGAGTCATGGTTAGACGTGTAGATTGAATTCGACATGTCTATAGCTCATTTCCTAGAAAGTCGTCATGGATCGTCTCTGGTGCATTTCTGAAATTTCTTATGTAATTATTGTTGGAAATTTATTGTTGGTTAACTGCCATAAGAAATTAATTGTTTGGTTAACAATTATTGTTGGTTAACTGCCAACATTAAATTGGTTAACCAAACATCGACATTAACCCTTCTGGATTGTAAGAAAATTCATCCTCCCCCGATTCCTATTTTCGTTGCTAAAATCCATGATGATGGGTCAATCCCGATGATGAAAAAATACCAGAATTGTTGACCCAGGGGTAACAAAACCATACAAATCCATAAATGAAGGTACCCTCTCGTTACTTAACATAACCATGGTATAGATGGCCATAGAAACAGATGGTTTACCGAACTTAATAACATGGTGGATCTTTCCATGGCAAACTGTGAATGTCATAACCAGAGGGTATATATAGTTGATCTACATATTACTAACTATGGAAAATAACCATTTTTAATGGGTAAATCCACTATAAATGGTTGATCTACATTTATTTGTCACAAAATCACCCAACCATGTTCCAACTACTTACGGATCCCAGATATTTACGGATCGGGATCTCGGAAAATGTGGATCCATGAGTCGATCTCGTAAATCCCCATCACAAAGACATTTTACCAAAGTTATTTACCACCCATGTGGGTAAAATGTCTTTTATGGGGAAGTGAATACTATGTGTTGAAGTCTTCAAGTCTTGAAGTGTTGATTTTTCCCATGTGGGTAAAACAATGCCATAAACTTACCACCCATGACTGGGAATGGTTTATACCAGGATTAATGGAGGTACCAAATGGAAAATCCATCTACACATGATATTTAGGGGTAGCCTTATTTTAGGAAACCTCCATTTAAGCCATTATATATTGTTTACACCACCTATTTATTGTGATTTGGGGAATGGTTTATTATTGTTTTATCCACATGATTCCTATTTTACCAATGGGACAACCTCCACAGGACACCTCCAGCCACATGGTCCATCGCGCGTACCGCGCGGCGGGCTCGCTGGGAGGCGCACAACAACCTGAATGGATGATATCTGGGTCAATCAACTGGATGGGTTAACCAGTTAACCATTCAAAATTGCTATTTGACCAACCAAAAATTGGAATACTAGAACTTATTTGACTGTTTCAACCAACTAAAGATTCAAAATTGGGATTTGTAGTGTAAAAGAATTTGCTTGAACCAAGATGAAGTGGGGATATGGCTGATGTTAGATACTGAAACCAACTGGATAGAAACCAGTTGGGTGTCCGTGGCGAACGCCACAAAGTTCTCCCAAGAGACACAATGTGCCACCAATTGTCCATCAAAGATTGGATTTAACGAAAATTGAGGATATAGAACTGGGGAAACCAAGTGGATGTAATGAAAGTATGAAATACAACTGGAAAATAAGTATTAAACTTATTGGCTTCATATAAATCATATAAATCCCCAAGTGGATTGGCTTCACCCCCAAGTGCTTTAATACAACTTAATTTGTTGCAAGAAAGCGGAGGTTTTTTTGAACCTGAGCTCAGGACTCTGACGCGTTTGCATTCCCAAATAATGAAGTTGTTTTGGTTCATAGAGGAACTCAACCAGGTTTTTTAGTTCTCATATAGATACTACCAAGCTATTCTTGAGCACGAAAATGACGATCATGTTGATGGATTTTCCGATGTTGATGGAGCTTCTGTGGATGGCAGTAACACAAATCATTTTTTTTGATTTGCAATGTCAGTCTGAATCAAAATGAATACACTTTCAACAGGTCCAACAAATTTTGTGGTTTTGTTCACTGACATGAAGCATTTGCTTCATTGCGGTAGTATATCATCAAATCACCTCATAGACGATGGCTGGCTTGTTTTGGATTTCAACATTGCAGACCGTGACATCAATGTGGTTGCTGGATCTCAGTCTGCGCAATCTCCAAGGGTTTTGAAGCCGCTCAAATTGCGCACAACGATGATCATCATGTCGTCATCATGATGTTCTATGGTCAGAATTCCATGACGCACAACATTGTAATAGTTCTGATCTAATGATGATGTTCTATTACCATATTCTCATGATATTGTTTGTGATCATTTGGAATAGACATGTTGCTGGTTGGTGGTTTGGAACATGTTTCGCACCCCCTTCTGTATATACTTTAAACATGTGTTATTTTCCCATATATTGGGAATAATCATCCCAACTGACTTTCATATTTTTCAGAGGGGTAGGTCAACCACCCACCAGGTTGTGCTTTGGTTCGTGTCTGGGCCCAAATCTCTGGCTTTGTTTATCTCAGGCAGCAAGCAGGAGGGCGAGGTTCAGAAGCCCTTAACGCCCGATCTGGATCCGGTGCAGGTTGGGAGAGACATTTCCGGGCGGAGAGCAACGTGGAGGTTTCCATAGTCATGGGGATACCCCTTTATCGCTGGATGGTTTATTTCATGGAAAATCTTACTAAAACGGATGATTTGGGTGTATCCCTAGTTTAGGAAACCACCATGTGTTAAATGTGTTCTGTTTTTTGTGATTCAGGGGATCTTAATGTACATTAAAGGGATTGTTATTTATGGACATGGGACATTGATGGGATTTTTATACGTAGGACATTTATGGGCGAGAACTTGGGTAACCAACTGATTGAAGGGTTGTGAATTAATCCATCTGGGACATGAGAATGCGGATTTTAAAAAATCACTGAAGGAATGATACTACCGTGGTTTCCGGGTAGTTCAATACAACTTCATTTTTTGCCATGTTGTTCAGCCATTTTTTTAATCAACCAGCTAAAAGCTGCGGTCGCTATCTAAATTTGGCCATGTCATGGGAAATGGGATGTGAAACATGCGATACCAATGGGATGGGAATATCAAGTGGTGACATAAAATATTGGTTGGTGGTTTGGAACATGTTTTCCATTCAGTTGGGAATGTCATCATCCCAACTGACGAACTCCATCATTTTTCAGAGGGGTTACCAGCAACCAGCAACCATAAATAGATGGATGATAGATCCAGATTCCATGAACATATGGGAGATTTATCGGCAAGAAACTGCTGCACCAATTATCCCGTTATCCCCTTTATCAAACCAGAAGATTCATGAGAAAGAAGTTGATTGAATCTGGATATATCCAGATAGACTGGTTGTTCAGCTATTTGATATGTTTGGATACACTGTATTGAGAGTTATTGGGAGTTATTGGTATATTAACCAGCAAGATTTAGGATTCTATCAAGAAGAATCAACGGAGATGTAATGGGTTTCCCCAGAAACAGGCTGGTGTATACAGCATACCCTCAAACTGCCTTTCTAAAATGGGAAAAAAGGATTCAACTAACCGTTTGATTTTGGGGTACCTTCATTCTTGGACAAACCTTACACTTACAGATTCTTTTTGCAGGGACATGGTGTGACCATACGTGTGGTACATTTATAGTGGAATTTGGAATCGCTTGAACTACTTGGAGGATCCATCCCACTTTGTGATGAAGAGCCGGCTGAACAAGTTGCATAATGAAGGCTTGTGACATATGGGGCTTTCCAATCCATGGGGATTACCCTTAAATATCATCATCATCCAGCTATTGGATTGGGATTTTCCCATGGAAATTTCTACCATCCAGCGACAAATAAAGGGGCTATCCCCATGACGATGGAAAGTCCCAGCCTCGTGGGATGATTCCAGGATTACCCGGCCTGGTCAACATACAAAAAACGATGGAAAATCACCATGTTTAATGGGTAAGTCAACTATTTCTATGAGCCATTTTCAACAGCAAACTGTAACAAATTACCAGAGGGTAGTTTACCATATCATCCCATGAAATTCACCATTGTGAACCATAGAAAATCACCATTTTCCTAGTGGTCAAATCACCATTTTCAATAGCTATTTTGACATAACCGGAGGGTAAATGGAATGACTTCAGCGACAGGTCTATGGTCGCATCGAGGATACTGTTGAGACCTTGGTTTTGCTGGTCTTGGAGCCGGTACTGAAGGGCCCCTTGGCAAGGAGGTGGCATCATACTTGGGAGATGGTAGAAATGGATAGAATTATATGATAATTGTAGGGGTTATATCATTATATCTTGATCGAGGTTGTTACCATGGTATTTCCAATTTATAATCCCAACTGCACCTTCCAGTGGTGAAGACCCCTACAAAGTCTTTAGTGGATACTTCAGTTGAAGGGATTCTAGAATATGTTACTTGGGTTTGGGGTCGACAAGATTGGTTCGAGCTACCCTGAACCCACCCAGCCTTGTTGGGCGGTCATACCTGTGGGGGGTGGTACTTGTAGGACGGGGTCCCATGATCAGCCCCGTTGACTCATAACTTGGTTCACTAGGCTTTATAAGGGATATGACTATAGTCATCCCCAAATAGATAGACAAGTACAGTAAATCCCAGTGTTTTCTGATGCTCTTTTACTTTTTTTCCATCTATTTGGAGATATAACAACATAGTGAGATGGGCGAAATAAAACATATCGTTTTATCAATGTTATATCTTCCAGCAAACTATTGAAAATATATCATATATATATATATACATCATATTATATGTAAATAGATATATACCATATACATCATATATCTAAATCCCCCAAAAATAATGTTTTATATCCCCAAAACGTTACATCCCCCGTTCCCAGTTCCGTTGAACGTGACCGCCCGGGCCGAGGCATCCCATCCTTGGGCATTCTGCCGGTGAGGATCGAAGCGCGACGTTCGGCCGGAGAGCCCAGTGGTGCGGCGTTCAGCGCAAGGGCGGCCGGGAGGAGATTTAACCATAGGAAAACCATAGGAAAATGGTGATTTAACCACTATAAATGGTGATTTAACCACTATACATGGTGATTCAACTATATAGGTTGATATGGTTATGAATAATGGTTGATAACGGATGATCATGGTATATAAAAGTGATTAATGTGACTGTAATAGTGATACAATGTGACTATCTGGGTAAATTATAACGACCTCACTGTTCTCCCTCACAGAGATCATGGTTAATAAGGTAAATCATCCCCAAATGGCCGCAAGATTCAGGGTACTGAAATATTGTAATTTAGCCAGATATTAGGAAAACCATAGGAAAATGTTGATTTAACCACTATAAATGGTGATTTAATGGCCTAATGGATATATGGTGTTTATGATACCCTCTGGTACACTAACAGTTTACTATTGAAAATTGCCATTTAGTTCGTTGATTTACCAGAGAGTATATGATCTTCGGAGGTGATAGATGATAGAACCATCAAAAGAAATATAGAGCCTGCCTCATACTCTCGATATATGATAGATTTCTCTGGAGTATATGATAGATAAATTGGGATTGAACTGTCAACAATGGTGATAGAACCTTCAAACAGGGTTGTATCATTCGAAGATGATTTAAGCATTATGGTGATCTATACTACCAATCGGCATTTCAGGAACTGATTTATCGGAGGTACCTATCATATGTAAGGCCTATGTAAGGGCTATGTATAGGAATATCCCCACATAGTATAGCTGCTTATAGCTTTGTATGGCACAATGCCTTGATTTGAGGGTCCTGAAATTACCACTGATGGATGGATACTTTCACTGGGAAAAATAAAGGTTTAACCAACCAATAGTGATCAAAAAATATCAAAAAATCAGATGTCACATGATTTGACCCTCAAAATTCTTGGAACACCAAGTGGTGAAGGGTAGTTGGGGCCGGAGATGTCAAGTTTTTGGGTCAACCAACTGGGTAAATAGTGCTTTGACGAGCAAAAAAGGCATTTTTTAATGGGGTTTGGGCGAATCGATATTTCATGGGGTACGGTATGACCCCGTCACTAGCCATTAATCCTGGTTGGTGGTTTGGAACATGCTTTATTTTCCCCAATAGTTGGGATGATGATCCAATCTGACTTTCATATTTTTCAGAGGGGTAGGTCAACCACCAACCAGAATCCCATCGCTAACTAAGTTAGGGTGACTACCCCTCCTATAAACAAACATGGCTAGCTGGGAAATCCGCGAACGAAATGGGCTGAAATGGGAAGATCATCTATCAACGGGAGATTTTCCAGCAAGATAAGAATACTACTTTCGGATCTCCAATCATCAACTAACTTAGGACAACTGGACAACTCACTGTTAACCAAGTAACTTAGGATAACACAGGAATAACTAACTGGTTGGTGGTTTGGAACATTTTCTGTTTTTCCATATATTGGGAATTTCATAATCCCAACTGACGAACTCCATCATTTTTCAGAAGCGCAGGTCAACCACTAACCAGATGTTTTTATGCTATGTGTATTACCCAGCTTATATAGATGATATTCCCACCAATCATGGGGGATCCAAACCACGTCTTCCCATCTTTGGGGATCCAAACAAAACCAAACAGAGTATCATCCCATTATCAACCACTATTAAGCCACTATTAACCCATTATTAACCACTATTAACCATCATTAACATAACCAGTTGCCATGAAAATTCCCATTAGATCCTATTAAACCACCATTAAATGCCATTAAACCAGCATTAACATAGGATAACGTAGGATAACATAGGATAACTAAGTTCTCCAACTTCCCAACTTCCAGGCCCCGAAAATATATTTCCCCGGCCGCGACCACGCCGCTTCACCACGCCGAAACGGCGAGGTGGGTGAGCACGGCAGCCCCCAAGCGGCGGTCAAAGCACTGCTGGCCAAGGCCCGCACCGAAGACGGTGCTACTCCGGTATGGGATATTGGTAGTCAATAAGTTGGGGATATATATATATATATATATACATATATTTATCTATTTAATTCAAAAATATATATTTAATTATATATAAATATTATCTTCCCCAATGTATCCCCAACTTTTATTAGTCAACTAGTCACTATATATTATATCCCGATCAAAATTATGGATATATCCCATGAATTTCCCAAATATGTCCCCACAAATCCAGGTTTTTAGCCATTGCATGCCATGAACTATAGTTTACATCCAAATTATATCCCATTATAATCCCAAGTATATTATCCCGATAAACACTATCATCCCATTTTCAAGAGATTAGTAAACAATTGGTTAAGAAGTGGTTAATAATAAGATGATGTAACCAACAGTATGGTTTGGGAATGTGACATTTTTGGGATATAACTATGTTGGGATATCTTTGTGATATTGTAAGAATGGTATTTTGAATCCCATTGTATAGTTATATTGTCAACATGTCCATCATTGGTTTCAACAATATTGGGATTCACAAGAATGATAATGAGAATTTACTATGATATAACTATATAATGCGATAAAAATGTATAAGGATAACTCATACAATGGGATTCATAATAATGGGTTAGGGTTGCTGTTTTTTGTTGCTATTCACTACTAACAATAATCGGGGATGAAGTATGAACCCATCAGCCAAACCAGCTTCATTGTTAGCACCGATGGCTGACAAGGGACAAATCATGGTTTGATACTGCCTTGATAATGTAATGATTCGTCCCTTATCCAATTTATTCGAATGATAATGTAATGTAATGGGCTGATAGTGGAGTTTAAAACAATATCAAAGAATGATTGTAATGTAATGGGCTAATAATGGAACGTGAAACAATATCAGACAATGATTGTAATGTAATGGGCTAAAAATGGAATGTAAAACAATATCAAGCAATGATTGTAATGTAATGGGCTGATAATGGAATGTAAAACAATATCAAACAATGATTGTTATGTAATGGGCTAATAATGGAATGTAATGGGGTTGAATTCATCCAATTTTTACTTGCATAAAAGGTTTGCCAAAGATGATGTGTGCTTTTCCCGAAAAGCCACTACTTGGGGAATCTATGGGGTTCCTTTCTTGTTTTTTCTTGGATTCCATAAGCAAATCCAAGATAAGGGCTCAGTAATGGCGTCATACTTGTTAAACAATTGGTTAATAATGGAATGATGTAACCAATAGTATGATTTGGTGATTTTACCAAGAACTCATTGGATATAACAGGTCAAAAAAATATATAGCGGGATATGCATCACCAAAAAATACGGGATTTCACCCACATAGGGCAAGGAAGGAGCATATTGGATCATCGAACAATCATGCGGGAATAACCAAGAATAATGGGATAATATGGGATAATATGTGATACTATGGTGGCTTTCGTCGCCGTGTTTTGGCATAATGGGTGAATAATGGGCATGTGATATGATCTATATGATCTCATGGGATTTGTCTCCCCTGATATTATGATATTGATTGATATTGGGTTTGCCTCAGTGGAATGACCCAACATTTCAGCTCAGTGAATTACCCTCTGGTTATGTCAAAATAGCTATTGAAAATCGCCCATTTATAGTGGATTTACCCATTGAAAATGGTGATTTTCCCATAGTTATGTTAGTTTACCAGAGGATATTATGATTTGCCCAGATATTTGAATCCACATACATTTATATAAACAGCTTGGTAAATCATGATAATTCACAATTTATAATGATTTTTACCCAGGATTGATATTTGAATTCATATTTGTTTTCAACGAGCAATGTGACGATAATCCTTCAAACGGCCTCTTTGGACTTGTCAGAGCTACAGAGAACAGAACGAAATGGCAGAGGATGACCTACCCGGATTGGATCATCCCAGAGGCAACGGTTTCCATTTGGGAATCCACGTTGGCACCGCAACGCCGGAACACGGAGTGCGCGCCTGGCCAGCATGGTTGCTGATGGTAGGTGTACATCAGTCTTCCGGCATCTTGCCTTCGAAAACTGCTGCAGGGCTTTTGAAGTTTTGAAGGGGTCTTCAAAACGTGCCACGTAGCAGTTTCGAAGCCCGATAGAAACAGCTTGTGGGGCCTCGGGACGCCTTCGAAAGCTGCTGCGGGGCTTTTGAGGCTCTTGAGGGGGTGCGCAAAACGTGCCACGTAGCAGTTTCGAAGCCCGATAGAAACAGCTTGTGGGGCCTCGGGAGGTCCCATGGCAAAGGAAGCGGGGCGCCGTCGCAAGCTGCTGCGGAGAGTTTTGCGGTTCAAAGGCCTTCGAAAGTTGCTGCAGGACTTTTGAAGCTTTTGAGGTTTTAAAGGGGTGCTCAAAACGTGCCACGTAGCGGTTTCGAAGCCCAATAGAAACAGCTTGTGGGGCCTCGGGAGGTAGCTGAAAACGTGCCACGTAGCAGTTTCGAAGCTCAATAGAAGAAGCAGCTTGTGGGGCCTCGGGAGGTCCCATGGCAAAGCAGGCGGGACTCTGTCGCAAGCTGCTGCGGAGGGTTTTGCGGTTCAAAGGCCTTCGAAAGCTGCTGCGGGGCTTTTCCCAAAAGATCAGGTTAGGCAATTTCTTGCCTAATAATTAATTCTTTATTTCCTACATAATTAGGTAATTTTTTAAAGGTAAAATTGCAAAGTCATTTCAAGGTAATTCGGCACGTGGGGTTGAAAGTTTGCATGCAAACTTGCGAGACGAGGTTGAAAGTTTGGATGCAAACTTGCGAGGGGAGCTTGAAAGTTTGCGCGCAAACTTGCAAGGCGGTGTTGAAAGTTTGCGCGAAAACTTGCATGGCGGGGTTGAAAGTTTGCAAGTAAATTTGCGCCCTTGGACACGCACGCAAGCATTTGCAGGCAAATGGTGGTGCAAGTTTAACACTCAAACTTGCGAGGGGGGTTGAAAGTTTGCCTGCAAACTTGCGAGGTTGAAAGTTTGCATGCAAACTTGCGAGGCGGGGTTGAAAGCTTGCATGCAAACTTTCTTTGAGAGTTAGGTAAAAAATTAGTTAAGGCAAGAAAAGTTAACTAGTTTAGGTAAGGAAAAAAGCAGGCGGGACGCCTTCGCAAGCTGCTGCGGAGGGTTTTGCGGTTCAAAGGCCTTCGAAAGCTGCTACGCGGCTTTTGAGGCTTTTAAGGGGTGCTCAAAACATGCCACGTAGTAGTTTCGAAGCCTAAGTATAGAAACAGCTTGTGGGGCCTCGGGAGGTCCCATGGCAAGCAGGCGGGACGCCCTCGCAAGCTGCTGCGGAGGTTTTACGGTTCAAAGGCCTTCGAAAGCTGCTGTGTGGCTTTTCAGGCTTTTGATGCTTTTAAGGGGTGTTCAAAACGTGCCACGTAGCAGTTTCGAAGCTGCTGCGGAGGGTTTTGCGGTTCAAAGGCCTTCGAAAGTTGCTGCGGGGCTTTTGAGGCTTTTGAAGCTTTTAAGGGGCGCTCAAAACGTGCCACGTAGCAGTGTCGAAGCCCAATCGAAACAGGTTGTGGGGCCTCGGGAGGTAGCTGAAAACGTGCCACGTAGCAGTTTCGAAGCCCAATAGAAACAACTTGTGGGGTCTCGGGAGGTACCATGGCAAAGCACAAAGCAGGCACAGGGCCATGCCGCAGACCTACGGACGGAAAGGCATGGGAGATCCACCAAACCAGACTGTCCTTTCTGGATCCGATAGAAAAATTTTGAAACTGGACCAAACTACAGCCAAAAGAAGCACCTCCCAGAAGGGAAAACGAAATGTCAGTGAAGGACAGAAAGGCGTGGAAGACCCACCAAACCAAAGACTGAACGTCCCTTCTGGATCCGACAGAAAAGCTTCGAATCAAAGGTCCAAGTTGCAGCCCAAAACACCTCCCATATGGGAAAACACAAAAGGCGTGGGAGATCCACCAAACCCGAGTCGTAGTAGTCATAGTAGTCATAGTAGTCATAGTAGTAGTAGCGGTGGTGGTGGTAGTAGTAATACTAGTAGTAGTAGTAGCAGTAGCAGTAGAAATAGTAGTAGTAATAATAATAGTAGTAGTAGTAGTAGTCGTCGTCGTCGTCGTTGTAGTCGTAGTCGTAGTCCTTGCTTGCTGCTCCTGTTTGCTGGTGTTGCTGCTGCTGGTGTTGCTGCTGCTGCTGCTGCTGCTGCTGCTGCTGCTTGGTGGAGTTGTAAACAGGAATATCTTATTTCCTGGCGCGCTCCCCCTTGCTGTCGGCTGGGGTCGGTGGATAAATTGAATCTGGAAGTTGCGAATGTTTGGAAATGAGGGCGCTGCCCAGAATTATGATTTTCATGGACAAATATGATCATTAGATTCATTAGCACTTGTTTTTTTCCGATCCCTGATTTTCGGACAAGCTCATGGTGCACTTCCGGAGGTCTATGACCTTGTCCTAAAGCTACTGATCACGCGAGAAGAACAAGGAGCACAAATCACTCGCATGGCCCAGGAGCCCATTTGGCGAGGGCATCAGCTAGTTCATTCCATGGATGGCTTTTGTGACCTCTGACCTCTTCGATGATCGCAGTCTTGGCCGTCCAAAGTCCCTGGGTTTGACAGATCTGTGCCAGGACAGGATTCGACCTGCATACCGAGAGCGCTTGGGCCAGCAACCGACTAAGGGAAAGGTCAGGTCGAATGCGGAATGCAGCTGTCTCAGGCCAGTATTGTCTGCGACCTCGGCCCGAGACCATTTGGTGTGATGGACGATGGATGATAGATACAGACCTGCGAGAATGGGCACCCCATCAATCCCATCTAAGTTGACGATGGCAGATATCATAATGAGGTCGGGATCTGGCCGGGTCAATGGCCTTGGTCAAATGCTCATGATGGAATGGTTTGTAATGGATGGTATATAAATATGTGGACATAACCCATATGTAGATATTATATATGTATACCTCCATACTCCCGTCCAGTCACCGTTGAGGCGGAGGCCGAAGATGCCGAGAGTGGCATGTCGCAGCGCTTCATCCGCAAGGCGGAGAGCGAGGGGTGTTGAGGGCATATGTGAATTTGTGTAAACGACGTCACGACGTCACGCTGGGACCTTACTGGAATAATTGTTACTGTAGTAAGGGGGATTACCCTCTGGTTATGTTAACAGTTTGATATTGAAAATTGCCATTTAGTTCGTTGATTTACCCACTACAAATGATGATTTTCCATAGTTTTCTGTACGCTTACCAGAGGGTACTTTTTCTGGGAACCTGATTTCAGCTTCGTGACTTGTTCTTTTATTTGCCCAGATATAATGTTAATGATAAATGAGGAGATTTCATGGGATATATCACCAACTTCAAAATTGGCTGTGTCTCAAAATGTTTAGTAGACCGTATACCCCCAAATTGCCATTACATGTTCTCAGCTAGGCGCGGCTAAAAATCACTTGACAAGGTGGTTAGATGGTGGTTAACCCCCACTGGCACTGGCTTGTGAGTGAGTGAGAAGATCTTGACCAACTTTGGAAGCCAGTAACCGTTTCCCTATGGGTGAAGGCTCTACCGGCAGGGTTCCAATGATCTTTTTGGCACTTGGAGGCTCAGCAGCCACCTATAAAAGCTGATCGTTGGAAGCAAAACAACTAACATGTCGAACACCAACCTTAGGTCGGAAATTGGAGAAGTTTCCAAACACAGTCTGCGATGCTGATGTCAACATTGCGCTCCATGGATGCGCGCGCTTACATAGTGGCTCTGAGGATGGAGACATGTTCCTCTGCATCGACTGGTTCACCCCTTTTGTGGTCAAACCTATGCTCGGTCGTTACCCCCTATAATGTACGCTATGATTTTTTTGCCGAGTTGTACTTTCATTCCTCTTCCAAAAAAGAGAATCTGTGGGCTCAGCAGTTTGTTTGATTTCGTTGCAGGTTTAAACATCACTTATAGCAGTTAGGAAAGTTAAGTTGTGTGTTGACCGACAAGGCGGTGATGTATTGAATGAGATCATATAAGGACCGCACTTAGCATGTGCCTCACATTTCCATGCATTTCCTGGTGCTTCTGCTAACCTATTAGCTTCAACAAATACAAACGTCGGTTTCCCCAGGTAAGTACCTTCTATATGTCCACAGCACCTGGACTCCAGCCCCGGCAGTCATTAACCACCAGGTTTCGGAATTGCTGGTCATGCGCTTCCTTCCTGTGGTAGGTGCTGGTGCCTTTCTCAGTCTCTAAGCTGCACCAAAAGTTGCACCCTCTGGGTATGGGGTCAATACCTATGGTACCTATGGTACATAGGTGGGCCATGTAGTTCGCCAGCTGATGAGTAAGTCGAGAAGTGACGTATAACATGCCATAACCATCCATAGCCCACTTCATACCTAAATACAAGGGGGTATAGCCCAGTTACTAACCAGTTAACAAACTCCAGTATTTTGCGCAGCAAGTCCCGAAGAAACAACCTTCACGCAACATAACCATCACTGTGCTCTTCTCTTAGAAGATTTGCAAGGCTAGGGGATACCTCTTAAAACCGCTCCGTGCAACGGGCACGTTTTCATTGCATCATTCCCGTTGTTTTTCTGAAATCCCTTTAATCCTCATGTCACTCATGTCTTGGAACAAATCAAATCCCAATGTTTGGTGCTGAAATCCCCTTTTATGTTGTCGTTTAGTTCTCAGTGTTGTTCTTTCATTCCAAATTCGTCTGGTTAAGTTCCAAGTCTTGTTAGCTCAAATCGCCAGATTTGTTGATTCAACCCATATGTTTTGTGAAATCAAAGTGTGTGCCGCCTAAATCCATTGTGTTTTTTGTTTAATCCGCAAGTTTGTCGACGAATTTCCAATTTTTGGTGGTTAAAATCACCCATTGTGTTACTTAAATTCGAATTTCTGCTTGTTAAATTCCAATTCAATACAGTTTGTCAAAACTGTCTTGTTTATTGTTTACATCCTGATTTTGGGAGATCCCTGGTTTCTGTTGGTTAAATTCCATTTGCTGCTGGTGAACTGGGTATTTAAGTCTTCCAATAAAAACTAAAATTACATCATTAAATCATATTAAATCCATCAATCATTGATTGGTACTTTTTTTGTTGGTTAAATTCTAAATCCATCATTAATTCTGGTTGGTGGTTTGGAACATTAATTTAACCATTGGAACATTAATTATTAAGATGGTTAAACCACCAAACAGATCATTAATTTCTACTTTTTTGTTGGTGGTTGGATAGATCAATCCCTTTGGACAGCCAAGGTTACACCATCTACGCGCGCCTTCGACTGGCCGCGCTGGTGGCGGAGATGAACGGCAGCTGGGCGAAGTGTGGAGCGAAGCGCCTCTCTGACTGGGGGAATATTCACTGTTCTAAATAAATACTGGGAATCTTATTATCCTATAAGAATAATGGGAATGAACTCTATTATATTAAAAAAATTAATAGTGGGAAAACACTTTAGTAATAGTGGGAAAACATTATAATAATAGTGGGACTAATATCCTGCAAATCATTTACTATAATAATGGGAAAAACACTATTTCAGACACTCCTGAAGATCACCACGAACTTCAAAGATTGGATGGTCAATGCTGCAGCTACTTTTGTGGCGAATCTCGGAATGCCGTACGGGGAGAAGTTGATGAAGGCAGTGTCGCATATGGCGGGAGTGAGAATCCCCGAACACCAAGCGCGCGAAATTTTAAAGACTGGGCGCGGGAAACAAGTCATGGTTCATCGAGCTGAAGTCAGAGAACCTGGCAATCAGCGACCTGTCTACGCCTATCGGCTGACCAAGGACTGCGGGAATGTGGCCTACAAGGACTTCCTGGTGAAAGTCATCAACAGCGATGAGAAGATGAACGAAATCTTTGGACCAACAGAAGCTACCGCAGAGAAGGCCGGTGATGTCATTGAGCTTTGGCTGGGCCTACTCGACGTTGCTGCCATGACAAAAGGGGTAGCGAACATCTTTGACGACGAAGTCAACCCCACTGAGTACCTGAACGGTCTCGAAGCCACAGTCAGATTCTTTGGTAAGACTGCAAGGACTGGACAGCAAAGAGATTCACCACTACATGTTGTTGGATGCTAGGGATTTTCGACCAATTCATTATGATGTTGGCTAAGCAATACTCAACCATCCCCAAGTTTAGAATAAATGGAAGGTATAAACCATCAAAGTTTGGGTGGTCTATTCTTGCTTAACTAGCGTTAATGGGTCAATAGAGGTGATACTTGTATGGGTGTATCTGAAAATAGGGCTCAATAGTGCCTAATAGATGGCTATGTTCATGGGAAAGTGATGATCAACCATCAAACTGTGGAGGTACTAGTACCCTACTTTTAGGATCTTTTAAGATCCACCCCTAAAATGGGATAGAATCAGATATATAACTTTTTCACAAACTGCACAAAGCTTGGTTGAGTCAGCCATTCAAATCAGCTTGTTGGGATTTGACCCACAACAAATAAGGACATAGCATGATGTGCTAATTCAGTGGCGAAACCAACTGGATGTATAGTTGAAAATATATAGTTTGATGTTTTTGGCTGCCATGATGAGCTTAAAAAAGGGAAGCTGATCAAACCCGTCATCGGAAACAAGCGCTGCAAGCAGCATTTGATATTCAGCACCCTGGAAGTTCGGCGCCGGCAGGAGCACCAACGGAATGCCTCGGCGGCCATTAGGTCATTAGCAACAGAGAGGAAAGATGATCCTAAGCTCATCAACATTGGAACTAAGATTCAAGCAGGAGAAGCAAAATCAAAGAATTTGGCCAAGAAAAAGTCAATGAGGTACCAACTTTTCCCAGCAGCCATTTCTATTGGGGTATAAAGACTTTCATTTCCCGCAGAACCTAACGTTCGCCCATGATGACATAATATATCTCATTTTTCCCCGCGGATCTAACGCATGTTTCATCCACGGTTCAAACTGCCTTGCAGGGATGGACGGTACACTTGGTGTGGCCCCTCGCCATGCGTACGACACAAAAATTTGCTTCATGGCTCGTTTCACAACAATTTGCGGCAACAACCCTTCGCAGACTTCGTGGGGGTCCGTGGAAAAGAAGGGCCGTTTCGTGCGAGAAAACACAGGCTCCGGGCAAACGTCCGGTTCTGCGCGTATCATTTGTAGTGTTTGGTAGTTTATAGATAGAGGGGAGAAACCAAACATGTTGATGATCTGATGGGGATTAACCACGCATATAGTCAACAATATATCGGATTAATCCGGTTTCACGGTAATTGTCTCAATGAAAATTTGGGTTTGGCCATCAACAATCGGGGGTTCCAAAACTAATTGTTAAAACACGTCGTGGAAATCCATGATTTTGGTGGTTGTTCCATTGAAATAGGCGGTAGATACCGACAAACACGTTGTAGGCCAAAGTTGTCAAAAACACCACATGGACAGTTGGAAAATTGGAGACCCCAAGTTAAGACCGTGTGAATGTGGAAAATGATGTTCAAAAGCATCAAATATAAGCAGTTGCCTTCTTTTGAGACAAATCCAAATGGCTATGGTTCAAACCATTTGAGTGCCAAGCGACCCACAAAGTTGTCTTCTTTCGCATTAATCATTTGTTTGGGGTTTTAGTACATAAAACGATTCATCATCCACACATTGCGGATTTTCTACACGGGACACTTCAATTCATGACCAGTTCGATAGGTAAATTATGATTCCCAGAAATCTCAGGAGTTCCACCAAGCCCCAGCTGCAGGTCACCTTTGGGGGAGGTCAATGATTTCGCCAATGGAAAGACATTCATGTCATGTCCCAATAATGGTTCCTATCTATACATAGGTTATGTGTCATGTACATACGTATATATATATATATATGTATATATATATACATATATATATATATGGTATATATATATATGGTATATGTGTGTGTATCTTGGATACGCGTTTTCTATATTTTTAGGTGCCCCTTAGATCATCTTCGTGAGTCATCAACGGCCCACAAACACCGATCCAGTTGGGTTTGTTGGTGCGTTGGTAACCCATCAGAATCACAGTTGGCTGTATCCAGGTGGGCTGAACCGAACCCCCTTCCACTGTTGTTTCATCAATCTGCGTTCATATATGGGACACTGTTCAGGGGCCTTTATTTTCAATGGTGTCCTGTAGTCAAATTAAATTTCCAGGCATAGGAAGAGAATCTATCAATCTGTCTAGACTGTTTTAGACTATTGCCAAATCTAATTGCCGGATTGTGATTTGTGTTTCTTAAATCCGACTTTCTGTTTCTCAAATCCTGATGTGTTCTGTCAAATCCCCTGTTTTGTACATGTCAATTATCATTGGTGTTTCTGCTTCTGAAAAGTTTAGGTGCCACTATACCTTAGTATATACTTAAAGACTATCAATATGTGTATATATATGTAAATATACGTCTTGTTTATGCTAAGTTTCGATATGGTACGAGAGGGGCTTGCCATTTTCTTCATGGCCTAACTGGAGGTCATGACTCGGAAGATCCGGAAGTACAGGTCCGGCCCGTCAAAAAAACTAGGAAAATGGTCCAACATTGGCCAACGATTGGGGATTAACCATCAAAGACAAATATCACATGCGAAAACTTGCAAAATGTGGATATGACCCAAAGATTTCATGATACCAAAAAAAGGAGAGAATCAGAGAATTTGGTGTTCTTCTTTTTCGGCAAGAATAAGAAGTACATGTTCATGACAGTATGTAAGAACAAAGAATTCAAAAATAAATCATGAACCAATCATACTGGTGGAAAACCCCGAGAAAAAAAAACGGGGTTGAATCATGAAAAATCGAGGGTTTTATCATCGACAATTGGGATTTGACCATTAAGCAGAAGGCTAATTATAAGCCAACCATAATGCCAGAAATTGTGGGATTGAGGAAAACCCTTGGATGGACAGTTTCACACCATAATCCTTTGCTATTATCGGGCGTTTATGAATGAACCAAAATTCATGGCCTAGTTTGGTCAATATGCCACCTGGAAAGACTTGCAGTCCACCTTTCAGACACAACCGCATGTTCTTGTCCGTATTAGAGGGCCTGCAAGGAGAACGATGTGTTTGCGCAAGTAAAGCCGATAGTTGAACACAGCGAGTTTGTCAACTATGATCAGGCGCTATCGAGCAAAAACATGGCAAGAACTGACATTGTCCTGTGCTCAGTCCTGCCGACACTATGGAGGGCAACCATGTACGATTCGGCCTCGCAGGAGCCAGCCATTGCTGTCTTCCGCTCCATCTATGAGTTTGTTCACTTTCAAGCAATGCTTGAGCTGCACGCTGCAAGAGCGAAGCGCCACGGAGATCTTGCCTGCGCAGCATGCAGCTCCGGTGCAGGGCGGCTAGCAACGACTGCGATGCTCTGGTCGACCGAGCCAGCTACTGACGAGACTTAAAAAAACATGTAATATATTTGCAGAGTATTCAAGATTGGACATCACTAAGACACTTTACCATATTTTACCAAGGTCAGGTGGCATTTTGATTAGAAAAACTTCCACATTGGGATGGTTTATACTGCCGATTTTCTGATAAAGTTGGAAGTTCTCCCATATCTGGTTGGTGGTTCAATCTGTTTTTTCCATACCTGGGATCATGATCTGACAAAAATCTTGAAAATCTTGGGTGTTGACAGCACCAAGTGATCAAGCTGAATCAAGCTCATAATCCCTATTCTATAGTCAGTCGCATGTTTTGCTTTTTTAATCCACATAAGTGGGATCCAGTGGCTATGGGAAGTTCCAGCAACGCCAGGGCCTCCTCTTCTTCAGCATTTTGCCCGGCGGCGAAACCCACCCCGACGTCGATCAGTCGCCGCCAGCGACGCTGGAGACACCGGGAGGCGCCGAAAGATCGCGGAGCAAAATGGGGGGGTTGAACCATCAAAATGAGGAAAATTCACCACCAAAAAATGGACCTTTAGCTTTGAATCATTTGAATCAATTGAATCCCTATTTCAATTCGATAATTCGGATGTTGGGGTGATTTCCCCCCAATCAAACATTGGGAAATTAAAGGTAGCAAATTCAGCAAATAGTTTCAACCCTTCAACATTAATCAAATTGGTGTCCAAGAAAACTAGGGCAACCACCCCCAACTGTTTCGGTTTCCCCCTTTAAAAAGGAGGAAAAACTTAGATGATGACGTGGGGGTCCTCCATTCGAGAACCCATTTCTAAGGGTTTCTACAATTTCTACCTGTTGATCATCCCAGTCCAATGGTGGGTCCCTATATTTTTGTAAGCAACCCAGCTGTTTGAAAGTCACTTCATTGATCCTTTTGGGGGTGACATCCCACGGAACACTCGGGAACATCAGCATTTTTGCAAATATGAAACAATGATCACCTCTCTTAAAGACTCTTACTGGATGATTTCTCCCCAAAAAAACCGATGGGTTCCTTTCTCTTCAGAAGGTCACCTTCACCCCGGTAAGTGAACTAAGCCACCCACAGCACAGCTGGGCTTGAAATCCTCTGGTGGAAGTCCGTGGAGACGATGAGAAAGCAGAAGTCCAGTTTCTAAAAAAGTTCCAAACCAGCACAAAGGTATTCAGATAGGTAGGTATACCCCTTTTTTCCACATCAAAATCTTCCACTTAGACAAGTTTTATATTCGTTGAAGGGAACATGTTAACCGGAAAGCGCCATGATCTGGGAAGATGTTCCCAACAAAACCAATCCATCAACGGAATCCCATGCCATCCCTTGTCCATGGAGTATTCTATATGGCTTGAAAGAAACGTGCCAGGCATGGACCCCATGAAATCCCAGCTTACATCTGGAAAAATACTCAGTTCAAATTCAGAGCCAGGTAGAAGAAACATATAGTTTTTTCATATGTGTTCCATGTTTTTTCTACCATCTTTTGTTTGATAGCTAATCCCTGATTGTTGTAGCTAGACCCCAGCTGCTGCTTGCCAAATTCGGTGCGAATCCGTTTTTCCGATGACATCCCCTGGTTTACCAATGTTTATCATCATTTCCCATGGTGTATCATATGTCAATTGGCAGTATTTCCATTAAAGAAACCCACCATTTCTGCTAACTCCGATAGCTTTTTGGTTGAATCCCTTCTTTTTTTGGTGGTAAAGTTAGATTCTTTTTGAATTAGCTCGTCCCTTTGTGTGGCTTATATCTTATTGTTAGTCATATTCCCTACTTGTTGGTGTCACATCCCATTATGTCATCATCATCCCTCCTTAGATTGCCATGGTCAAAGGGAAAGCCTCTATTGTCTGAAAATTGTGTATACCCCAACTGCTGTTTGAATAGGACATATGATGATAAACTGTGGGAAATCGTGAGTTGTCCCCTATTTTTTCATGCGAACCCATATGTTTAATGGTTAGAGATTCCAATATCTCCCAATTGTTGGTTATGTTATATTATCTATGTCATATGATATCTCCACTATATCATGTATCATATAATATCTCCACGTCCGCATAGTATCCCATTAGATCCCCATTTGATGGGGAGTTCACGGCCTTGAAAACAGTGGCTTGGCCTTATTCTTGCTTGTAAAATATGTCCCAGTACATCCTCACTACCATCTGGTTATTTACCATGGCCATGGAAAATAACCATTTTTAATAGGTAAACCATCTATAAATGGGCAATTTTCCATGGCTATGTTAAATAACCAGAGGGTATATCATTTGAAGTCTCCATTAGATCCCCTTTTGTTCAAGTTTCATAGTCGGGGCTCCGAGATCTCCCAGGTGTTGGTCATACTGTATATTCATATTATGCCATATCATATTTCCACGATGTCATATCATATCTCCCCTAAATCATAGCATTATCATATCGTATCGCCATACATGCAAGGTGGTGCCCTGTTTTATAACCCCCATTAACTAGTTCGATATGTATCACACAAACGGTTGAAAACTTGGAGTTATAAACCAACTTAGCTAGCTATTGGAGTTATAACCATCCCCAAGATCATCCTAAATGGCTTGTATAAGCCATTCCCAAATGCTAGTAGGTTGATTTTTGAGTTATATTCCCATTAAGAATCCTATTAAAAATCTCTATACAATCCCATTAATGTGGGTAAAACAATGCCATGAACCAGCCATTTGGGGCAAACATACCACATATATTTATGGTGACTGGGGGATGATTATAATTATATATACATATACATATCCATGTTATCCCATTATATCATCTAGGATTTGGCCCCCCAGCTAAAAGTTGGTTTATAACCCCATCTAAATATAGTTATTTGCGTATCATACACGATTGTTATAGTTATTTGCACCAACTTAGCTAACGAACTGGGGCCCCATCCTGTCCCATTATATCATTATCCCATATTATAACCATATTATAACCATAATATCCCGTTATACAATCCCATTATATGGCTATCATCCATTATCCCATCATTATATCCCAATGTATAACCATATTATCCCATTTTATCCCTATATATATAATATATATCCATATTATCACAATATATATCCATATTATCCCATTATATCCATATTGTCTCCATCTTGTGTCCCCTTGTCTCTCCATGGTCCACTGCTTTCCGTGAAAGGCTCCGCGGGCAGCTCTGTTGCCGTCCGCGCTGCGCGTGGCTTGGGGCATGGCCTCGCTCGACAGGTTCAGCGAAGATTCCCGGGGGGAAACGCTGGGGGAACTGAAGCAAAATGGATGGCTTTACCAACAGGAAGAGGGATTTGTAGGGAAATCTAAAAAATGGGATATAATGGGATATATATATATATAATGGGATACTGGTTGGTGGTTTGGAACATGAATTTTATTTTTCCATATATTGAGAATTTCATAATCCCAACTGACTTTCATATTTTTCAGAGGGGTTGAAACCACCAACCAGGATATGTTCTGATAGTGGTGAATGATCAGGATCTTTATTATCTACTGGTATATGGATGAAGCTGGGATTTATTCATAAAAAAAACAATGGGATTTATGGAGGTTATATGGAGTAACTTCAGCAAAATGGTGTTTTAACCAGCAACAACAATAAGGATTTATAGGGATATGATTTATGATATACTGGTGTATGATGGAAAAATATCATGGTGACTCATGGTGATTCATGATGATTATTATGAATCAACTCAAAACCGGGGGGGGCAGGTTGCAACTGACACACCAAATAATGTGATGATATGTTTGATAATAGTGATATCGGAATTTTGGATGAATCATTGTGATTGATTTTGGATAATGTTCTGGATGGTAGCCCAGAATCTGCTGGTTATGTAAAAACATTTTTTCCCATGAAAATATCCTGGTTGGTTTGCTCCATCTTCAGACACACCCAAATAACATTGGATAGTTGTTTCTTGCAATGGTGTGTACGATGTTATCACCAATATAGTAAAAGCACGGATATTGGTTGATATTTATCATAGCTAAAATCAATATAGCTATAGGAGGATTGATGATTGATAATCAACCACCATCCATAGCTATAGGCTATAGGATGTCATTCGATTCTGGCGACGGGTCCGCCTCAAAAGAGACTTTTTTGAGAAGTTGCCAAGTAGGTGAGTGGTTTGTCAACACCCACCCCTATTTCCATTGGTCAGACCTACAAGGGTAATTGAATGTTCCACGAAATGGTAGTTTTCAACATCACAAGACAAATTGTTTCTGCGCAGAGTTTCATACTGATTGCATCGACATGATATTCACAGCCAAAGATTATTCTTGTTGATTTACTGTAGCTACTATGAAAATCGCAGTTTGTGTGTCTGTGTGATTCATGACCACTTTAATTTCCACACAACTACATGATATATAACATTATCGAAGGAAGTTTAGAAGTCAAACTTCCGACAATATGGAGAGATGAAAAGCAGAGCAGGGCAGAGGCAGAGAGAAGAGGAAGATTAGAAGAGAGAAGATCAGAAGAGAAAGAGTAAGAAGACAGAAGATACAGATGCGCGAAAAGGTAGGAAAGTCGCGAAACACTGTGTTTTTCCAATGATTTGTGGCTCCGAAGGGTCGAAAAGTAGGCTCGCTAAAGCGGCGGGTGCGGAGCCAGCTGGCCACAGGAGCGATGAAAAATTGCACGCCGTTGTGGCGCGAAGCACATTTCCAAGTCAAAAGGTACAAAACACCTCAGGTCCGGACCACTTTTGGAAGTTGAGATGTCGAAAAAGTGCACGCCGTTGTGGCGCGAAGCACATTTCCAAGTCAAAATGTACAAAACACCCCAGCTCCGGACCACTTTTGGAAGTTGAGATGTCGAAAAAGTGCACGCCGTTGTGGCGCGAAGCACATTTCCAAGTCAAAATGTACAAAACACCGCAGCTCCGGACCACTTTTGGAAGTTGAGATGTTGAAAAAGTGCACGCCGTTGTGGCGCGAAGCACATTTCCAAGTCAAAAGTGTTAAAAACTGACGGTCTCGGACCACTTTTGGAGGTTCAGATGTCGAAAAAGTGTCGAAAAAGTGCACGCCGTTGTGGCGCAAAGCACATTTGGAAGTCAAAAGTGTAAAAAACTGAGGGTTTTGAGCCTTTTTTGACGTGCTGATGTCGAAAAAGTAGACACTGATTAACTTAACTAACTTGACTAACTAACTTAACTACCCTAACTTCGACGACAACAGCAAGAACAACAACAACAACTACTACTACTACAACAACTACAACTACAACTACACAACAACTACAACTAGAACTACAACTACAACAACTACAGCTACAACAACAACAACAACAACAACATCAACAACAACAACTACTACTACTACTACTCTAACCCATGAATGCGCATTCTTTTCCAACATTCGGTCTCAATACCTTTATCGTTCTTTTAAGCTGGGGGAGATGCAAAAATTTGATTGAT